AAGCGTGCCTCATGCTAGGTTTCCTATATTCTCGACAGATTGAGATACTGGCAAGCCATCTTTGACAGAACGTTCAGTCTCGAGTGTGACAGCAGAGTGAAGACGGGAATAGGGACTAAGAAATGGAGAAACTGGTGTCTTTCTCAGCGCCAGAATCGGGAAGAAAAATCTTTGACAGAGTGATGATAAACACCGAGCCATGTCTGGTTGCCATGTGCGAGCCATATCTATGGTTTATGTAAAACATCGGGGGGTGAGCGGTATAATCTCAAAGCATGGTTGAATGGACGGAGCTTGAACTGAATCGGCTCCAGCCAGAGATAGACCTGACGGCGAATCAACAGTAAATGCCCCGATAAACGGGCACACAAATGGTACACTTAAGAATATTCCGATACTGGCATATAGAATTGCGATGCGGTCACTGAGTGAGTGCGATGAGGGCACTGCTCCCCGAAGGGCTAGCTTGGTCGGGTAGCCATGGCCTTTTACCAATGCCCAACTGGAGATGAAGCTCGACGTTGACAGTTGTTTCGTGAACAATAAATAATCCGACGATTATTTGACGTTGACAGTTTGTTACTTAGACAAGCGACTGGGTGGCAGAAACGTGTGGGAGCGGCGCATGCGCAGCTTCCAATGAGATTCTGGAAAGCATCATGAAAGATTTGTTTGAGAGAAAGGTGTGATGATTGATTTATCGATTGGTCGGTGTTCCCTTTCCCTTCTGTGAGGAGCGACCAACTGGGCGGCAAGCGCTTAGGCACCAAATTAGCGCGTAGCGGCAGAGTAATGGAGGCCCAGTGAACCACTCACTACAGGACTAGGTACTGTCCGGTTGCCAAGGGCTGTGCCGCCGCTGCCGCGCCCGGGCCCTGTAAGGCAAGCCACAGGCGCGTCTGTTAATGTGGAGAGACGCAGGGCGCCCGGGCAGCTCCATCCATTCCTTCGACAAGTCACCTAACAACTACAACACAACAACTGCGACGACGAGAATCTTCTGGCTTCAGGCTTTCAATCTCTCGCATCAGGCACCAGCCATCAACATCCCGGACGTCAAAACTAACTGCCAGTGGATACTTGCTTCGTGGCTTGGGGGTGCGCTGACCCAAATGTGACGACCATCAGCACGAATGACGAGAACAACGATAACCTCACTTCAACTTTTGAGCACCTTGGTCAACTCCGATTTGTCCCCTGCAGACCATCTTGGAAGCAAGCGCCAGACAGGGCGTGCATATGCACCGCAAACCAACAGCTAGGACATTCTAGACTGGACGAGTCACCAGTCATCCCGCTCAAAGCCGCATCGCCTCTCCTCCGCCAGACAGGCTTCAAGATACAGGTACTCCGTCCAACGATGCCAGCCGCAGTCGGCTCACGCTGGCAGGACCGCCGCCGACGTGTTTTTCAGTCCGTCTACCAAACAGATCTATCACCACCCCCACCACAAGCAGTACCGCTTCCATCAGCAAATCTCAGCTTCAGCCAAGGACTCCAATATCACCCTGGCACAGGACCAACAGTGACTTCCGGCTCATTCTATGACGAGGATACACAGGAAGCCACACAGCCCGCTTTCTACAACCAACCCGACCAAGGTCTCTTAGTTTCACACACCCCCTCCAACTCATTTCACAGCACCGTTACCGCCGTCTCACAGCCTTCACAAGTTCTTGGTGCTCTAGACACAGGGAGTGGTGATCAGGTTGCATATGACAGTGCCTGGCGTCTCGTAACCGCGCGAATTACTCTCCCGTCATCCGTCACATCTCCAACATCGTCAGGTAATTTGTCACCGGATGCAGCTTTGCCCTCTGATGCCGAGTTCTGTGACGCTTTGGCCCACATCGTTCACGCCTCGACGCTACTTCCCGGAGCCCTACGGACAGACGACATTTTCTCCTGGCAAACCCACCAGGTGCGAGCTCACTTTTCGCAGCACGTGATACCCCTATTATCGGGCTGCTTGGATACGGGAAGAACTGGAGATGGCGACCCAAGGAAAGTGAGTGATCAAGAGCGGTACGAGAGCAGCCAATATGAGCGCCACGTGGTTATTGTCATGAGCAGCATCCGCACACTTGAGGCTGCCCTAAGACTCTACTCTCACGGGTTCGACCTTCTCGTAAAGGGCATTACTCAAGCTGAGAGTGCTGCTGCCTTCGGAACGCCAGCTGTAAATGTTGAGATTCTGGCAAACCGTTTCCGGAGAGACATACATGCCCTCGTAGGAAACTCGGCCTCTCAGCAGTTAACGAAATCTTTACGAGTTGTCCTCGTCCGCCTCGTAGGCAACATCCTTGGCATTCCATCCGAGGACGGCGATGATGATGATGCGCGTAACTTCAAGTCTCGGCGGCCAGCTCCCCCTACCGATGATGACTTCAAAGCATTAGCAGCGAGACAACGCCTCCACGAGCTTGTTGAACAGCTACATAACGTCGGTCTTGCCGGTGAGCGCTTCCAGGTCTTGTTCGCCGAAGTAATGAACTGGATGATGTCGGCTTTTGTGTGCGGAGCATATGCTGGGGTATGGTCGGCGACAGACAGACGCAGCTTGTCAAGCGTTTTGAATACAGTGTCTAAGGGTACCGGTTCATCTGTCACTTCGCCTTGTATTATCTCCCTCATGGACTGGGTTGAAAACCACTTTGCCCGGTTGAGCTTCGAGGTCCTGTCCCGGATCTCTCACGGCTCTGTGTCGCCGGTCACGCTCTCTGATCTCAAGACATACCAGTCACTTGCTCTTGGTCGTTTGTCCACGCTTCGCATTGCTGAGCTCTTTGATATTGTTCTGGCGTGGCCGGATTCACGAGGAGCGCTTGATGACTTGCGCGCAACTATCACTACCTCCGCCAGGAGGCTTCAACTGACATCACACTTTACCCAGGCTCTAAAAACACGCTTGTTGCACCCTGGGTGCAGTACACTCGAGATTCTTCAAACTTACATCGACATTATTCACACCTTTCACGCTCTCGATCACAGCAAGGTTCTTCTAGGACACGTCGAACCGTCCCTGAAACTTTATCTGTGGCAGCGTGAAGATGCAGTACGCATCGTGGTGACAGGTCTGCTCGCCAGCCCGGAGGAAGTCCGTGCCGCAAGAAAGGTCAGGGAAGTTAGCAAGCAACAGGCGGAGCAGAAGAAAGCTGGAAAGAGGTCAGAAGCCAGTGCACGACGCGGTGCCGGTAAAGGGCCAGTCGTGACACCTACCACGACAGGAAGATCGAGCAGAACAACCCCGAATACAACAAGGCAAAGAGATGACCTACACGAATCCAGCATGAAAACTCCCGGCGCAACCCCAATTAAGAGTAGGTCTACCGGTACTGGCAAGCTCGTAGAACTTGCTCTCCTCCTGAACGATCCGACCAAAACCCGCCATACCCTTGTCGAAGATGAAGAGCTCGACTGGAACGATATGAACTGGGTTCCAGACCCGGTCGATGCTGGTGCCAATTACAAGCGCCCCAAGAGTGAAGACGTTATCGGCACGCTCATTTCGGCGCTAGGCAGCGAAGATGTCTTTATCAAGGAGTTTGCCTCCATCGTCGCCGAACGCTTGCTGAGCCTCAGTGATCCAGCTCGCTTCGACCAAGAGCTAAGGGTCTTCGACCTCCTGAAGCGGCGATTCGGGGAGGCGGCCCTCCAGAACTGCGATGTCATGATCAAGGACATTGAAGACTCGCGACGCCTTGACGTTGACATCCGCCGAGCCTGGGACGAGCAACGGACACTGACGGCAGCGACGCCGATGATGATGTCAGGCCACTTCCTGCGGTCAGCAGACAAGCGGAAGAAGGCCGCGCTCCAGCGACAGCAACAACAGGAACCGACGCAATACCACGCTCGTATCCTTTCCCGCCTCTTCTGGCCCGCCCTCGACCGCGAACACTTCCTCCTCCCCGACCCCATCATCGAAGAGCAGAAGCGCTACGAACAGGGCTACGAGCACCTCAAGTCCAACCGCAAGCTCACGTGGCTCAACCAACTCGGTACCGTCCGCGTTGAGTTGGAGCTGCGCGACCGCACAGTCACTGTCGATTGCACTACCCCGCAAGCAACCGTCATCTACGCCTTCAACGACTCCGACTCCGATAACGGCCATGGAATCGAAATCGACAACAACCCCCCCGCCCGCCGCACTGTCGACGAGCTCTACACCACGCTCCAAATGGACGAAGACCTGATCACCTCTTGTCTCGAATACTGGGTCTCCAAAAACGTTCTCCGACGTCTTCGCTCCCCAGCAAACACGCAAGGTTCACACACGTACGTGGTAATCGAAAGCCTGAGCGACCCCATCGTCGACGACGACGACGACGACGACATCTTCGGCAATCCAACCACTTCTGTAGTTGCCCAAGAAGGAGCGCAACCGGCAGAGGATCCCAAAGAAGAAAGTAACAAGCCAGCCATGGACCCCAAGGAACAAGAGCGCCGCACCATATACTGGCAGTACATCAAGGGGATGCTGACGAACGCGAGCACGTCGATGCCGCTGGCGCAGATGGCTATGATGATGAAGATGCTGATCGCGGATGGGTTCCCGTGGACGAACGAGGAGCTGGGGGAGTTTTTGGCAGAGAAGATTGCGGAGGGGGAGATGGAGCTTGTTAGTGGGGGGAAGTATCGGCTGGTTAAGAAGTGAATGAGTTAGAGGTGAGGGTGAGGAACAGGTATAATAGGTTGAAGGAAAACCAGATAGAAATGCTTAGTTGAAGAAGGTGGCTGACATAAATGATTTTTCTGGTAAACGGTTTTATGGTGAAGAGTGAAAGTGCTTTTACTTAACCAAGTGCCTTGAAATATCACGGCAGTAGGGTCATACAATGATGTTAATAACACACAGGCAAAACTGGTTAAAGGATGAAAAAGTAATCATATGAGTCTTTCCGGGAGATCGCCTGCCTGTGCTTCTGGTTCACTTCAAAGCCTGTAGCTGCTAAAAGCCTACCTCTTCTTGCCAGTGTTCAGTGGACGAACGATTAGTTGTTTGACTTTGCTAGACAAAAGTGGACTATATACTCGGGCTAGCTTGCTGACTGACTGGCTAATGGACTCCAAACCCCTGAAGTGATCCAAAATATGACCGATGAGGCCCGAAACTAAAACAATCCAAAGCCAGCAGGACTACTAAAATAGATTACAGATTATATCCTCGGCCTAGGACTCTTCTCCTCCACATCCTGACACAACTTCCATGCAAATCTCGCCATCGGATCTCGCGCATCAGCATACCTCTTCGCCTGCGCACTGCTCGCCTGCCTGCTCGCCACGCGCGCCGCAATGCCTTGGCAGATGGCGGACAGCCGGAAGATGTTGAAGGCCTGGGCCCACGCGAGCTCGCGCCGGCGCTCGAGCTCCTCAGCAGGTGACGCCTGTCGGTGCAGCGAGATTTCGAAGGTTGACCGCCCCACTGGGCTGGTCACGTTGAAATAGAGCTCGGTAATCTCATCGACAGGCGGGAGGCCGCGCGTGGCACGCGGGAGGAATCCAGGGTGCACATTGATGGATTGCCGAGGGTCGAGGCGGGCGGTGTAAAAGGGCGTGAGAAGATTAGAGAGGTCGGAGAGGGGGTGGCCGATTGTGGACATTTCCCAGCTGATTTGGTAGAGTGTTAGTTTGGATAAGGGTAAAGATAATGGGTGGTGATGAAATGGGGAGGGCGGCTCACTCTAGAATACCGATCACCCTCGGCTCCGTCTTGTGGAAAACAAGATTGTCAATCTTGAAGTCGCCATGAATCAAGGTCGCCCTATCGGCCGGCTGCTGCCTCACATCGGCAAAGTACTGCATCATTTCCTCGAAGAAGGGCAACTGGCCGACGGGCTCGCCCGTATCGACATCCTCGACCTTGGCCTGCGCGGTGCAGATGGTCTTCCAGGTGTCCACCTGACGGCTGTAGAAGCCATAAGGCTTGCCGAACTCTTCCAGACCGACGCTCCTGGGATCGATGCGATGCAACTTGGCTAGGACGCGGACAGCATCGCTCCAGATGGCGCGGCGCTGGTCGGGGAGCACGTTGGGTATTATAGGATCCTCGAAAATGCGGCCATCGAGGAAGGACATGATGTAAAAGGGGGTGCCGATGACGGACTCATCCTCGCACAGGCAGTAGGTCCTGGGTACGGGCACGTCGGTGTCGGAGAGGGCAGTCAGGATGCGGTATTCGCGCTCGACCTTGTGGGCGGTCTTGGACACCAGTTTTCCTGGGGGCTTCTTGCGGAGGACATATTTCCTGCCGTCGGCGGCAGTCAATTGGTACGTCGGGTTGGATTGACCAAAGCCAAACTATAGTGACGAGAGGGGGAAGATGTATTAGATGGTGGCCAGCAGCGCAGTCGATATGGGACGGACACCCACCTGCTTGATATCCAGCGGCGCCTCGATATCAGGCACCTTTTGGGCCAGCCATGACTCGAGGGCCCTGATGTCGATGGGATGACGAACTCGCCCCGCCATAATGGCTCAATGTTGACGTGGTTACCGTAAGGGATTCTAAAAAATGGAGTTAATGTGAGCTAGGTAGCCAAGAGTAACATAAAGTGCTAACAATTATGGATCTCTGCTGTAAGCCGGGATTCGTTCGGGTGGTGTTGCGCAGGCGGGTTCACGGTGTATAAGTACTGGAACAGATTCCACTTGTTGTTGTCGTTGATAGCGACCGCGGCTGTAACAGTGGCGCTAAAGTCTCGGCAGGGCACCGTGACTGGGAATAGGAGCGGGGACTCTGGGGAAGTTGACCTTCGCCTGGTTGCTGGACCGTGGGCGGCTGCCGAATGATGCTCGCCCCGATGCGATAGATGCACAAATCAAGACCGCCTATTCGATGATGATGTCCCAATGAGATATAACGTCAATCCTACTCCTACCACCAGGTTGAAGCCAGAAGTTTCCAAAAATTGACATTCAAAACAAGCCCTCACAAAGCGTACCGACGCGAAGTCTGGGATGAGAAATCATTGACGCTAGAACAGGCGCGATACAACGATGGAGGTTGGATGGCGTGGGCGGGTCCGAATTCCGGGGAAGTATGTAAAAGGCTGGGGCTGGGTGGACACAGAGCCGAGGTTCCTCTTTTCAGCTCTCTCTCTCTGCCGGCCCCTTATAGCGGGAAATGCCGAAAGCTATGGGCGGGATTGGTGGCATGGTCGGGGCCCGCCCCTCGTCCCAAGTCCGCTACAAGTCCGGTCGGCGCGGCTCAAGTTATCCACTACGAACGTCGGGTGGCACTTGCCCCCGGCCCGACCCCATCAAAAAGTTCACGCAGCTCGGAGATCGTTCCTGCCCATCACCACTTAACTAGTGTATTGAACGGGCAACTGCGATCGATGGTATGAGATCACGGTGCGTGAGGCGGCTACCACTAGGGGAAGGGCAACAAAATCGTGTTTTCCCCGCAGTTTACTTGCTCAGGTCTCTTTGGGGGTTTGACTACAACTTTGGACACAGGAGCCCACCATCTTTTTTCCAAGCAACACACTCGACCATCATGGGCCAAATGGAAGTCGTTAATCACTCCCACAAGCCCCATATCTATATTTGCCTTTCCAGTCGTTGGAATATTCACACCATCCGTGATCGTGATGCAGTTACCAGACAGCGGCAATAGCTCTCTCGACCCGTCTCAACCACAAGGCTTGATAACGATCCACCAGGGCCTTGTCCAGTGCTTACCTGGCCTGGCTTTAGTTCTTCCGCCGCGATCGACTTAAACAAAATCCCCCGGTCATCTGATCCAGCAAGGGCACTCTATATCGTCGGTCGAATCGTCATCACGACTACAGTTCACGATCAGGGCTTCTCAAGCAGGAGTCAACACAAGGGACGTATGTTGATTTCCAGCCTTTCTTTGACACTTACATCGTCCAGCCACATGGCCAGGAGCGTGTCCACCGCAGAGATGTTCAGTACAACTTAATTCTAGTACACTGGACGACACTTATGCCGGTGTTTCACGAACCGTACAAGGAAAGATCAATCGGCTAGGTACAGTTCAGAAAGCAATCAACAGTATTCAACATGACATTAAACTCGGAAATAACATATTCAAGGTAAGATCACGCCTTGGTCATGGAACGAAACGAGGCAATGGCACATTGAAACGCCTAGGGGAGCTAACAGGATGTCTCGAGCTAACAAACAAACCAGTATTGGACTGACAATGTCGATGCCAAGTGGAACTACATAACCCACCACCGTGTTTGGGACTACCGGAAACAGTCCATGTCTGAAGACTTTGGTCGTCCCACTGACCAAGTCAAGAACAAAACGGCGATACTGAGCATACCGAATCAGACATGCTCCATCCTCACAATATGCATAAGCAACTTTGGAACCGAGGGGAAGCGGGAAGTTGTTTCAATCTATCAATTCAGTTGTTTTGATTTCATTGCGTTTGGGTCCTCCAACAAGTCTGGAACAGGATGGGTCTCGAGTACCAGCGATCTGATTCCAACTGTGGCAACAACAACCGGTGGCGTCTCCGTTTCTCCATGGCGTTTACGAGCCTACATTGGATTCCATCGATCATGCGAACCTCTGCCTGGAAGATCAAGCCCCGTCGCTCTACAAGATGTGTGTCTGCGCTGATATCCTTCATCACAGACAAACGTAATCACGTATGGGAACAACTTCCGACTTGACCATTTCCAACACCACCACTCTCCCTAAAGGCACAGCAGCTCTAACTTCCGTACCTTCCTTGCCAGGTCACACACTCACTCACACTCCACAAACAGCCAGCCTCTTAGGGGAATCAAACATGACCCCATAGCTTTCATCCCAAGTCAAGCCGCGTCCCAAAGCAAACACAAACACGGAACCAGAGGCGTCAAGCACCCAATCCCAGCAGTACGTACGTAGTACATAAGCCCAACCTTTCACCTCGCTTATCGGAGACAGCTCGAGTCTGTGGGTTGCGTGGCGTAGCGGTTAAGGGATTGGAGCCCCGTAACTGTCTATTGCGATTATATACCTCGAAGGCATACTCCCTCTGCCGGGGAAGCAGACTCGGGTTCGATCCCCTTTGTGGCCACATTGGACCTTTTTTTTTTTTTTTTTTTTCTTTCTCCTTTTCCCTTCTACTATTTCCTTGCTCAAGGGTTGATTGAGGTGTTGGTGAGGTAGGTAGGTAGTAGGTAAGAAGGTACTTCTCCCTACAGTGCTTGCTGTCTGTCTGTCGGTCTGTCTGTCCCTGGAAATTTATTGTGAGTTTTATTTCTTGTCGTACTTACTATCACTACCCGCTTGCAAAAAGTCTTCTTCAGCTAGACTAACTAACATACACTAACAACTTGCGAGACAGTCGTGTATCAAACGAACCAACTCCGATTGTGACGGCTTGATTGTTCCGAACAGTCAACAATACATACTGTCAAGGATAGTCGTCAATATATGTCTGGTCTATTCCTAACTTCACTGCCCTATGTTTTGCTTCCCCCCAAATCACCTACCACCTGTGCCTTTTTCACTCAAGCATGGATCTCTCCCTCCAGAACAAGTTGTCTACAAGCCCCCGATATGGATTTGACTCGCATCCTCTCATTCCATGCACCTTCTTCTCCTCTTCCCGCACTGATGTTCATCGTGCTCATTCTTTGCGCTGAGAAGGCTAAATAAACCGGCCCTTCTGCCACCTGCGCTACGTCACGTTGTCTACCATTCCAATGATTTCTGAGTCCGTATCGCCGCTTTTCTTCAAAAAGATAGGTAGAATCTGTCCCCTTCTTGGGCGGTAAATCGAGTTCTGTGCGTTTCTACTCGATGAAGGATTATCAGCTACGTACCATCGCGCTCTATTGGCATACTTCCTTCGAACAATGCAAATAAACAAGAGAGAACCGCATACCAGAACGCCTAATGCTTATGGTGAAGACTGAAATCCAAACGCGCTTGCTCCCGTGACCTGAACTCCAAACGCTTTTTGATGACCATAAAAGGAGAGAAACTAGTCAATGCGTAATGCAGCAAAAAGAAAAAGAAGTCCAAACAGACGTGACGTTAAATTGAAAGTGGGTAAGCCTGGAGTTAGAAAAGTAGCCTCCATCCTCCTACGGCTATGGACGCTTGCGCTTTCTTTCAAGCAATGAGCCTAGACAACCAGGTCTATCAGGCGGAATCGGTTGTTGAGAAGAGAAAGGCAGTTGCAAAGAAGGATTGGAGTCAATGAAGCGGGCATCACTGCTGTCAGAAAGGGTGTTGTTGCCGTGAAATGCGCATGTGGCCTGATGATCATGAGCTTCGGAGGGCTGCTTGTGTGCGAAAGGATGCCTGCCACCTCTAGAAAAAGAGTGCCGTAGACGTCCAGAGTTGATAGCCTCCTTTCTCCAAGCCAAAACATCATGACCAGAAACGGTGCGCTGCCCTTGTGGCCAAATTCCAGCAAGATGTGCAGCAGCGAGGACCTCATTTATTGCCCGGGCAAGACGTATCGTCTCCCTCTGGTGAAGTCTTAGTAACTTGTCTGGCAGCAGAGGGCTGCTCTTGTGGGGAAGGTTGAGCAGTATGTCTTGCTCCAGTGTTGGCCAACTGGTTCGAGGAAGCATGATACCCGTGCCCCTATTCAGGCCACTGTCTACCAGTACCAGTAAGGGGAAAAGTAGAAGAACCAGGGAAAGGGGTTTCACCGGAATATGTGGACGCAAGAGGCTGATCACGCTGTGCAAGAATGGACGGCTGCCCTTGTGCGGGGCCCCTCGTGCCGGGGATCTGATCAGGGAAAGCAGGGTCGCGATTTGAGGGCTCAAAGGCAAAAGACGCTTCACCATGCTGCATCCATGGAGGTGCTGGTTCGGATGTGTATGATGGCGCCGGTGGCTGTTGGGGAGTGGAGGACATCTGGCTCGTGTCGGCACTTCTGTAGGCATTGTCACCATCAGAGGCAGGCTGGATCGGGAAGAAGGTTGTCAGTAGTCCGACTTCCAGCTTTTCAAAGGAGAGCAGATACAGAATCTACCAGCGAGGGGGGGGGAATGAGACTGACCCTTTCACGCGGTGGGCGTTGGCTGCTTTGTGTAGACGTTCCCGATGATGACTGTCGCTGGTGCAAGGTGCCGTGTCTGGGCCCTCGTCTCGTGTTGCCTGTATTTTCCGAAGGAGGCGATCGTCGATCCGCTGCTTGCCATGCCCTGGGGCCACTATACCTCTCATTGAATTGGACCATTTGACGAAGTAACTCGTGCTGCCTGTAAACATGTCAGAGCAAGAGGTTGAAAGACTGGAGGGCAAAGCTTACGTTCTACTCCCATGACGCCTGAAGGGCCCACTATCTAGAAACTCTCTGATGGACTGGGCATTAGCCTGAGTGTATACTTGCTGTGTAGGAAGCTCAGATCGACAGTAAGGACAGCTATTCGAATCCTGAAACCACTTTTTGATGCAATGTTCGCCGAATATATGTTTGCATATGGGAAGTCGTAACGGTTGCTCTGAAATGCCCTCCGGGCTCTCAGTACCGTAATCGTTGTAGCAAATATCGCAGACTGCCAAGTTAGACTCGATGATCTCTGCGACACAAAGATAAGATGGCAACTTACTCCGATCCGTTTCAGGCAAGTCCGCAACATTTACAGGTTCAAGACTTTCTATCGCCTTTCGCGACGCCACCTTCTTTGTGCTTTGTCCGCGAGCCACCTGCCGTGCCCTGAGTAACTGGGCTGCTCTTTCCTCATCGACTAGTCGGCGCGTCGGTATCTCGTCTGGAAAATCCATATCGTCATCACTGACGCTGTCTGAGCGATGAAGAGCTCGCACCATGAAATCTCGCATCTCTGTTCGCATCTCGGGATAGGCAGGCCCACGGGAGAACGAAGTCGAGTGTCCAACAAATGGAGGTCCCGTATTGGACACGGACACCGAAGTGGGAGCAGATGCAGAGGTGGTTGCGGAGCCAGTGCGGGACTGATTATCGGGAAGTGGTGCAGCTGTATTCGTCAACCCGGAGCCTGATCGTTGGCGAGACGGTCGGTCAGCGCTCGATGCCGAAGCCTGGGGGCCCGGGGGGTTTGGGGGGCCCTGGGGAAGCTGAAGGGCATGGAACAAGTCGTTGCCGCCTTCGGTTGGAATCGACATGCTCGAGGGACGATATGGAGCGAGCCTTGAGTGAGGATCGGGGGCGGGAAGCCTGATGTGACTACCTGCTGACGAGGTCGCAGTAGCTGGGAGTACAGGTTGACTAGATTGATGCGATGGTTGGCGACGATGACCAGGCGGGGGCCCATTTGTGTGATGTTGATTGGAGTTGTTGACACTAGTTGCGTGGCTTATGTGACGAGAACCCCAATGGCCTGGGTCTGGCAGTACCTGGCCAAGAGGATTGATGTTGCTGAAGGTGGGGTGATTATGCGAGCTTGTAAACCTGTCGAGGTAGCCTGCTTCTATGGACGACAGACCGGGTGGTGGTGGTGGTGGCACTGGTGGGAATGCAGAACGGCTCGGTCCCTGTTGAGGCGTCCAGTCAGCCTGTATCGGTCCCGAGTCTAAGCCACCAACCCGCGGGGTGGCGGTTGCAGCGGTTGCAGCAGATGAGCCACCTTGAGTTTCTGTGTTGCCCATAAGTGTGTCTGCATCTGCACTGGAGACGGGGTTCGCAGCTGGTTGCGCCCCCGGCCCTCTACCCGAATTTGCTGAGGAACCACCATTCAGGCCGTACAGCTCTGCCATAGAGCCCGGCGGAGGAAAGTAGGGAACCGAAGGCTGTACTTGGAAAGCTAGGGAAGGGAGAGGCCAAGATGCCGTCGTGGACTGTGCTGGGAACCACGTGTTAGTACCGGCACCGGACGTGACCGTGTTTCCGACACTGACACTCGAGGTACTGACGCCCGTGGTCGGGGCCGTGACGTTGCCATTATTGGCATTGTTGTTGTTGTTACTGTTGGTGCCGTTGCCTCCGTAGTGATGCGCATGGCCAGTAGATGGATGGCCGTCTTGCCGATTGCCACCCGAATTGTTCATGTTGTTGCCGGCATTTCCACTGTTACCCTGGCCAGACTCTTGACTAGTTCTGTTTTGGTTGTTCATGGCGTGGTTGCTATTGCTGGCAGCGTGAACAGGATCGTACCCTCGATTTGCCGAGTGGGACGTAGGCGGAGAAGGGTCTGAGGGATGTCTGGGAAATGATGGCGGCGTGGGCCTATGGGATCCAGGAATCTGCTGTATCTGAATGGGAGGGAGAAAATAGTAGTTTTGCTGTTGTGGAAGCGGGAGAGAGTTGTCAGAATAACCCGCGTGAAGGAAGAATGAGTGGTGTAATGTTGACGCGGGCGGTAGGTGTGGCGGCGGGTGAGGCAGGGTCGACTGTTGATGGCGGCTGGATGTTGTTGTTGATGACTGCCCGTGGTTCGGTTGTGATCCTCCAGATCCTCCAGCTCCTTCTGTTGTCCCAACAAGACTTCCACCTTCAGAATCTCCCGTTTGCGTTCCACTTGCTGCGCCTTCCATCAGTCCACTTCTGTATGGGCAACGACCTTGCCCACGGATTTGCGGACCATTTACCCACCAGCCGGGAAGCGGGACAGGATGAACAGAAGCCTGCATCGTGTAATCCATTTCGTCCATAGTCGCACGCTGACTCAAAGAGCAGCTCGGAGAGATCGATCACAGCAAATGAGACTTAGAAAGGCTAGATCGAGCCCGACGGATTCTCAACGGACTGTTGCAGACGGCGTCAACCATAGACCTTGCTCTTCTCAAAAAGGCCCCTTTAAGGGTCTCTCAATATCTGCTTCGAAACGGCCAGATGTGTTGGGCGGGATTAAGTATCAGATAAAGAGATCGAGGTCTTTGTTTCGTTTGTTGTTTGCCCTTCACAGTCCCAAGTGGCACAGGCAGAAAGTAGAAAGACTGTTGACTAGTGGAGTGAAAACAAGGCACATCTAGATAGAATTGGAGCCAAAGTGTATTTGCCCAAATCCCATGTGAGGGTGAAAACGTCGTATCGCAACGGGGTAGCAAGTCTTGCAACAATCAGCAGGTGTTCGCCCAGGACTAAATGTTGGTTCGGAAGCATGGGTATCCACGGGAGATTTATTGATCGGCCTGCAGTATAAGCTCAACTTTGTCCACCGCAGCCAGGTACGTTACGAGTGAATGGCGAACACTTGAGTTCTCGACGTGGTTGGAAAAAGCTCACAGATGTCGCGGTTCACCGAGATGAAGAGAGGCTTCTGCAGAGTCCGAAAATATGCGAAACTGCAGGCCAGCCTTCTTGACTTTCCACGATTGCTTTGCCGGCTCGACTAAGATGGCGCCTTCTAAACCCGTCTCTTATCACTACCAGTTGTCCTAGGCCCTCCGATGAAAGGGTTGTTCTTTACCGCCGTTATGATGAGCCCTTTTCATCCAAGGTAGGCGGCCGGACCAAACAAGGATAACGCCGTGCGTTTGAGGGGAAGGCGGATTCGGCGGGTAGAGGTAGACTTGGGTGCCCTTGAAGCTGAGGCTGTTTGATTGTTGTCGGGTTCGAGTAGGCCGGAGCAGACGAGCAGTAGTAGGAGTAGGGCGGCGGGCATCAAGCCGCGGATCGATAGGAAAGGGAAGCGAAGAGAGATCGAAAGGAAACAAGCACAAGGCCGTTGAGGGATGTGGGAATGCTGTTGGTTTTGTATCAGCCACGGAAAAAGCCAGGGAGCGGCGGGACCGGGGGGGAGGTGGGCAGAGCAATGGGACGTCTTGTTACAGCGTCACAAGAGGAACAAAAATCCCGTAAAATCATGTCATCAATTCGTTTTTGGGACATTGGCAGCATGAAGCGGAAGCGGACAGGAGTGGCAGCAGTTACATGGATGTAGGTAGGCTACTGGCTACCTATCTCCAACTGCCTCCACGAATCCGCGTCCACTCATTGAGCATAGAGGCAGCTGGAACTCTGGAAGCGACCTTTTTCGTTCCGAGCCTTGATAGCTGGGGCCGGTGGGTTTGATACCAGGGTTGGTGATACAGTCCAAACAGTTGTTAACCATGCGAACCCAACCACTTACTCCACCATTCAAGCCTTGCAACGCCCACGTAGAGTCATGTAACTCTTGCGGAATGGGAGCTCGTAATGAGAGGGACGTATCCAAAGGCAGAATATAACTGCAGTTGTTCTGGCGAGAGATCCCCCGAGCCGTTTGTTCTCCCAGAGTTTTGTTGTCTTTGTTACTGACTTCCAACCACCATTTCGACCTCGGCGTACATGCCTGACTTCTTTGTGAACCGGGATGTGCTGTTGGAACTTGGCGGCGGGGTCGGCTCAAACAGTGGACCGGGACAGGGCAGTGAATCGGTCTGTGACGAGTACACGTCTTGGGAGTCAGGGAACGTCAAGCGTATCAATGATCAATGCCCAACCAAGGTCACTTGCGCTTCTTCTCATTTTCGACATTTCAATCATTCCACCGTTGCCTTGCTGTGTCTAGAGATTCTTGCAGATTAGTACCTAGGTATTCTGTGTTCTCAGTTTGCTACTGACTTGCTTTCGGATGAGGACCACTTGCGGTTCACTTCACTGCATGTCGTGGTACCACCTAATTGACGGCGCAAGTTCAAGCCACCGCGCTGGAAGCTCGTCTCACTGAGCTGCTGACTGAGAGTGGGGATGCGACAGGCAAGACTGTGTTTCCGGCGACCGAGCGCAAGCCATCGCCCACATCTTCCTTTGTCCTTTCGTTGTAATTTACCACGATGAGTGAGCACAAGTTGTGTCACCACCCACGGAACGCACTGCGCGCGCACCAGCAGGTGTAAAGGTGAATACCTTATGAACTATTTCTGCCATTCAGTAACATGTGGTGGAAGAAGGCAGCAGCTCCCGTCTGGCTCAACGAGACAGACACTACGGCAAACAGGGCACGCAGTGGTCCGGGCCCTCAGCAGCGACGGGAGGCAGCGCATCGCAGCAACCCCCCGCCAGGTAGCGCTTTCGGACCCGACCAAACCGCTCCCCGATATAAATACTCCCCGCCTCTCGTTGTTCTCCTCTTTTCCGACTGCCAGTAAGTTCGGCAGCTTCGCCTCGTGTCTTTACGTCTGAGTCCCTGAACTACTTCATATTATGGGGCAAGTTCTGATCACTGACTACCGTACCTAGAGATACCTTTGCAGCTTTCCCCCAACACTTTATCTCGGCGCTGACCCACATCGATTGCCCGGTGACCCTGCTAGGTACGTATCGGTATTTGTTGCAAAGCAGCACTCTGGACCGTCAACGCCTCTGCTCAACCATCACCGAACCTGAAAAGCACACGAGCCTGCAATTGCTTAGCGTGGGCCCCCAGCATTGCTTGTTTGTGGTGGCACCACTAGTATATGGTTATGAAAATGTGTGCCGTAACGAACAAGCGAGAGGCGCATCAGGAAATGCAAAGAAAAGCACCCGGCCTGCCCAGTCTGTTGCTGCTTGCTCGCAGTCTCACACATCCTCTAACTCTGGATCTGGAGCTTATGATCCGTCTCACAGCAGCAAAGAACAGCATACACTCAGAGGCAAACCAAGTCTTGGAACTTGTAGCGAGGGAGGAAGCGAGCAACTGTGTCATGTCATAACACCATGTGGCGTAAATTCGGGCAGCACCATGATAACAATACCTGCGTTGCGAGCAGTTTCACGGGGAAATCTGCGGTGGGGCGCCAACTCGACTCGTATAAGTTCGTCAAAGGTTGGTCGGTGTGTGGGATGATGAAGATCGTGGCCTGGGAGCTTCCTGTACACTACCAGAAATTCTCGCAATGCAATAACGATCTCAGCTCCGAGAACGCGCTTCGTTGTTCAACCGCGAAGCAGTGACTGATCGTTAAAGCCATGCGACCTTCGGAAAAAGTGCCCGTTACTCATCGTCAGACCCCCTAGAGTTCACCACCTCATGGGCTAGCTGACCAGAAACAGATAGATCGTTGATCCCGGAAACAAGTCCACGCAAGTCCTGGCAGCAGACCTCTAGGCCGCACAGCCCCGCCGTGTTATCCATACTTACCTACCTACCCTATCGCTTAAGCACTTATCCATTGGCTCAGCGTGAACAACTTCGCGAGTCCCCGAAAGCTGATTTGTCCAACAGCACCGCAATCCTGGGGCTGATCGTCTTCACTAGCTTGCCGGATCACCAGCGATGATAATGAGATAACTATCGTTACTGTTGGCAATATCCAGAGAAGATGTCTGTATATCTCGGACATTGTGAGCTTGGTCAGCAGATAACGATATTTACGCTCGACACATTACGATCAGGAAGAGTCTAGATTTTCCGCCTTCTCATTACACCAAGAGGAGTGACTAACCTGGCATGATCCGATGACCCTTTATCAATTGTTGTTCCTCATTAAAATAAAGTTAGCGGTACATGTATTCCAGGGCTTAATCGATATCGAAGAAAGCCTGGCTGGGACCCGAAGCCATGCAATGAGAAGCGAATCCAGGCTATCAGGAAACCCAGATTGGGGAGGTCCTGCGGGTTATAACCAATCAGATGTAAGACAAGGCCAACTGACCACCTCTCTCTCCCTAGTTCCAACATGGCCTCTTTGCGTCTGGGCTTTTCGTATTTTTTTTTTTTTTTTTTTTTTCTAGTTTCCCCTTGTCAATTTTCTCGCTTGGCTGGTCGCATGAGGTTTCTTGGGACACTCTTGTTAGTTCTGCATCTGGCACGACATGGAAAAGCATCATCCCAGCCCCTCCGTGACCCAATGCTTCTCCGTCTAGGCAACTATCGGGTTGCCATGTTTCTAACATTGCTCGTGCCAGGTGGTCAGCACATGGAAAGGACACCATGCTTTGCCCCCATTTCTAGGTACTCGAACACTCTTAACCGCACCTCACCCTTGTAGTGATGAGCGCAGAGCGAAATCGATGTTCACAAGTGAAACAAGGTAAAGCGAGGGGATGACGCGTTAATGATTAAGCATCAATGCAAAGATATTTTTTTCTTCCTTGGCCAGGCAAGAAGTGTCGAGCTAAGAAACAAAAAAGAATGTAAATCCAGTTTTGGCTGACAAGGGAAGGGATTTTATTTGGAAGAAGATATCTCTCTCCTGCGTGAGCTGTCAGTTTCCAGATCAAGAGGACTTATCGTCCGTGGCCAAGCTCTACATCTCTGATACCAGTCCCATAATCCTACCAAGACGTATTCAACCTGTCTCCTGTGTTGTACATAGCAATGCCCACAAAGTATCTAGTGTTCACCCGCATCATACTAGGTGCCCGACTGCTTAACCTTGCCCGCCCGATCCGACCCAGCCTCGCCAGCCGGCCGACTTACAACGGGCAAAAAGTGGGTCCCCATTTTCCGCATGTCGGGTGCGGGCACCGGCACCATCGGAGCGGATCCAGTTGGCGTTGTGATCGGGCATCCATCCATCCATCCCTTCCATCACAAGCAGAAGTTGCAATCACAACTGCCTAACCTGGAAACTGACAACAGAAAATGTGATATATGCGTTGCAGACCGACTCTCACCGGCGCACGGTAGCTATCGATCCCATGCATAGTATCGTTGCTGTGCCAGAGCTATTCGCGGAAACCTGTAATAATTCTGGCTGAATGCCACCATCGAGACAGCGAGATGTTAAGAGGGTTGAAGACGATAAGAAATACAAATAGTAACATGGATTGCAAACAGCATCTCTAGGCGGGATGCTGTCTCGTTTGTTGGTGTTGGCCGACCGCGACAAATGCTGTTGTTGGCTTCTTCACCCTTCGACCAAGTCCCAACTGCTCCCGACTCCGACCGCACCCGTCCGGGCACTCAGCCCGTCTCAATGTTTGTCCGCTGTTGCCGCTAGCATCCCTTGGTAATCTCCTCCCAGGCTGTCGGGGAAAGCTTCATCAAAGAAGATTCACAAGGAACAAGTTAAAGAAAATTAATTGTGTTGTCTGGTTCAGTCAAACAGGTGATTTGCAGTGTACCTGGCTGCCGCGCATCTGCTTGGAACTTGGCGCCGTGGTTCGCACTCAATTGCGCGCCCGATGGAAAATTGCAGTTTGAGCAAAAGCGAGAATGAGATGTTGGTGGACATCGGCACTGCGGGCGGGCAATAACAACAACACACAGGGCAGTCGGTGCGCCGCGGCAGCGATATCGCGCGATAGCGACGCTGGACGCAGCAAAAAAACTGCCCTGCACCGCTTTACCAACTTGTGATAAAGGGAAAACAAACTGTCGCAACGTCCTAAACAATCATTATGAGAAATCAAACAGATGCCGAAAAAAAGTATAAATATCTTCCAAGTCGTAGCAGGATGTTCCCAGTTGGGAAACAAGAAGAAAAAAAGAGCAAAAAGTAGACAAAAATATGATTCGAAGTCTGGATGTCCAGATGGGTTCCAAAGATTAGGGTATTGGAGTATTTTGGGCCAACTCACGGTCACATCCGGTAAAAGGCAGGAGATGAGTTCGTATGAGCAGGCCCACTCCAGCAGTTCAGCGTCTGACAGTTGACTTATGTACCTTGTAGTCAGAAACTACCACCAGCCCAATGTTGCCACCCCAACCACAACAACCACGAGGTGCAATCGTTCACCTTGTACGGCTCGTGCACCGCTTGGAGTTCCAATCGCAGTGATGATGCAAAATATGACAATTGGCGCTGAAGTTCTAAGATCTAGTATTGTTGGAGGGGTCAAAGAAATGTGGTACTGGGATAACTGACCTGAACATACAATTTACGGATCTGTGAAAAGACAGTTGTTTGTTGTCTTATTATCTAGGCTCTCCTCTATTATGTACTGTTCTCGTACTTCAACTGCTTTTTTGCTGTTTAGCAAGATTTATCGAATCGAAACGGACACAATTTTACAGTACCCTGCACATCATACTCGGAATATAGTTTACTGGACGTGGTCGTCTCATTGTCATCTATTCCCGTGTAGTACCATCTCTGCCAAAATTCTTGATTCTAGATCCCTTTCTGTGACGTATAACGTCCTAAGTACATTGAAGCCTAATGGACCCTTGAACTCTTGGTCGCTAGTAACGGCCATGCCCGCCCATCAATCAATCCTCGATATCATCATCACTCAGCACCAAGCTCTGAATCCCACCCAGCTCCGTCGCCTCCTGCTCCTGTCCATTACCATGCACCCTACTGGCAGTAGCCCGGCTGAGGATCGCACCTAGCCCTCTCTTGTCCCGCCCGGGGATCATCGCTTCCTCCACAGGCTTATCCGTAGTCCAACTCTCAGTCACCCCTGCCTCCTCCGCTCCTACAGCTTCGTCTTCGTCCAAATCCTCGGTTGCGGGAGGTCCAATGCCATGGAAGGACACGATCTTGTCTAGGTCCCGGATACGCATGGAACCGAACGAGCAGCGTCGACCGCGAGCAATGTGTGCCATGTAAGGGAGACGCTCGAGGACCATTTCTTGTCGAGCGGCGGAGCCGAGCGAGAGGAGAGGGGGCGCGGAACTACTTGACGCGGTGGTCGGCGCTTGCGTGGCTGGCTGGGGTCTTTGTGTGCTAGCCCAATCTCTTACGCTGTTGACGTTCGGGTTCGCTGTCGAGGATGGCCTTTGGAACGCCGATGCACCGCTGGTCAAATTCATAGTTGTGCCGCCGCTATGCGATAATGTCATGCCGTCCTCGCCCTTCAGCATCTTGGTAGCCCACGTGTCCACACAACCTTCCAATTCCTCCTTGGCCCTCCACAGCTTGAGATAAGCCGGGTAGAACATTTTGAAAGCGTCTCCTCCCCCACGACCTGACGTTGGGTGCGTCTGCCGTTTAACAGGCGACGGCAAGGAGAACAATAGGCCGCGAACGGCGACCTGGAATGCCATTTCATCCTGCCGGAGTATATGGCTACCCGAGTCCTTACCGCCGTAATTTCCGCCGGCGAATGCTCCCTTTCCGCCAAAAAAAATGTCCCAGGAGGGACAGAGAAGGTCGGCTTCGGACAGGTAGTCGAGACATCCATTCATGTAATCTAAGGAAGAATTGGGATCGAGAGGACTACTTTCGCACGACAGGGCGTAATTTTCGTGTAAGGCCGCAATGAAGGTCTGGGTGTCAGTACCCAGTTCATCGATTAGCGTGTCAACAGCAACTTCGGATTTCTTCGGCCTGGACAAGTGTGACAGGTAGCCTGGTAATGTCTCCGCTTTTGCTTCTTCAGACCCCAAGGGAAACGGCTTTTCAGCCCTTTTGTTGTATACGACTTTTCCAACCGCGTGGAAGATACCCAGGGTTGCCTCTCGCTGAGATATTAGCTCAAGGCTTTCTTGCTCACCCTTGGTCAGCGCTGCATCCTTTGATCCTTTTTTCGTCTTCGTGAAAGCAATCTTGGATCCCCAGTCGGCGTCATCGTCGCCCTTAACACAAAGGAACTCTAGCGATGCAATAGCATTTCGGATGTCCCCAATCTCTCCAAGACGTTTAAGCACCAGTGGTCCAGGGGTCATTCGGCGGCCCGACCTTCGGGCTTCCTTCTTCACTACCAGCTCTAAAGCTTTAGCGAGGAGAGATGGCGCAATGGGGTTGAATTCGATGACACCTGTCCCAGGGTGTCGCAATATCTCGGGACCTAGTAATCGATGTGCAGTAAAGCTGTCGGCGGAAGCAGACGTTGTGGTAAGCAAGGTCTCAGATATTACCATTACTATTGGAACAATTGAGTCCGCGGGTGGTGTCTGCCCAAAGGGTGTAAGTGCTGGGGTGTTAGCCGCCAAGAACTCATAAATTGTGTTCCTGAAGTTGGTCAAGGCGGTGGATGATCGCATGAAGGTATTGGGAAATTCTTCAATTAGGATTACCCTTCGGCCCTGATTTGATGTGTTGGTGGTGGGCGCCAGTGCCGGCAGAGGTGAGTCTCCTTCCAGGTCCAGCTGTCCAAACTTCCGGCCTCTTCCCAAGAACTCTTCGAACTGCGAAGACGCAGACTGGTATCCCTGAGGAACACCGTATGAACTTGCTGGGTTTCTCCATTCAAGAACTTCGCATCGCATATCCTCGGCTAGCAGTTTCAGAGTGGTCGTTTTGCCCGTGCCAGCAGCGCCCTTCAGCACCAGGAGGCGCTGCCTCATCCGGCCAGCAATAACATCCTCCAGCCATTTCCGCACATCTCCCACTTTCCTTTTGTGTACCGCCAGCTCCTCCAGGTTTGTTGGGGCGAATCGTTCGGACCACGGTCGAGAATCGTCATCGGTCGGCGGAGGTGGGGCAACCACTGGCCTAGCTGGTCTGGATTGCTTCAAGAAGCGCTGACCCGTGGTTGAACTTAGCGTACTAGTCTGGGTACTGAACAACGAGCTCCCTTGGGAGGTGCCCTGGGAGTTGTCTTTGAAGCGCCTGTGAGCTTGCAGTCCAACCAAGCTGGATGCTGCCGTCTTGGACAGAGCGATGTCGTCATCAGACTCGCTGATGATATCCTCAAGGAAATCGCTAATATCCTTGCTGCTCACGCCCGATGCCGCAGATGCTTGACTCCTTTCCGTTTGCTTCGAGAATAGAACCTTGAGGTCCCCATTCCTCCCATTTTCCTCAGTTCTGAGTTTCTTCTGTGCCCTCGTCCGTGACTTGATCGGGCTTGCGCTTGGGCTTCCGGAAGCAGCTTTTGGCAGTCGGTTCCGGAGGGTGGCAGACGATGCAGCTGGAGGTTGAGATCTTGTCGAAGCGCGTGTAGTTCTCGTAGTGGCTCTCACAGGACTTGAAGAATCCGGTATTACTTCTAGGCGGTCGTTGTCGTCTGGCTTGGCGGACTTGCTCGCGACGGGGGACGCGATGAGGAAGCGATTCAGGGTGTTTTGATTGTTTTGACTCGTCTGCTTCTTCTCGTCTTCTTCGGCGTCAGAGTCGTCGACAATGGTCCGTTTGCGTCGCTTTGCAGCCGGCGCCATTGCAAGTTTCGCAGGTGCGTGCGACACAGCATTGGTCACATTGCACGGTGGGGTATAACGAGAGGAGGTGTATGAGAGCAGCGGTTGTTGAAGTGACGAAGTCTCAGACTACCTGTAAACAAGAAAAATCATCATAGAGGCAATGGCGATAGGCGGCACTTTGCTACCGCGACCTTCATGGCACGTCCCAGGCCCGGATTTCCAGCGCAAACGTACAGTTTACAGGGATAATGTACAGTTACACCGGGTACAACCCTAACCCTTTTTCATGTGAGCCACCCAGCACTCTCTCGAACCTTGAGACTTGTGTGAAAACAGAATGCCTTCCCAACCACTGACTCATTTATTAGGATTTCATCATCAACAGTGTGGCCGTGATTTTAAGAGCATTGCTAATATACAGAGAATACAGCACTGGAGTTAACCATCGCCGAACCCCACACCCAGAGACCTCCAAACTACCACCATCCCTCGAAATCATCCGCAAACCGAACCGCAGCTGCGAGGAACCGGTCATGGACATCACCCCAAGTCTTTGCCGCCTCTCTGATTGACCGGATGGCTGTTGAGTTCTTGTGTTAGTAAAGCGATCGGAACCAGAAAGTGTCAAGAAGGCAACCAACCTTTCACATAATGAGCATCCTTCGCAAACCGACCGTTCAGCGCCTTGTCCTCAACATAATTCCAGCTCCTACCCTTCAGGTCCTGAGGGATGTAATCCGGGTCAACCTTGGGGCGGAGCACAGCAATGTACGCCGCCAGGGTAAGAAGCCACCATTGCCTCACGAGGTTGATGTGAAACTTGACTGGTACGAAGGGCAGCAACACTCGAACGGCATGGCTCGTTGTCAATACGTGGACGAGGAAGAAGTTGTAAGAATGCGTCCCGGGTGGAACAGATGCAACCAGGAGCTCAATGGCCGCCTCCTGGGACTCGCGGAATTGCTCGACGGGATTGGCCAGTTCCCAAGCGTTCCAGTATTCCAAAACCAGTGGCTCGGCCTTCTCAAAGAGTGCGTCGACGTTCTCGAATTTGGCCTCGTCAAATAGGCCGTCAAAACGGCTGTCGTTCGCTAGCTTGGTCAGGAGCTCAGAGGGCGATGTGGAGGAGATGGTCGACTTGGTGGTGTACGATGAGTCGTCGATGTACTTGTGCAAGTAATTGTGTGTGGATGATGCCAAGCTTAGAGCTTCGATGGCAAGTTCTCTGTTATCGAACTCATAGGCATAGCCCAAGTGGATGAGAGGATGGCCAACTACATCACTTGGTCAGCAGCATGAATCATAATTTTGCAGCTCGAAATCAAGTACTTACGACTGGAAATAAGACCATTGATCAATGGCTGCTTGCCCCCAAACATGAACTCCTCAATAACCTGCTTCCAGTCATACTTGTACTTCATAACCATCATGTCCTCAAAGAAGTCAACATAGGCTCTCTGATACCGTCTGTCACCTAAGTTATCCCTCCAATCTGCCTCAGAGACCTCAGAAGGCGAGTCCTTCCATGGTTCCAACGTCTTGGACTCTTCCTCATAGATGTCATACAGCTGCGGTGCCTGGGCGCCCAGTTCATATGATGAGCAGAGGATATGTGCCATATGGTTGTCATATTGCAGGTCATGGTACAAGATGGAATGGTTCACGTGGTTAGCCCGTAAGAGGTGCTTGAGTGTCCGCGGCCGCTTGTCTGCGTCGGTCTCGATATTTTGGACTTTGATGGGAGCAACGTCGATGGCTCTGGGCGCCTCACCACCAACCAGCCTGTTGACCAGGGGAACGTATGAAAGAAAACCCGCCATGTGATGTGCCTGTTGTTTTCTGTCTACTATTTCGATGGGAGATTGATTGCGAAACGGAATGTTAGGTTGGTGTAGATGAACAAAAAAACGCCACTGCAATCACATGGAGACTGGAAGCTCAATCATGACCGGAAGCTCTCAGGCGATATGAGACACCCCGGCGCTGGATACATAGCAATTTTTGTTGGGAGCCTTTCAGTTGGGATTCCACTGATGTCAACGGCAGCTGGGCCTGTCGGTTAACCCCATTCGACAGCCAGCTGCCAGTCACCTTGCTGGCTTCCCCGCTGTCGTCATTGCCAGGCTCTTCAATCCCCACTTTCGCTCCGTTTAAGCTCCACCGTTGTCGGGACAGAACCGGCCGGGTCGGCGAACCACCATGCCCCTCTTCCGCCATGTGGATGTGGAAAGGGGGACCCATCCGTCATCGGGACCCTCAGATCCATCATCTACATATCCCGTCCCGTCCCGCTAGGTCAAGGTAGGGATAGACCGAATTGGCAGAGTCATCCATCTCAAACCGCGATATCGTATCATTTGATCAACATCACACTCCTCAACACGAAATCCACACATTCACAATGGCGCCTAAAGCAATCATTGCACCCTCCATTCTGTCGGCCGACTTTGCCAACCTCGGCCATGACTGCTCTAAGACAATCAGCCAGGGCGCCGACTGGCTCCATGTCGATATCATGTAAGAAAGCTGATCGTAGTTCATCGCCCCCTCACCATGAGAAAAGAACCTCAACTAACACCAAACACAAGGGATGGCCACTTCGTCCCCAACCTAACGTGGGGCCCTCCCATCGTCGCCAAGATTCGCGGCCACGTTGAGAAGCCAACCGAGGCCTACGGCAAGGGCACCTTCGACTGCCACATGATGATTGCCGAGCCCAAGAAATGGGTCAAGGAGTTTAAGAAGGCAGGTTGCGATCTGTACTGCTTCCACTATGAGGCCGCCTTCTCGACGGCCGCCGAGTCGCCCGAGGCCAAGTCGGACAAGAAGACCAACCCCAAGGAGCTGATCAAGTACATCCACGACCAGGGCATGCTTGCGGGTATTGCCCTTAAGCCCGCAACTTCTGTTGATGTCCTCTGGGAGATCTTGGAGTCCGAGGACCCCAAGGAGAGACCGGATGTAAGTTTACTCATGCCCTTACCCCTTACCTAATGATGGTCTATCTTCCAATGTTGGACAGGCTTGGCGTGAAGAGTGAAGACCATGGAGAGTCAAGGGAGAAGGAGAAAGGCACATACTAAACACCCCTGTTTGGCAGATGGTCCTCATCATGACAGTGGAGCCTGGCTTCGGTGGACAGAAGTTCATGGCTTCCGAACTGCCCAAGGTTCAAGAGCTCAGGAAGCGGTATCCCGAGCTGAACATTGAAGTCGACGGCGGCCTTGGACCCAGCACCATCGACCAGGCGGCGGACGCAGGTGCGAACGTCATCGTAGCCGGAAGCGCCGTCTTCGGGGCCCAGGATCCTTCTGAGGTCATTGCGCTACTTCGTGAGGCTGTCGAGAAGAGGAACGGCAAGCTATAAGAGAGATAGTAGTAACCTGAGGAAATATGGAAGGGGAGCGAGTGGGGGAACGTACTCGCCGGGTCTAAAAGCGCCTTCTTTCTCCATGGCTTGCATCTGACGAGTAGACGCTGCTCCTTCACCTTGCAGTTCAGTGTATTAATATCACTGGCCCTTCCCCCACAATCCGCGATCTTCTCTACCTTATGTGGCTCGACTGTGGATGCTCAGGAATGTAGATTAGGTTGCATATGCTCATCATTGGAATATTTGGCCAATTCAAAGAATTTCATGTACTGAGAATCAGAGAAGCCTGTCTCTCAAGCCTTATACGATGTCGCCCATTCAAACGATGCACAAAAACCTGAAATACAACAGACGCAATCAGACCCGAGAGATGAGAACAGCTACTCCCTTCTTGCCAGTCTAAAGGTCGGTTCCGTAGATGACACCTACACCTTTAGTAGCATTTTGCACTGTTCAGAGACGTGTGAGACCATCTATTGCTCAAGTCAAGACGAACTGTCCCGGAGTTTTTCAAAGCTCCTGTTTGTTTAGAAAAAAGAGAAAAAAAAAAAAAATTTGTTTCCAATGTGAATTGCTCTTTAGAAGCGGAATATAAAGAGCATTTCTAGTGAGGAGTTGTACATACTGGGCCACTTTAGGTGCTGTAGCCAAGGTACCTCTAGGTACGCACGCGTCGTTATCGATTAGCCAAATCATGCGATACTTGGCGATCCCTGCCTTTCTGACCACTTTTTCGTGGGGAAAGAGGATCCGACATGCAGCGGCGGAGACAAAATTTTTGGCAAGCCTGCTCCACTCTAGTGGTTCGATAAGAGCTGCGATAACTTATGTATCAGCCCACGGCACCTTCCTGGCCATCGTTTTTCTCCTGCTGCATTTGCACTTGCACATTGTCTTTTCAATCACAGCTCGAAATTTGTGCAGACCAGCCAATCGACCTACTCAAGATGGTGAAGAGAAAGGCAGAGAATCAGGCACGGTCTGACAGCAAGAAGTCGGCCAAGAACCTGAAGAAATCGAAGAACAGTAATGCGTCCATTGGCCCCCATGCTCGCCCGGGTTCCAGTTGTGGCTGACCTGCATCACCGCACACAGCTCTCTCCCCGGAAGACACCAAGGCCCGTTTTCGCAAGGGGCTCTTCGACCAGTCCGTCCTTAACGAGTACACGCAGGAGTATGCTTCCTCGACCCCTTACAAGCACGCCGTTATCAACGAGCTAGTCGACGACTCCCTCCTCCGCAAGGTCCGCGACGAAATCAAGGACAATGTCTCTTTCACTCCCAAGGAGACCGACATCTACAAGATCCACCAAAGCGGTGACCTCGCAAATCTCGACGGTCTCGACGACGATGCCCTGTCCAAGCTGCCCTCTCTTCTCGCCCTTCGCGACGCTCTCTACTCGGAGACCTTCCGCAACTATGTTTCCCACATCACCGACTGCGGTCCCTTGAGTGGACGTAAGACGGATATGGCCATCAATGTCTATACCCCGGGCTGCTACCTGTTGTGCCACGACGACGTCATTGGTTCCCGCAAGGTCAGCTACATCCTCTACTTGACGGATCCCGATACCCCTTGGAAACCCGAGTGGGGTGGTGCCTTGCGTCTCTTCCCCGTCGAGGACCGTGAGGGCAAGGACGGCGAGATTGCCAAGACACCGCTCCCAGACCCGGTCAAGGTTATCCCACCGGCATGGAATCAGTTGTCCTTCTTTGCTGTCCAACCCGGAGAATCTTTCCACGACGTCGAGGAGGTATACCATGCTTCCAAGGAGGAGCTGGAAAAGCAGGGTGGCCGCATCCGTATGGCTATCAGCGGATGGTTTCATATCCCTCAAATCGGCGAGGATGGCTATGTCGAGGGCGCAGAGGAAAAGGCTGCCCACAAGAGTGGTTTGATGCAACTGCAGGGCAACCCAGATCAGTACGACCGCCCAGTTGCGAAGCCCGTGCAGGTGGAGAAGGAGTCGAGCAACGAGGATGAAGAAAACACGTTCGACGAAGCCGACTTGGAGTTTCTCTTAAAGTACCTCGCCCCTACCTACTTGACCCCCGACACGATCGAAAACATTGCCGACCAATTCGAGGAGCAGTTCAGCATCACCTTATCCGACATTTTGCATCCTAAGTTTGCTGCCAAGATCAAGGAATATGTCGAGGCCCAGGAGGCCAAGAAACTTCCTGAGGGTAGCGAGGAGATCGAGAAGTCTGGTGCTTGGAAGGTGGCTCGCCCGCCCCACAAGCACCGCTTCTTGTATCTGCAGCCAGGCGAGGGAAATGCCCCCGACTCGCCCATCAAGGAGTTGCTGGATGTTCTGCTGCCATCCAGGCAGTTCCGTCTGTGGTTGCAGATGGCAACAAGGTCCACTATTGAAGGCCATGATCTCCTTGCTAGGCGGTTCCGTCATGGTAAGGATTATACTCTTGCCACCGGGCATGATGGCAAAGCTCGTCTGGAGCTCAACATCGGCCTAACACCTACCGATGGATGGGGTGATGTCGAGGATGAGGATGAGGACGAAGAGGAGGAGGAAGAGTCGGAAGAGGAGGAGGCTAAGGGCAAGGGCAAGGGCAAGGGTAAAGCCACCTCTAACGGCAGCTCTAAGGGCAAGGGCAAGGCTGTTGATAAGAATGAAAAGGCCGAGGAGGAAACAGTGGAAGTCGGCGGCCACGAAGTGTATATGGCCGGTGACGATGACGAGGACGAGGATGCGGCCATCTACAAGAGCAGCGAGGACGACGACAACATTCTCTTCTTCCAGGCGGCTGCTTGGAACAAGATGACACTGGTGCTCCGTGATAGCGGGACACTGCGCTTCGTCAAGTATGTTAGCCGCACTGCTAAGGGTGACCGATGGGACGTTAGCGGCAGTTACGAGATTGAGGAACAGGATGAGGACCCCGATGCGGAGGAGTTGGCTGCAGGAGCTGAGGACGACGAGGCAGGCTCGGAAGACGATGAGTTCAACGGCTTCTCGGATGATCCGGATGGCACCGGTTCCGATTAGATGTCAGCACCTAAAAGTACATGTAAGATATGAAAGATACCCGGCAATACAAGGTGACATAAGACAATTGTGGCTTCACTACGACAATCCGTATTCGGGATGGTTCAACTACGTCAGCTCAGCCTTCTCGAGTTGCGCCGGATTCGCGAGGAGGTAGTTGATCTAAACTTTGAGATTTAACCGCTTAACCGGCAAGTTGTCCTGATGTACACGATCAAGATGAGGGTTCTGAATCGTCAAAAGGCGGTATTATAACATGGCGACTTCTTTAACTTGTGCAATCAAATCCTACACAGTACACTAGTTGCTACACTGCGTATTTTGCCGAGGTGAAAGTTCTCGAGTTGGGAAAAAGGATAACGTCATCACCATATCTCCACATCAATGACCTTCCATGACACTGGGAGCCCCGCACAATGCGATCGCACTAGGATGACTCGGAGCATCAAAGGGACCATCTTGTCGAATGCCGTATGTCGTTTGTTATAACAACTCTCAAGGTTAGAACTCTTCCACAGATTAATGCATCACCACTTTTAGCGTATACATAGGTACAACTAAACAAGGTGCTTGTACATACATACCTAGGTACCCAATTGGCACCAACCAATCAACGATACACAAGCGGGCACTTTTGTGCGCCACCCCGGAGCACAATTTAAAAGCGGGGCGGGGGGACCAACGGCTCAATGCAATTCCCCTTTTTGGCTCTTCAGCAGTATCCGCATGTGGATGACAAGCTGTATGGCTGCCATGGCACAGGCACAGTGTCGCTAAAGTGTCCCTGAAGGCTGCAGGTCAGCTACTGCAGTCTGTGCAGCTGGCAAACTAAAACGGCACAAGAGTGCCCCGCTGTGCCACTCTTTGGCGCCGTCGTCCAATGGAAATGTCACTATGTAATGGCCGCGAAGGTCCCTTTCGGCCAGACCGTCTTTGAGGACAATTGCGGACCATTGAGAAGCTGGAGAGAGTGGCTTGGGAGTGGGAACCACCTGTCCGAGGGAAAGGGACGGGACTCGAGTGAATAGGGATGTTCGCTGCCCTTGATTTGCTTTTGTCCGATTTCATCTGATTTATCCTTCCATTTATACATCTAGAATTCCCATCCATTGCACCTTCCATCGCATCTTTAGCTCTGAAGAGAAAAGTCGGCACAAAAACTCGGACGAATCCACCGCCCATTGCCTATCTTTCTTCCCACACCTGGACCTTAATCGCAAACCAGATATTGGACCGCCCAGTGTCTACAACACAAAGCGGCATCATTCGAGTTTCATATAGTCCCATACTTGTCTTTACTACGATTATTTCTGGACCCCGTCACGCCTTAACGTTGCATACCGGTCCGACTTGACTCCTCCAACGGCGAATAAACAAACTCCTCCACCATGCCAATTCGGAATCCCTTTGCGCGCCGACTTGGCGTTGCCGTGACCCAGGACGAGAACGTCCGCCCCGGTTCCGACGCTGGTAATACCGACCTTGCCCATGCCGGCTTCGAGAGGGTAAACACGGTCGGTTTTAGAGCCTCGTCGGCCTTCAACATCCGCAGCAACAAGAAGGGTCAAGATACTGGCGATTACAAGATGAGTGGTATGACAAACCAGGCCCCTATCAACCAACCCCAACACCGCCTTAACCCCTCTAGACCATCGTCAATGCCAGTAGAAAGCGCCATCATGCTAACTCGTCTTGTTGGTCTCAGTGGTCAATGACAGTGGTGTATACTTGCCGGTATGAAATGAAATCCCCATGTGGCATGGCTTAGAGAAACAATCCAAGCACAGACATCTGACAGGGGTAATTACAGCCGTCTCCCGTCGAGAAAGAAGCAATTTGGCCCAGGAAATACCTGTCGCGCAACTCTACCGAAACAAAGACTGCTGTTCCTGAGATTGAACACTTTTCCATCTCGAGAGAGTCCTTTGACTCCTATAGGAGGTCTTTTGTATGTTTCCGACGCATCCATCCTGCTTTCAGGCCCATGATCGCCGTACACAAATGATGGCTGACCTTGATACACTTCCCACTTTTAGGACATATCTGCAAAGAGCCCCGTATCTCCCACCGCCGGCGAATTCACTTTCGCACCGCGCCAGAGTCTCGATTCTGCTAGGTTCCCACGCACGCCGCGACAGTCGGTTTTCAGTGAGCATCGTTTCAGGCGGGACTTCTCTACTCCGGAAGAGAGCTTCGAAGAAGTCGGCCTCAACGACGACAAGCAACAGGCCCAGCCGGCCAAGAAGCGCGGCTTCTTCTCCAAGTTTGGTTCCGATGCCCCTGAAAACGCCACCCCGCTGAAAGAGAAGGAGAACGGGCAAGCCATGTCGCGATTCCTCCCCGGCCGGAAGCGGGGACAGAGCGGACAGGGGGCAGAGCTTATGCCTGTCGCTGACCGACCATCCACTGCCACCGCCTTGCAAGAACAGGAGGTGCAGTCATGATTTATGTCCAAAGTAAAATTCTCTTTCTCTTCTTTTCGGCTTACCAAATTGGGATGCGGATAATGCCGGGTTTGGCATGTCCAGGCTTTACGTACATGTCAACCTGTGGGCTCTCGGCTGGTGGACTGCTTAATGAAGTCACGCACAATATTAGATCGCACAACTAGACGGACGTCACTCCCTCATGGAGGATGACGCAGGATATGGGATTCTGGCTTTTGGGCGTTTTTGGGTAATGAGGATATTGCTCTTATGACACAGTATATACAGACATGATGGACAAAACTACAACTTAATGAATCGAGTAATTATTACATCTTGCACTTCCTGGCATATATATTTTAGATCATCACTCGTAGTATCTTGGTATTTACTGCGCCTTTGGATCCTTCTTCAACGCCTCAAGGCCCTGAATAAGATCGTCCCTAAGGTCATCCCAGCTCTCGACGCCAACGCTTACACGCAACAGCCTCTTGTCAATATCCAAGTCGCTCATGGCACGCCACTCGATCAAGCTCTCAACGCCACCCAAGCTAGTAGCATGGTGGAACAAGTGCAACTTGCTGGGCAACCTCTTAGCCTGCTGCTCCGACTTGAGATATATGGAAAACACCGGTCCGAAGCCACCAGGCATCTGCTTCCGCAGCCAGCTGCCCTCCTCCTTAGCCTCGGGCTGCTGTGAAGCATGCTGGATCCTCGTCACGAACTCGCTCACCAGGCTGCCCTCCTTCGCCTTCTCCTCCACCAACCAATCCACCAGCTTCTGCGCGCTCTCCGCCTGCCTCTTGATGCGCAGCTCAAACGTCCGTAGGCTGCGCACCCCCAGCCAGCCCTCCAAGCTCCCCAGCACTGCGCCCAAGTGCAGCCTCTCCTCCAACAGCGCCGGTAGCCATTCCTGAGCCTTGTCTGGCCGGAACGCCAGCACGCCGCACAACAGGTCGCTGTGTCCGCCAAAGTACTTGGTGCCGCTGTGCATGACAATGTCCACGCCCAACTGGAACGGGTCCTGCAGGGGCGGGGGAGCGAAGGTGGCGTCCACGGTCAAGTAGCAACCCAGCTCGTCGGCTTTGCGCCGGTAATAAGCTAGGTCGCGGGCTTCGCCGGTGGGATTGAGGGGCGTCTCAACGTGGATAACGTCGCCCGGTTGAAGCTTGGCGAGGTCGGCGTCGGACTCGAGTTCGAGTTTTTCCAGTCCGTTCAGCTTCTTCATGAGTTTGAGAATGCCGTGGCAGCCGTGGTAGCCGCCGCCGATGGCGACGCGCTTGGGGTTCAGGAAGACGATCATGGCGTGGAAGGCAGAGAGGCCAGAGGCGTAGGTGAGGGCGGGGGCACCCAGGAGGGAGGTTAGGATGGCCTCGAGACGCGTGGAGTTGGGGGCCGAGTCCCGGGAGTAGATGTGGGAGTCAAAGGGAGCATTGGGCTGTGTTTTTGTTGTGTGTTAGTGCGATTCTGAGATTGAGGATCTTTTTCAATGTTTGACGAGAAGGTGAGGAGAGAAAGTAAGAGGCATACGTTGAGGTTTTCCCATGGCTTCAAGTCGTCTGGGTTCTCGGCATAGCGAAAGGTGGTGGACACGTGCATGGGAGGCGCAACGGCTTGGTGGTTGTTGATGTAGTCGTCGGCGTGAACCGAAAGAGAAGCCATCGACAGCTCCTTGTTAGGGAAAGCCGCGGCGAGCTTTTTGGGGCCGTCAAGGACGGGGTTTCCGGTTGGGGAAGACATCTTGATGGTGTTGGTTACTTGTTGAACTGAAATGCACAGCTTGGTGAAAGTCAGGACCTTGATTGGAGTACTGAAACTCTGTTCTATCAACCTATTTATATGAACCTACACAGCTGAGATGGTGTTATCGCCAAGTCGACCCGATGAAGAAAGTGGAATCATGTCGCCATAAGGAAGCATGGAGACTCCCAGGTCTGAACTAGTAGCCTTACTCGCCTAATGCGCCCTTGGATATATCCACTCTTCTCGCCGTGGTCGAATGCCCGTTGGGTATTGGCGCGGGGTGACTCCATTGTTGACACAGGTCTCCTCAGTTTGTCATCGCAAGGGCGCGATGGGACCCATCGGATGCGCGTCGGATGGGGTCAGCAACTTCCTAGCTGAATTTGGGGCCCGTTCGGCACGTTAACGAAAGCTTTGACCATTGGGAGAGTGGTACAAGAAAATGCGTACTAGAATACACTCAGCACTGTGATGGCGTTCAGATATCGCAAGAAAGATCTCATCCGTCACCAAGCCATTTGGTCAGCCGTGCCAGCCCTAACCAAGTGCATCAAACCAAAAAGGTCAAAGTCAGAACGGCGCAGCTCCTATCTGGCGGCCAGAATATGGGCATGTGTTGGCGATTGTCCGAGATTGGAAGTTCTTTGTTTCTTCAGGGTGGGCTTCAAGAGCTACTGCGTTTCCTGTGGAGCCGTATGCATGAAAAGGGGCATTCGCTTTCAGCAGAACAACCACAGAGGCGTTGCACAGACCCCCGTCCAGCTATCGTCCCGAGGCTACGGGAAGAACTCCGAAGAAAGGAAACAAAAGCCTTATAGAAGACCTCTTCTCCACTTGAAACAATCACTCATTCGATCACTGATCATTCATTAGAAGTCCAAAGTTTCTGTCATTGGCGGCGGGTGTGACTGTGTGCCTAGGATGTTGGCGACGACGAAACTCTAAGAGGCTCCGGCGGCCGTTGAATTCTTCCTTACGGACGTCGACATCTCGCTTTCGTGTTCAAAGTTCCAAGCGTCGCCCCCTTCAGGAACGTGATTGTCAAAGGAGCCTTGAAACGTCTCATCCGAAACAGAACGGTGTTCAAGGGACGGGTAAGCCGAGCTTCCATGCATATCGCCATCCCCATATTTCAGGAAAGGAACAGATTGATCTCCCGGCGGGAAAAAAAGACGATTCCATTGCTTCCATGGGCTACAATGTGGCGCCCCCTTTGACGTCGAATGGCGGAATTGGCGGCAGTCATCAGGGGCTCCGTCTGTCGCAGATGAACAAGCAAACACCACCCCACATACCGTGAGGAAGACCAAGAGAAATGCGTGCAAGCGTGCAATCTACACCATTATGGAGAGACACCCCAGACATCTCTTCCCGGTTGAGACGACTGGCTGCAGCTTGGCTTCATTGGCGGATTGGCCCCTCAAGGCAAGCAGACTGTGTTTGACACCGCAACGGTCCGAAAATGGCACCAGTCACTCCCATCTGATCGTATCCCAGAGTACCCAACACCCATTTGCACTGCTTGTCATGAGCCGGGGCCCTAATATGTTCGGACAGTTTGTGGGGAGATCATCGAACGTCGAGGCTTGTCTCCCTTCAATACCGGCAGCATGACGTCCTTCTGGACTCGTTATCAAAGATCGGCGACCGGAGACGTTGGACCACCCTCACACCCCACGAAATAACGGTCTGGCTTAAACAATGGCTTAATATGAGCCTCCGGAGAAGGCTTAGTCGATTCCGAGCTGAATAGTCTCTCGGATGGTTGCGCATGTGTATATCATGTTCCCCTCTGGCCCTCCCTTCGATGCCTCTACTCCTCAAGTTGTTTGCTGATTTTACGTCCGTAAGAAAAGTTAAACAGAAACAGCTATCATGCCCAGAACGAAAGATGGAAAGATCACCAAACCAACGGGCGAGTCTCAAGTCCGGAGAAGGGGACGGCCGGCGATCGACTGGACGCCATCACGAAAGAGGAGACTTCTTCGGCTGTATCTCTGTACTCCCGAGTCGGGCCTGTCGTTGAAGGAGATCCTTGACCTTCTTGCCGAAGGGCCATTTCAACCAAAGTAGGACATATCCACCCTTCTCCTGCCCATGACCACCAGTGCTGATTGCAACTCCAGACCTCGACATACACAATGTCTGCTTAACGAGCTTCTGTCAAAGTCCTACCGTCAGAGGAGGCCCAAAAGCCGAACGTTGATGGAAAGGCGACTGGCCTATCTGAGGTCCATGAGGGATGGTCGTCCGGTTTCGGATCCACCAAAGGGAGACGAGACTGACTGTGCCATTCTTCTGGCCAAGAACCCGTCCAGGTGGCGGCAGCAGTCCCCTGGTACCAGCTGTCCGACGAAGCGTTTGGGGCGAGAGATGACCCAGCTCAGCATATCGCACCATTTGGGGTTGGAGAAGGCGAGTGCAAGCGACCTGAGCTCAATACCACCAGGTTCCTCCACAGCAACAAGCTTCGACTCGCCAGAAGCCGACATGTCTGCCCTTGAGGTACCAGCATCGACAGGAAGGATCTTCAAGCACAACTCCAAGACCATCAAGGAGAGGCGATGCAGTCGGGTGGAAAGTTTGAGGGTGAAGCTCCCGGGACGCACTTCGTCGTTCTTGGCCGACGTCGTTAGTCTCTTGAGCGGACTTTCCATATGCTCGAGTAGTAACGCCTCTTCTTGTGCCTCTCCCCATTGGAACCAGCGATCGTTCTTATCTAGGTCGAACTCATCCGCCACGCTATATGAAGGACGAGGGAAGAAGAAGTCTACACTTCCAGAGGGCAAGGCTATGTCTCCTGAAGACCCGATAGACTATAGCGACAAGTATGCGCAAAACGCCGACAGCCGGGCAAACCAAGAGCTTCTCAAACACTGTTGCAGCAAAAAGGCATGGTGCATCCACAAGCGCATCAGTGCGGTGTGTTTTGGCAACCGATCGCCCGATACCTTTGTCTGCGCCGCCGAGGAAGTGAACGACCAGGACGGGTTGGGGAACACCGCACTTCATGTTGCCGCCCGATGGATAGCTCCTGGGCCTGTCCTCTTCCGGATCATGGCGATGTCGACAACCATAACCCTCAATACGCCGAACCACCTTAATGAACTCTTCCTTCACGTACTCAACCCTAGATCACTTGACATCAACGAACTCGCTCACTTCACGAGATATCTCGTTGGCCGCGAGTTCAATTTCTGTCAACTGGACTCTTCCGGCATGACATTCATCGAGCGCCTTATGGCTCGTCTCGACTTCAGTATTGAGGCCCTCGAAACCATCTTCTCCTACCTCCCCGAAGCCACTCGTCTCTTTCTCCTCGGGCACCCCTCCAGCCCCAGCCTCAACCCTCATCATACCCCTCAACCGCCTCTAATCCAAGCTATCCGAGTTCGTCTGAACGTTATCGAAGGCAACAGCCTCATCCCCGACCCCTCCCAACTCGAAGCTGCCTCAGCCTACTGTGACTACTTCCTCGCCCGCTACGGCACAGCCTACCGTACCGTCTGGATCAGACCGCCTTCCCTCTTCGCCCACGTCCCCGTCAACCCTCAGGGCCGCAACAACCTCCACCAAATCATCGCCTCCCTCAACGTCGGGCGCAGCCTGTGTCCGCCCACCACCGAAAACCTCTGCTATTACACCCCTCCCTCCGCCACTCCCCCACCCCCGTCCTTCGGCGACACCAGCTTCCTCGACCTTGACGTTGACGTCATCGAACCCAGCGTCACCATGGCAGTCAACCAGCACCAAAGATCCCCTACACTCACCACTACAGCTACCACCACCAGCCTCTCCTTTCCCCAAGTCCTCGCCCTCGCCCTCGCGGGCGGCGTCCCCGAAGACCCCAACAACCGCGACCTCCCACACTTCCGCACTCCCCTCATGACCCTCCTCCGCGGTTTCGCCTGGGGCAACCACCACCACCCCCACTATCCGTCACAACCATCCGACATGCTAAGGGAATGCCTCCACCTCCTGCTCGCGCACGGCGCGCGGCCGGAGCTAGTCGACATCGACGGCAACAACGCTTTGCACCACGCGGCCGAACTGGGATTGCTGAGTGCCGTGGTGGTGCTGTGCACTCATGATCGGGACTTGCAGAGGACAATGAATCGTACGGGACAGACGCCGTTGGATTTGGCGATTCAGAGGATGAGTGTTAAGGGATATATGCCGATGACGGAGGCGATGAGGAGGGTGGGGAGGCATGCGGAGGTGGTGCTGTACTTGGAGACGGGGGTTGTGATGGCGGATGAGTGAGTGTCATGGATTGAGTTGTATGATGATATTTCTGTTTTTTTCTGCCTTTTTGTTTTCCCTTAGACTGGCTTCGGTTCGCGTGTGTAATGTGTTTTTTTTTTTTTTTTTTTTTTTTGAACGTTGACGTGATAGATGCTAGACCGTATACTTCCCGGCGTCCCTTGTTTACATGGACCTTCCACTAGATAGTAATCATTAATGTAATTAAATCGCGGTTCAAAACACGTCTAGCTGCTAGTGCATTACTATGCTCAACGGCAACTTTGCTCCAATATAATATATGTTGTTCCAGTACGTGCCTTTGAGCTGTACCGTGAAAGTGCAGGGTAGGTGACAAATCTCGCTCTGCGTCAGAACGATCGCCCAGGGTTCTTTACCAATCGGTAGGGCTGTGGTTGCCTGCCCTGTGCCTTCTGTGCCCCTGGCTAGAGGCGCCGTGTCTCCACAATTCCCCGCTGTCAGAAATTTGCAAGCCGACCGGTCTACGGCGGGCGATAAGAGGAGGGAGGTCCCGTCCCCGCCCGCCCCGTGCCGGACCAGTCAGTCGATGTGTCTCGTTTGTTTCGGGACCTGACAAACCCGCCAGTGGATGATGTAAACCAAGCCCAGGCCCGACGTTCACTGTAACCTCAGCTGGAGCCTCATCGTCGCCTTTTCCATCAACTTGAACATCGCATTTTGGATTTCATTCCATCATTTGTCTGTGTTTTTACTCACATTCATTCAACAAGGCGAAACATCACGCTCAGTCTCATCAAAGTTACACATCCATTCTTACAAGAAAAGATCGACCGTTTGTTGTTCGTATCTCACACTTTTATCGCCGGAAAATCGTCAAAATAGGCCGACACGGGAATCACGGCCTCAGCGCCAAAGGAACACTCGCGGACTACCAAAACGACGACGACTTTGTCGGCTTTGACGATTTTGCCGTCGGCGGGAAAACCCAAAAGAAACCCAAAAAACCCAAGAAGCCAAAGAAGCCACGAAGGAAAATGGGTCAAGAAGTTTCTGCCGTTCCTGAAACGACCAAGCCTGAGAACCTCTCAGAGCGCAGCCTGCCCGCGGTCGCCGACTACATCAAGTCCGGCAAAGCTCGCAAGGTTGTTGTCTTGACGGGCGCGGGTATTTCGACTGCTGCTGGCAGTAAGTTGGGTTCCCATTAATGCCAATTTTCCCCTTCCTTTTTGCTTACCCGCGTTTGCAGTTCCTGACTTCCGCTCTCCCGAGACTGGCCTCTACGCCAACTTGGCCGCCTTGGAACTTGAGGAGCCCGAAGATGTCTTCAGCTTGCCTTTTTTCAAGGAAAACCCCAAGCCATTCTACGTGCTCGCAAAGGACCTTTATCCAGGCAAATTCCACCCTACCATCTCGCATGTCTTCATCAGCCTCCTCGCCACCAAGGGCCTCCTGTACCAGCTCTTCACGCAAAACATTGACTGTTTGGAGCGCGCCGCCGGTGTCCCCGCCGACCTGATCGTCGAGGCCCACGGCAGCTTCGCTTCCCAACGCTGCATCGATTGCAAGACGCCCTATCCGGACGATAAGATGCGCGAACATGTCAGCCGTGCCGAGGTGCCACATTGCGAAAAGTGCAACGGTCTGGTCAAGCCCGACATCGTCTTCTTCCACGAGAACCTCCCCTCCCTATTCTTCGACAGGAGGCACATGGCCGAGGAAGCTGATCTGATCCTCGTTCTCGGCACCAGCTTAACCGTCCATCCCTTCGCCGGTCTTCCCGATCTTGCCCCCTTCGAAGTTCCTCGCGTCTTGTTCAACATGGAACGCGTAGGGTCTCTGGGCTCTCAACCCGATGACGTCCTTGTCCTCGGAGACTGCGACACTGGTGTGCGGCAGCTGGCTAACGCGCTCGGGTGGCGCGAGGAGCTGGAGGCCGAGTGGAGGAAGCTGGTAGGCGATGAGGAGGCGGACAGGCAGTTGGAGGGTTCGTCAAAACGCCAGGTCGAGCTCCATGATGAGGTCTCGCAGCTGGTTCATGATGTCGATAAGGTACTGCATGTGCACGACGTGAGCAGCAGCGGCAGTAGTTCGCCTAGTCCTGAGGCTGTTGCAGAGAAAGAACCAATTGCGGCAACTCAGCAGGAAGTGCAGCAGAGCGAATCTGCCTCGGTTAAGGAAAGTGTCGAAACAACAACGTTGACAGAGGAGGTCAAGGTTTCCGGCGCTTGAGGAACGGAGTGGCGCAGGCGTCACGTAGAAGACATGGTTTGGATCAGGTTGAAGCCGGGTATTCAATAGAGGGATGTGTCATCGAAGGACTTAACACCGGCCGTACGATATCATATTGCAGGAAAGTATCAGTGATTGATGGCGTTGGTAGGGTATAGGAATTGGGTTTGAGACAGGTTTGGGCTGGCGAGTTGGCTCGTCTGTATCACGAATTTCTTTTTGTTTTTGTTTCTTTTTGTTCTTCTTTTTTTCCTGGCATTGTCAGTCAAGATACCTGTTCCTGGTGTTTGCATTCGATAATCGTTCCTGCAATCTGTCGGCATGGTGCAACATTATCTTCTGGGCGAAATGGGGCCTCCTTCTATGTACTCAGACGATCTCGGTGGCTGTTATCACTGCAGCACCTTTATCCAGTCCCATCCGTCCCTTTACCTTCCCATTTGTAAGTAGTCGAAACTCTGACGGCCAACCGAACGAAGCCATCAAACGCGACATGACATGGCTGAGCATGATGGACTTGATCGGCGATCGCGATTATGGTCAGCCCTGTCGGACGGGTCATGGTCTCAGGGTGTTCTCACCACTGTAAATGCTCTTGGGATCTCCACGTCTCTAAACTTTGGGGCATCGTCTTTTTGTTCTCCTGATTATTAATGTCTGAGGCGCAGTCACTGATGCCCCTACCCTATCAACACCACAGGCATCTCAAGCGAACATGCCAAAAGACCGCGTGCTCTGGTAACTGATAGGCCACGAACTTGATCAGAGTAAGTTCTACTCTACCCAGCATTACAGGATTAATTCTTCACCTGATATTACGACAGTTTCCTGCCTCCAAGGCCATGTTTTCGACGTTAAGCCATTGTTCAATGAACATTTCCCCCACTCAGCAGCTACCACATGCATAACGCCAGCACTTTGCCCCGAGAACAGCTGTACGATTAATCCACTAGGACCACTTCGCCTCGTTTTTCGCTCGCAGATGATGTGTTTGAGGAATCGCGTACTGCACGGGCACTCGCCTTGCAATATGCAACAGGCGAAGAACGCGTAGGATGCATCGCGCCAGGTATAAGAAAATACCTCCCCTCCTCCAACTTCATCCGTCATCCTGTTTGAGGTTTACCTCCAAATCAACACCGACCAAGCACAGCACGATTGCCGATCCAGAATAACGCCACGTCAAAGACCATGACTTTTTCATCATCCAACCCCCAGAACGGGGCAGAACCAAGCTATGCAAATGTTTGGGAGGACACTGAGACGGAATCGTGTGGCAGCCCCTCGCCTCGTGTGATAAACTTCTCTCGGCGGCCAATGGCGGAATTCAGCTGTCCCAAAGGAGGCATATCAGATATCGCCAGACTTGTTACAGCAGAGAGGAAACAGTTCAACCAAAATTCGAAACCTTCTCTCTTGACAGGACTGCTCAAGCCATCTCCGACCGTTGAACCACTAGTCTCACCCACTATCACAGAGCATCCTATCACCTTTTCGACTAACAGACCCGAAGCAACAAGAACAAGTCGGGGCCTCGAGTCTCTTCGAAATTTCCATAATTTCGGAATATTAGCTGCCTCCAACGCGCCTATCTCTGCCGAAAGCCAAATCCTTGATCCTCCCCCGGCCGCATGGCCAGACTCATGCGAGGAACATGACCACTCACCCCTATCTCCTCCAGCGTCACTCATCGCAGAACCCTTTGACCCTCAAGACTACCAATACGACAAAAGGCACCGCCCGAGCACCCCTGATCAACAACATCAGTCGCACCCTATCCGCGAATCTCAACCGGTATACTGCGCTTTCCCCGCCCACTGCCCACGGAAGCCATTCCAGGCATTCCCTTTCCTGGCATCCTCTTTGTCCACTTCGTCATCATCACCACAGAGAGAATGTTCCCCCACCCGCAACGACAGCGCTGTCGCTGGAATTTCCCTTGGAGCTGGCGGCGATTTTGAAGCCGAAGCCAGCACCGGCGCTGTAATCAAAGCCATGACCATAGCCGGCTCCAAGACAGACCCGCTCCCCTCGCCTCTCCTCCGCTCACCGACTGCACCGACTTCACTCATTGATTCATGGGCCGACGCCTACCGCAGCCCCTCATCCCGTGCGTCAACCACATCGAAAGCTGCAGCAGACCCCGCCTCCTCCTCCCCCTCTTACTGCACCCGCTGCGTCGTACCCCTCATCTTTGACATCTCTTCTCTCGACCAAGACGAGAGTTGGGAATGCTGTAACTGCGCTTCCAACAATAAAAAGTTGGGAATTTCATTGTGTTAGGTGTAGGAGGAGGCATGGGAAATGTCAAGGGCGTTAGGGTGTGTGTGTGTGTGTGAGGACGAGGATGCGAACAAGATGTGGACAGGTAGAAGAGCAGGATGACAACTTGAGGGTGATGCTGGAGAGGAAGTCGATTTCGACGGAGTGGCTTGTCGGGGAGGAGATCAGGAGGGGGATATGTGGGAAAGGAAAAGGGGGCATGGAGGGGGGTGTACTGGTTTTGAGGATGTTGGGTTGGAAAGTTTGAGACATTGCGGGTCATGGAACTGCAGGTGTTGGGGGATCGGTAGCGGCCAAGAAGTATTTCTGTCAAGACTGATTGTGGCTAACAAGGACGGAGAACAATGAAAAGCCATTTTGGTTTGCGAACTTTCGAATAATAAGGGTGCTGGAACGTGGTTTGAATTGGATCTCCATTAGAAACCTAACGGGTGGCCTACATAATCACACGGGCCTTACGAACTCGTATTCGCCCGAAAAATGATTCAAGTTGACGATACTGCTCGCCTGTGACTCACCATTCGTTTGAAGCACTGAACTGGTTCCTTTGGCAACGTACCTGTGATTCACAAGGCCATTTCATCGGGTACTGATGTAGGTTCAACACAGTGTAGAGGTCCTATCCAGGCTGTGATTATGAGGGAAAACACCGTGCAAGATGGCCAACGGCCTCTGAGCAGTGGCCAGTGTACCCCTTCCGGCCGTTGGCCATCGTGATGTGATAGTTTCCATGAAGTGTCTTGACCGAATTCGAGTAGAGGTAGCTTGTATATCAACCTCGAAATTCGCTCCTTGGTACAACCTACCAACTGCCTCTTTTCTTTCCACATCGCACTCGAATAATATTTCGCACCGGGACCTCAAGATTAGCACAATCTCAGTGCTATCAAAGTAGTCACCAGCCAGCCTTGTGGTTCCCCACGAAGAAGTCAAAAGAAGAAGCAAGATGTCGGAAACCGGTTGGAGATGCTGCTACTGCCGAACCAGTAACTCGTACTAGGAGCACTTGTGCTGGTTCTGCAAGATTCATTCCAAATGCAGCGATTGTGGCAAGGACACATAGGGGACCGCGGCATCCGTGATCGCACCAAGCTTGGGGCCGTCCGCAGGGGTAGATTGCTGAAACTCGGAGTAGCGGATATACGTTCGGAGGAGTGCAGTAGCATACGGGAGATCAAGGGTTGATTTCCAGGGCGCTCGCTAGGGAGCGATCTGATAGTGGCTCGAAGAGGGTATGTTGGTAGCTGGAAGTTAATCAAGGCCGATTGTGGGTGGCAACCTTTGTGTTAGCTTCGTGGAAAACGGGAATTTTGGAGCCTGAAGTGATGAAAGGCATCCTACAGCGTAAAAACAAGGAGTATAAGCCTAGTCAAAGCAAGTAGTCTTTGCATCGATGATGGGTTTTGCGTGCGAAGAGACTTCTGATAATCTGAATGGTCAGATTATTTCCTACCTCTACCCTATGTCGGTGTTCCGAAATGAAAGTTCCTTCCCGAGAAAAGAAAAAATGTAAATGTTTTTCTTCAGCATACCTTTGTCATATGATAGCGGACATTCATCGGCTATCAAGTCATGATCTTTTTAAACCGCATAGGGGGCTCTGCGGCCTGATGCTGAGTTGTGAACGCTTCCAGATACCTCTACGGTTGGAGACCGCGAGCAGTGGTTGACACACTGACTCCAACCGTTAACCACAGTAATATGGTGCCCAAATATACCAGTCCCTTCTTTGGCGCCGATGATCATGTACACCAACCACGGAACCCCCTCTTTCTAGGGGTTCATCACTCCCCATTGCATCGTCCATCACTCTCCAGCCGTGATACAACTTCTCGCGTCTACGCCACCAATATCTCCTCTCAACACGACATTTCCCCAAACAAAGCCGAGCATCCAGACCGTTGGTAACCAGACATGACGAGAAAAAAGTTCGAGTCCAAAACGGCTTGGAAATGCTGCAACCGAAAACCAACAGGACGTCCTAGGAGGGCTTGTGCTAGTACTGCAAGTTCATATGAAGTGCAACGACTGTGGAGCGGCCACTTCGCTGCGTATGCCGACGAGTGCAAGTACAAGTGCGGAGGTCGTCGACGATAGTGGCGATCGGCGGTCGTCGGTCATTGGCGGCGACAGCGGAGGCACGGCGTAGACCTGACGCGTAGCACCTCTATGAGGGCTGAGAAAAGCCGAGGCCCGTGTCGGTTCCGGCGGACACGAGCGACATGCAGGAAATAAGTTGCAAAAAGCATGTGATGGTGGAAAGGGAATGGCTGTGGGCGCTTCGGTCTTGAAAGGGCGAAGGAAGGTGTGGTTGAGGTGAGGAGAGTGAACGGGGAAGGGGCGTGGTGGCAGTTCACTACCGGACTGTGTGGGCCGAAATTTGGGGATCCAAAGATGGTCACCACTTTCAACAGTGTAGGAATTCGCGAATATTCAGGCTGGAAAATCTCAAGGCATTGCCAGCATTTTTCTCTTTTTTTTTCCCTCCCTTTTCGGGGTGGTAATACCATCAGGATGATAAGTGTGGACAAGGAAAGGGGTGGAACGCAAAAGTATTTGCAATATATTTATACCTGCATATCCCTACTTGTGCAGCTAGATGACTCAAGCTTTATAGTGAGCCTTTCCTAGTGTACGTGCATCATATCTGTCTTGTTCCTCGTTTATGGCTTGGTCCGAGTGGCTTGTGAACTTCTACCTCATATACACCAACCAGCGTGGTGAACAATGCATATGGATGGCAGCCAGGAGGACAGAAGGACACCTTTATAGGATTGTTACCTGCACCGTCCGTCATATTAGGCAAGTATCTCTGATGACAGTATGCGCGGATAGGATATTGCTGGTTTTCTCTTGATCTGGGACGGGTCCGTGACGCGCAGTTGGTTGGATGTCAGGACAAGTATGCTCCGGAGTTGAGAATGCGTATAGATGCATCGCAGCTCAAACAGTAGCTCACACAGCAGGACTTGCCGGACTTGCGTAAAGGACACGAAGATGCTCTCACGTATTCTCCGAGAAGCCCTATAAAACCCCCCTTTCCCCTCCCTTTGAATGTGTTTGTGCTTACCAGTATTCATCTCCCAAAATCTCGCCGTTCTATCCTGGTTCTCATATCGTCTTCTACGAAGTTGAAACATCTCTTCCTCATTCATACTACGTGGCCAAGATCGTTCCCAGTCAACAAATCCAATATTTCGAGGTATGCTAGTTCAAAGACCCCTTGCCATATTATGTTCAACATTTTGACCGAGTTACTGTAGGGAGTTACCGCGGATCAACACAAATCCACCCAAGACCACAGCACCGCGAAGCTATTCCGAGCACAAGAACACGGATACATCAAAAGAAGCTTCCAGAGAAGATGCCGCTGCCTGAAATCATTTACACCATGAGGCGTCTTAACACCGGCGAGCACGCCCCTGTGTGGGAAGAGGAAAATGAGGACATGCATGACAGAAGCTCCCGACCTCTTCTGACCAAGAAGCTACGGAAGGAAAAGAAGCAGCCCACCACTACTAAGCTTGGACCTACTCTTCCAAATGGCGAGATAAGGAAGCGAAAGCGAGTCACCTTTGCTGTGCCGGCACCAATTCCGGTCAAAATCGACCAAGATCACCTCCACACGATGCTCACAATTGACAAGCTCGCCGAGGCGGAACCCAAAAAGCGACCGGGACTGAACCCATTCACTGCCGCCGGTCCAGTCTCTGCCGTAAGCTACATCACCAAAACCGACCCTAGGAAGCCCATGTTGCTCAGTGAGGTTGGTATGAACGAACCTTCAAATTCACGAAATCGCATGCTGTCCGACTTGATCAGGACCCTGGACAGCAAGAAAGGTCGAAGAACTCGGAACAGATCGGGACATTGGCAGTGGCCCGCCCCTGAGCAGCAAGCAGAGGTGGACGCGGCAACATCTATGCGAGACATGCAAGAAAATCAGCAGACGAGTGAACAGGGCTCGTCTTCGGCCTCAACAGAGCACGAGGAGGAAAATACCAAACTCATTTCCACGCATGACCCGGAAGACCCAGAAGACAAACCCCGCAACAAGTGGCTCAAAATTCCCGGTCAGATCTGGAGGAACACCACCGCTTTCCTCGCCAACACCGTCGACCACCTGCCCTTCTACACTTCCCCCAAGGAGAAACAGTGGCAGGCAGCAACACGCATGTGGCAAGAGGAGGCCAACAACAAACGCATGAGCGTACCTAGCACAAAAAAGAAGGCCGAGAACTCCCATCACACACCTTGGCTGCGCTGCGACGGGCTCTAGGAAAACATCACTATGGAGACTCGAAGGAAACACCGCAGTCTCGGGATCCGCACCTTACGACATCACTCTCGTCTTCTCCCACCTCCGTCTACTCGCTGACTGGAGGTTTCATTCGGAATGCGCAACTTTCTAGTTTATTTACTGAATTGGTAGCCCTACAGTAACAAAGAAAAGGGAAGGAAGGAAAGGAGCAGACGCTTTTCCACAATTGTAACAAAGCAGTCGCTGTATACACGGGCACAAAACTACGATCTGGGAAGGAACCAGGGCATGGGAAACAGGAAAGAGGGCGTTTAAGCTTTGCGCAATTTCATGGTCATTTATATCAACATCAGGGTTTATATCGGCAGTCATGGAATTTTGGTCAGTTTTGAGACAATTGGATTTTATGAAAAGGCGTTTGGCGGGGAAAGCATCGATTTTCTGCATCTGTCTACATCGGGCTGGCGGTTATTTGGAGATTTTTAGGTCGGTTTTTTTTGGATATTCAAATGGGCTACAGCGATCAGTTAGAAGGTTGTTACCTATTTTCGGGTGGTTTTATGTCTTGCTCTTTTGACAGCAATGGCTCATGATGAGACTCAGTTCCCTGCAGCCATAGGGAGAGAGCAAAAACTGGATTGAAATCAGAACAGTTGGTCATCAACGCAGTATTTCGGAGGAATTTAGATAAGGGAAAGGTTAGGTGTTGATGAGGTTGGATTCAAACAACAGAGAATTTGGGAAGACCGAGATATGAGTCTTCCGATCGAACAGCGAATCGAATTGGAGCTTAAACCACAAACAACACTAACTTTAGTCTCCGTGATGTCCAAGATTACAGGTTCTTGAAAAGCAAGCAAGCAAGCATATTTGGAAGTCTCAGAGGGTCTTCGAAAACAAAGAGCTCAAGGTGCAGACGCCTGAGATCACAGTTTCGATATCGTAAACATCACATCACAACGCACCACCCCTTCCATCTCCTATTTCCCATCTGCCATCTCTCCCCTCTGACGTCGCGCAAACACGCCGAGCAAACAGACCTGATTGAAAGATACGAAAATAAAATATAAATAGAAGGAATTAAAAAAAAAAGTCACCAAACCAAGAAGAAAGGGTTTTAACACCTGTTTGAGTAACAACCCGAAGGACCGGAAAGGAAGAAAAAGGGAAGAAAAAAAATCGCTAGGTAGGCTTGTAGAACGAACGACATTCAATGCTCTAGCTGCAGACCTATAAAAATCAACGAGAATTGCTGCGCCATGCAAGGGAAGTAAGACCACATGAATCATTTTACTAGAGGGACCAGGTGACGGACCTTAGGATATGCCCGCTGGCAGTCGCCGTAATTACGATATATTACAAATTGCCGAATGCAGATGGAAGTGGAAAGAGCAATGCGGGACACTCCCATATGACTCTGCGTGAAGATAAGTCGAGGTAACGGACATAACAAGGCAAGATAGTAACTTGCATACACCCGCATATTAATGATGTTATCATTACAAAGTATTGAAACTGGTAGGTATTTCCCGTGACTTCCACCTTATCGCCATATGCAACTTCGGCATATAAAAACTGTACTGCAGCGTTTTGAAGCCATCGCGACATGCAGTGATGCGCATCCAGATGTTGCATGACTGCAGCACAAAAATAGGTCTGCGTGTCCAACTCGGCAACAAGCTCTTCCGAAATCTCCTGCTTCAGCCCACAAGTACTTCAAACATGTTTGAACACTGGAAAATGGAGCAGCAACCCATTGACGTTTACAAACAATAAAAACAACCAGATCATCAGGCCATATGCAATCCAACAGACCATAAAAATCAAGATCCAAACAAAAGGGTATTTATGTACCAAAACAAGCCCAACCAAATCACACCTAATTCCCAAGCCCTTCTACGCCTAATGCTCCCTGCACGACAGCCTGGGTCTTCATGTCCCACTGTCAATCTGATCAACAACCGTGTTCTGACTCCACGCATCCCACTCCCTACACACCTGCTCCATCTTACCTGGCATCCTATCTCCTCCCCATCGCCTCCTCACCTCGTCCGGCTGTGTCAAAAAGCTGGCAACGAATCCTCCCGACGCATGCCACCCGATATGGCAATGAAACGCCCATATGCCCGGATTGTTTGCATCAAACTGCAGCACCAGGTGCCCGTGGGGCCTGACAACCTCGGTGTCTCTTCGCACGGGGTTGGAAGGGCGGACAATCGTCTTACCGTCCCAGTCGCCGGGGCTGGAGGAGAGAACGTAGAAGTTGTACCCGTGGAGGTGCATTGGGTGTCTGTTTTTACAACGGTATTAAGTTAGTTTTGGCTTTTCCTCTTTCTCGAACTTTCAAGAAGGGAAGAGGGGAACAAAAGAAAGAAGAAAAAGACTCACGGTCCAGGCCCCTTGTTAATGACAACCACCCTCACTGTCTTCGCCGACCCAAAATCCTTCACGTTCGACACCTCTGGGAAACTCATGTTTCCCTTCATCACCATATCCAACGCCGGGTGATTATAATCCACCCTCGCACTTACGCCATCAAACAAGAACAGAAACACATCCGACGCGTTCCTGTACGCCTCAATCTTCATCTCCTTGGTCACCGCCGGCTCTCCTCTCACAGGAATCGGATAAAGCGGCTCCCTCTTGTCCAAATCGTCGCTCGCGCCACAAGTACTGTCCGGGTCGCCCGCGTCTGCCCACGGCTGGCTCGACGGCGCTGTTTCGGGGTCTGCTTGGTCGTAGTAAACGGCCGCTAACGCAAACGGCTGCTTGGCTGCAGAGCACTTGGCCAGGTCAGAGCGCATCCAAAAGACCGACTTGGGGTCACTGCCAGCGGCGTTGGCGGTGACGAGGACGTCAGCGCGCTGACCAACGGCAAGGGAGATGGCCGTGACATTGTAGGGTTTCACGGGGACAAAGTCGTTGGCGATGACGGTCATGGTATGTCCGTCAATGGAGAAGCGTTGGACGCCGTCGGCGCCCGAGTTGACGAGCCTTAGGCGATGGGTCTTGCCAGTTTGGAACTTGAACTTGGAGATACCCGCGTTGGGAGTGCACGGGGTTTTGTCGCCTGCTGCGGCGGCGGTATCGCAATCAAAGTTCATCTTGCCGTTGATGAGATTATTGTCCGAGGGCACACTGGGACTACCGCCAGGCGCGAGCATGTCCTTGATCAGGTCGAAGTAGGGGCGGTGGTACCAGTCGCTGAGCATGACGGGGCCGAGGTCGATGTCGTACTTGGCCTGTGTGGGGCCGTGGATGACGATGGGACCGACGATGCCACCGGCGTATTGCGCTGAGTAGTGGGCGTGGTACCAGGATGTGCCGTAGAGACTTGCTTTGAACTCGTACGTGTAACTCTTGCCAGGAACAATGGGACATTGGGAGACACCGGGTGCGCCGTCATCCCATGGGGTATCATCCTGGAGGAAACCGTGCCAGTGCATCGCCGTACCCTCCTCCGGAGAAGATATGTTGTTGAAGACGTTGACGACAATCATGTCACCCCAGTTCGCCTCAATCATGGGGCCTGGAAACGCGCCGTTCACTAGTAAGACGTCCCGTTGGTATCCATCCGGTGCAATGAGTCCTCGGCTGATGACAAAGTCGTACGTTCTCACTGCTCCTGTTGCAGGAGACTCGGTGTATTGGTCGTTGCCCCAGTCGGTGAGGTTTCCCCATGGATATTGTCCATCCGGTGTTAAATTGCCCAAGAAGAATGCTAGAAATGGAAAGAGAAACGTTCCCAGTCGTGATGAACTTGAACAAGATGACGTTAGTGGTCTTCTTCCTCCTCAGGAGGAAAGAAATGGAAACATACCCATTTGTTTCCTCTTGAACCAAGTTCGCAACAACACCTGTAAGTTTAGAGCTGACCTCTACTATGGCGCGTCCTAATACACCCATGATGAAGAGTAAAGGGAAGAAACAGAAGACATACTTTGTCCACCCTTATAAGTACAACCGAGTTGTCGGAAGGAAGACTATGGGTATGAGTGTGTCCAAGAACGGCCGAATATCCTCAGCTACGAAGAGCTACATCGTTACTACTTATACAAATCCCCTTGGGAGACTACGACCGCAAGGGCCTACCGCTTTGGCGCCATCCATGACACAATCAATAATCAACACAGGCCTACCCAGTCCATAGCTATCCCCGAGGAACGCCCCGTGATGTGACCAGCACACCGGGAGAGAAAAAGGAACGGCATGGTGGATAGATCACAGATGCTGTTCGGGATCGACCCACTACCCCGATCGACATCCTCCGTGTCTGTTGCACCTAGTCGATGCAGCAAAGTACACATTATCCCTGAGAATGATGATGACGGTCTGCCAACGGAATCGTCAGGTAGAGGTATCATCCGAGATCCGGCGCAGAAACAAACTTAATGTCCACAACTTTGGAGTAATAAAGATCAGCGCTGTCCTTGAGCCATGTCACATGGTGTTAAGGAGCTGTTCAGCTCAGCTGGACCAGCACATATGTTTTTCATATCAGTGCGCACAAAGACCAGGTTGTTTGCGGCATCGGATTCGTCGGACAAAACTCACAATATATCCGGCCTGCCCACCGCTAGAGTAGCCCTAGAGAGACACTTGGGTATACCGAAAACACCAGATGGAGGTTCACCGTTGAAGTACGAGGTGGACAGCAAGGAAATCTCAATCTAGCGGTCTCCAGGTGTTGAATTGTCGACGATATGATGGGTACAGCTCCACGGCTCCCATTTTCCTGGACCGCGAGATGACGAGCACTCCGTTATCACTGGAAGAACGCTAGGAATAACGAGAGGGGTAAAGCCACTGCTGGCCATGGCACTGAGCTATCATCTCGTAAAGTCTCTGGTAGTCGATCATGCAGTCAGCCTTCTTGAAAGTAAGGAGAGAATACTAGGTACTGACGCCCAAGCAGCGTACCGCACAGGCTCGCACGGACTTGATGTTAATCTGTGAGTCGAAAGTGCATACATATATGTATACCGTATGGTCTCGCGCAACTCGTATTCCAGGACAGGCATAATCTTGCGGACCCTGTAGGGTCAAAGGTCTACCAGTTGCGTTTGGCTGTGTGTATGTGGCTGTATAAGCAAATGGTAGAGCTATAACCCGGCGTTGCCGAACTCTTCAATGCAAGGGAAATGTCGAAGGCTAAATCACAATTATGATCGCCGGTGCAGGAAGCAAGGAATTGGTGAAACAGAATACAGCGCCGAATATGGGAAGGCTGCTGACGACCTTGGAAAATCCCAAAGCATGGCTACGAATGCTGCCGGAACAATGGGAACTGTTCGGCCGAGCCCGTCAGCCAAAAGAGAATGAACCAATGACATGTAACTAGCTTTAGTCGATTGATCTCGACGTTACGCTGTATTCGAACAGAGAGTCGCAATGTTGCTAGGTCAACGAGTCCGGACTGCAGCTGGATGTATGCAGATGCAGCAACACTCAGAATTCGATCCGCTTAAGACTGTGGCATGTCTAGAAGCTGATGTATTCCTCTTGCCACGGATCTCAGCCTCCTTTGACTGGCACTTGTTGCAAGTTTCGAGCCACTGCTGTTGTAAAGATGATTTCCCTCTAACATTTTCGTCCAGTTTTTCTCCCCATAGCGGAAGTGACGACGGTTGGGTATTTGTTGATTCACTGGACGAGATATTCTCAAGGGAGTGAGTGGTCATTGCTTGAGATTGCAAGTGCGATGAATTTTTTGAGCCGCATGAAATTGTCTCAGACGGTATTAGGGTGCTTGTATGTATCGATTACTTGGCCGACTTTAACCAGGGTGAAACTTTTAGCGCTGATCTCGTTTCGCATGATATGCGTGTTGCTGAATTCCCATTCCACCAAAATTGATATGCTAAGTCAGGCTCAATGTTGTAGCACAGCCGAAGAGCCTCATCATGCCGGTCGGCTTGCACAGCATGCCATTCGTAAGGCTGGCCTGTTGTCATAAAAGTTAGCAAACATCTGTTGAATACAAGCACAGAAGCCCGAAAGCACCCTTCCTGAGGTGTAGCTCGTCAAAAGTTAAAAAAGACAAAAGGGGCCCAAACTGATCCACGCATGATTAGAATTTCTGTGAATTCTGAACAAACGCCCAAGACGCCGTATCCATAGTCGCTCCCGAGTGCGGCCCTATTATTTACACATAAAGTACAGCAAATCGTGCCTCCTGCGTGGACGCTTAGTCGGAGCGACGAGTCGGGTAGTAGGCGGGGCGGAAGGCCTGGGCGGCCATAATCATGGGCCTCCTCTGGGCACGGTAATAGGCCTCGGCGACGATGGGCGAGGAGTCGGAACGAATGACGCTGCCGATGGACATGAAGAAGCTGGAAGGACGGTTGTGTCAGCGGTAGAGTCCAGTACAAAGTTCTGTGTCGAAGGGTGTTCCTACCCAAAGGTCGCGCCCGAACCGAGCATGTACTGGCCCAATGTCCTCATGATGCCGTTAGGGCCGGCACCATATCTGAAGATGTTGACGGTTCCTGGAGAGTGGCGCACGTCAGGACATGCCTGTAGGTCAATTGAGTCTTTGGGCGATGGGCCTACCGAAGATGAAGCCAATGATGCAGCCGACAGCTGTAATGGCAAGAGGTTAGCGACCGGAGTCTTTATCATATCAAGGGCAGGGGAAACATACTGCCGCCCATCATGGCACCCATCTTGACTGCGAGGATGGCATCATGTTAGCACGCTCCATGTTGTTTTTGGTTATCGCAAACCCCTCTCGAGTTGTTGCCGTGGAGTCAGCCCATACACTTGTCAAAGTTGGAGGGCCCAACGGCACCACCGTGCTGGGGAGGAGGAGGCATCTTGGTAATTGGCGGTATGGGATTGACGACACTGCAAAGCTAATTGCGGCCAGAGGAACTGCCAGCTGATGGATGCTGCTGCGCTTGCGATCTCAAAGAAGTGGGAGGAATTCCGCGATAAAGTGGTTGCCGCGGGCAATTGCAAAAAGTGACGCACGGACGATTTCGGAGTGTGAACGACGACTCCACTCCATCAGCCTTGCCGGCCGGGAGGAACTATTAAAAGCGCTACAGGGAACATTCCATCGTGATAAGGCCATGTGAAAGCTTGTCTCTGTTTCACGAAGCGTGAGTCGTCTCAAAACCTAGGTAGAGAAGAGATCAATAACTAAAGACGTTCTATCCCAACTACTGAAATGCAATAATGAGCGTTTCTGATCTCTTTGGTCCACCTTTGTGAGTCCTTGCTGTCGTACTGTACTTGCAAGCTTCTCTATTTAGCAGATGAAGCTCCAACAGAACCTGGACAGGCGGGAATCACCTATGGAACCTCTTTCATGCCTTTGGAACGTCCAGACGCTTGGGCCACCAACCTCGGCGTTGCCCGTCAGACCACCTAAAATTGTAGTCCCCTAGCCGGCGACGTGCCATCGTCAACCCCATTCATGTCCGTTCCAATTCCCATTTACAGGCATTGCTCACGTGATAGGGAGTTCCTGCTGGAGTTGGTGACAGACTGACAGCCAGCGCAAGTTGAAGTCATGTCTTTCCCTTGTTCCGATGGTTCTTTTTCATCTCCTTGAAAGATGGGATTAAAGCTCCTGAAGATTGCGCCTGCACCCACGTACATACCATCATCTTGCCCCTGGTGTTTGGCCTGCACATATCGCACACCAATTTCATTCCGATACAAACACTGTATCATATACGCAGGACGCCGTGATCATGTTTACCGCTGCATCTTCAGCTGGTCGGAATCCAAAAGAGCCAAGGGGTCAAGCAAGTCGAAGCAGACCTAGAGGTACCAAGAGGTGCTTCCTTGTAGAAACAGGGGACTAGCAGTATACGGCTGTACCTAGAGGTAGGTAGGTACCACTGCAGAAGCCGGGCAGCGACCACTGGCCGGGCAGCGGCAGTGCTGGTAGTCAAAGGCCCAATCGCGAGGAACGGGCGAGTCCTGTTTGGGATTTGGTGGGAAAGTTTAGCTGAGCCAGCTGCACGCATGGACCACTCCGTGGCTCCGGCCGGCCTTCAGTCCCCTGCTCACTAAGCGCTTCAGGTACGGTTGGTTCCTCTCCAAGGCAACGTCAGGACTCTGGAAACCTGAGTCGCCTCGCGGATATTCTGGTTCAACCATCGTCGAGCTCCATACTGTTGCCGTCGCGTCTCGAAAGCGTGCTTTGCCATTTGCCATTTTCCCTATCTGCCCTCGAAATCGCCGTCACAACTTGCTATTACTAGGTATGCTTGCTTCTCGCTTGCTCCTTCTTTACTATTTAAGCACCAACATCACGACGGGATCGCCTCTCGACTCGGCGCCTGCCCCTCCGCCAGCAAGGGCGCGAAGTTACCAAAGAGCAAGTGCGCACTCCTAACTCGACAGTCGTCGGCGGCCATTGTCCACTTGTCCAATCCACCTTGGAACCCCGGAATCCCTGCGCCAAGTGCTCGACGTCACGGCCAGATTACCGCCGCGTGCTAGGTAACATTACTCGCCTCTAACTGACCCTTTTGCTTTCAACCCCTATAGTTGCCAACAACCCGTCCAAACTCCATCAATAGTGGCGCAGGTACATAACAAGGTCAGGAAGAGAAGAACAAGTAGTCGCATGGGCTAGAGGCTGCACGGAGACCTCGAGTGACAGCCAGTTGGAGCCCGCGCGCCTGCTCCCGCTCCCGCTCCCCGTTTCCAGCTTCCAGCAAAAAAAAGGACAGTTTGTTAAACTTGCAAAGGAACAATCTCAAAGTCCCAGCATAGACGGCAAGCGACTACACTAGCGACCAGCGACACCACCGCCCGTATCCACTTCGCTCCATTCCCCCAGAGCCCCGTCCACGCCAGGTCTCAATGACGGCTGTCGCGAATCCCCCTAGCTTCGCAAATCTCAATCGGCCGGGATGGATTAATGGCGACCAATCGCTAAACTCGATGAACCCCGACGACAATAGAATGAACATGTTCATGTCGCGAAAATCTCTTCAACGATCAAACTCCTCGTCGTCGGTTGCGTCGACGGCGTCCTCCTCGTCCACCTCCACCGTGACCTCGACCGGCTCCGTCTCGACTGCGCCGACCAACGGCAGCCCCAACAGCACCAGCAGCAGCGGCGGCGGCAACGGAAACGGCAACCCCATGTCGGTCGGTGGAGACACCGCGCCTTGGTCGAACTCACAAGCTCTGCGCAAGAAACCGCAACCAAAAAACAACACCAACACCAACTCATGGACTAATGCCAGGCCAGAAGGAGCGTCCGACCTTTCACGCTCAGCAACAGGCCGCCCGCCCATGGCGAATGGCGTCAACGGCGCGCCTCCAACTATGCACCATCAGCAACAGCAGCCATCATCGCAGCCTCAGCCGCAGCAACAACCGCAGTCCGCCATGTCGGCGCCGAACCAGATGATGTCACAAAGCAATCTCGCGAGGCCCGGCGCCGACCAAATGGCTCCCCAACGCCAGCCCGTGCTGTCGCTGCTGTCGCTCAATGGCACCTTCGAACGCAAGACCATCTCCGTCCCCTTCTACCCCGACATAATGAAAATCGGTCGACAGACAAATGCGAAAACCGTCCCTCTCCCCACCAACGGCTTCTTCGACAGTAAGGTGTTGTCGCGTCAGCACGCCGAGATCTGGGCCAACCAAGACGGCAAGATATTCATCAAGGATGTCAAGTCCTCAAACGGCACCTTCGTCAATGGCAACCGTCTGTCGCCCGAAAATCGCGAGTCGGAACCCCATGAGCTCCAGTCTCAAGACCATCTCGAACTCGGTATCGACATTGTTAGTGAGGACCAGAAGACGGTAGTTCACCACAAGGTTGCCGCCAAAGTCGAGCATGCTGGGTTCGTTACCCAAACGAACAACCTCCTGGATATGAACTTTGGCGATCTCGATCCTTCAAATGGCGGCATGATGATGCCCATGGGCGGTATGCCACCCTTCCGCGGTCGGGCTGGCAGCCAAGCATCTCTAGCAAGCAACGGACGTATGATGCCTGGCAATATGGGTGGTCCGATACCTGGTATGGCGCAACAGAGGCGATTTTGGTTGAACCCTGTCACGACTGAACATATTGTCAAAAAGCTTCAAGTAAGTACATGCCTGTGCCATGGTTCCTGATTCATTTGCTCACACTACAAAAGACGGAAATGCGCAATGCCAAGCTGCAGCACCACGATCTTATCCGAACGGGTCAGTTCATCACCGCCTTGGTTACGAAAGACGACATCAAGAATCAAGACAAGCCCGAAGATATGGAGCCCCCCAAGTTGCATGTGAACGGGAACGTCCCTTTCAAGTCGGAAATTAGCAAGACCCGGTTTTCGGAGCCCCCTGCTCCTCCGCCCTCACAGCCTCTTCCAGAGAAGCCAGATGTTGCCCGCGCGTCGGATGCGCCTTCGCTAAAACGAGGAATTACCGAGCGACCCAAATCACACCCTTCCCCCAAGGACGCGAATGTTAATCAGGTTGTACAACTTACGGAGGCCTTGAACCTAGCAAAGAAGGAACTGGACAGCAACAGTGCTCGGGTGCGAGATCTAGAAAGGATGCTAAACGAAGAACGTGAAGCCCGGTTACAGGCGGAGGTTTTGATGCAAAAGATGGCAGTAAGCCAACAAGCAGTGACAAATGGCACGAACGTGGCAGCTTTGACGAACGGCCACTCGGCAATGGAGAGAGTATTCGAGCCACCGACGGAGCAAACAGAGACAAACGACGCGAGCGCGCTCGGCGGCCTCGAATCCGAAAAGAGCCCGAAACCGGAAACCAGCAATATCGAGGCCATGGCGGCGGCTTTCCAGGCTCGGATAGAGTCCATGACGACGGAGATGAAGGGGCTTAGGGAACAGCTGGAAGCTTTCAGAAACAGGGCTGAGCAGGCAGAGGCAGAGCGGGATGCTGACCGTAAGACGTTGAGTCAGTTGATCTTACAAATACGTCAGCGAGATGAGGAAGAACAGCAAGCCGCGGCGCGCAAGTCGCGTTCGTCCTCTCGCGGTAGATCGCACCAAGGCCGGAAGGACAAGGAGGTTGACCAGGCATTGCCCAAGGCTAATGGCGCTGCAGTGACTGGACCAACCCAGTCCGATGGCTCCTCCGAGGATCATGCTGAGGAGGTGCCCAGTTTGGCACTGACGGACACTTTGAAACCGTCATCTTCGCCCGCGCTAGTATATCCGCACCAGGATCGTGCGTTGATACAAGCCATGCCCTACGTTTCCGTCCTTGGAGTCGTCTTCATTGGAATGGGTCTGATGGCTTACCTCAACGGGTGGCAGCCGCAGGCGAAGAACTAGGGCAGGCCGGTATCATGACACCACAACTCACACACACACACACACCTACGCACAACGTATCTTCAATCTCCTTTGTACAGTTTTATAGGAACTTTTTATACCTGAAGACTACCTACTTCTCATCACATTTCTATGCACATGCACTTCCGTCGTCTTGGTCTTTTCTCAAAACATATGTATTATGCACAAAACGCGGCTTACCGAACCCAGACGGTAGGGACTTTTGACAACAGAATCGTCTGGAGTTTTGATGTGAAACAGTGGCGGGTCTAGCGTGGTTTAAAACATAGGAAATGCCTTTGACAGCATTTTGCTTTTTTTACCGCCAATTTTGCTCTCTGGCGTTGCTTAACCGCGGCACTGACTCTCACTATTTCCGAGTCAGCTTTCTTTTCCTTTCCTTTGCCCTTCTTCTTCGGTCAAGTAATCATTCAAATTAGCACAACGGGCTGGGAACTGTTGCGGATACTTTCAGAGATGCTTGTTCTGTTAGTTTGCGGTCGGTTTGCGAGTATTGGAGCGCGAACTTCTTTTCAGCAAAGTTTTACAGCTATAGTTGCACTGGTAAAGCAGCAATGCGATCACGGCTTGGGAGAGAGAGGGACTTGTATGTATGTATCACAACACAGCCGAAATTCTTGGTAGACGCGGGGGAATGGAGGTACATCCGGTGGGGAAAAGGAATAAATCAAGCGCAGAAGATGGCTTTTCGTACATCATTGATATGAGGTGATGATTGCTTCCATCAACACTTGCAGAGTGGGTGATTGAACCTAATTGATAAGATAACGAGTGCTGTGGTCTGAGCATTGACCAACATCAAAGGAAGCATTGACCAACCCACCTGATCAGCTGGGGGTGGTGACCACTGACAGTCTACACACCACTGCGTTTCTGAATCATCACGCGGGAGGGAAACAGGAACACAATCGACGAGTCCGATCAAACGACTATGCGCTTCGGTCCAGCTTTACATGTTTGTTACGGCAATATGGTGATGGGCACACAATCGACGTTGGGGCTCCTAGTAATTCTGTGTCACGACAGGTGGGTCAACGCAATTTGTTCATTTAGCCATACATTCTTTACGTGTGAAATTTACAATGCCCGTTTTAACAAAAACTCATAGCAGACACTCGCGCAATTAGTGTCAGCCGCGGGGTTTACAAAACTTTAATTATCTTTCTTCTCATCCAAATTCCTCTCTCCTTGGATCGCGTCCGGCTTCCTGTCTCCGTAGACACATACCGAAGTCTTTACGTTTGAGTGTCCCCAGATACCATTTCCCTCCCAGCCTACGTTGCAGCATCACGTAACATACCGTAATTCCAGTACATCCCCCACCGAAACCATGCTCCCAATCCCGCAACGGTAGAGCTAGCACAGTACACTACACAAATTGCTTTAACCATCCCCTACCTTCTTGCCCAAACTTTTCGAGCACCTCGAGTCATTCTCGGCCATGTATCCATAACAGACGTGCGACGCGTTCGAGAGCCGTAATCACGTCATCATGTTTTTTTTCGAAGATCGTAGTACGCGGGCAATCTCGCATGTGCTCCAAAACAGTCGTGGGGCTCCCATTGGAAAGAATTAAGAAAAAAAAAATGATGGTTAGAGAAGTAGAGGTAGGTTCCACTAGGTACGTATGTATGTTCAGGTTTCCTGCCCCCCTCGCCTCCACCTTATTCAGGCCTGGCCATATCGAATCGGTTCTTGATCTCTCTGATCATGAACATGTGGAACAACCACAGCATTGTTTTTGTTGGGCTTCCCCGCAGGCATTCACGCTGGTCGTCCAGCAGCTGTCCAAGGGTGATTCCCCGACACAGGCGGTCTGTTACCAGCCTCTTGGCCTGCTCGGCTAAGCTGGTGGTGGGATCCCAGTCTGCGAAAAAAAAAAAAAGAGCGTCAGCATCAATCGCGTGGAGGTTGGAGAGAAAGAACAGAAGTGTGATTCTGGAGCTCGCAACAAAGGTTAGGGTAACATGGGTGATGACTACGTCATGCTCGCGAGACAGACGGGGCTTATGGGAGTTTCCTTACCGCCGTCGAAATTGATGTATCTGAGGGGACAGTCAGCTTGATATCAACGATGCATAGGGAACAAGTTGAATTAATTGGGTCACCTACGGCATGATTCTCTGGGCCGGTTTCTTTAGAACTGGTTTACTTCGTGGTTCGTGAACGTGGAGTAAAACGTTGTCGAGTTTGGTATATATAGCAGAGGGAGGGTTGGGTGTCTGTGTATAATGATGGTGGGAGATGAGGAAGCAAAAAGTGAGGAATAACGCAAGGCCGTCGGTGCCACTGAAGCGTTTGGGACGGGTAAAGGTTTGCCGCCTGGCGGGAAAGCGTGGTGCTTCACTGGACAGTTCTTATTATCGGACCATCACGTGGCCCAGGTTGAGGGACGTCCCTATGGGGAAGTCTACATTCCTTACGCGCGAACATTACATATGGTATCCTAAGAAACCAATCGCAGACACTCACATACTGAGTTACGTCTATACTGGTTGCAGATTCCCGTGTAATTTGCTTTCTAGTCATTTCCTTGGTGCCTAAATTGTTTTTAGCCTTTTCGAACTTCCCGCTGATACGTATTGTTACGTGACCAATGGTAATTTCATAGACTTGACGACCAGCGCAGTATGCCATTCATTACGACGCCAGCTAGGTGAAAAAAGCTAGCTTAAGATAGTGTGGTAGTAGACTTGGAAGAGTAAGAAGGGGAGAGATGAAACAAGGGAGCATGGGAGAGAACCATGTTGACGTCCCGGAACTGGACGGCAACAATAGAGCAACCAAGAAGAAAACACTACAACAACAACCAAATCTTTGATAGATAAGTACAACAGGAAACGTCAGGTCTCCCCCCAGGGATATTGCGGGGCCTTTGGGATGCTCATACAAATTTGCGGAAGAAGTGAACAACTTGACCTTGATAGCTACTCATGGTCGCCACGTTTATCCTCGTTTCCGGTTTTGCCTGAGCGTCTAGAAACTGGATTAGAATCATGCTTTGGAAAAAATATCTCATGTTTCCAGGCGGACTGACCCGGATATAGGCATTCTGTTTGCACCGTAAATTTCAGAAGCGTACGCCTCTGCTCTGTCGGTCGGTAAGCAGCTTCGCGACTTGTTCGAGGAGAATGGTAAGGTAGGTAAGTACAGGAAAATATCGCTGGATTTCGCCCCCAGCGTCTAAAGGCTTGTTTAATGCCTGATCATATAGATTTAATCATTCTAGTATAAGAATTCGGCTTATATCCCTATTCGTCTTCGCCCTGTCCGGCTTCATCGCCATTTTCATGTCCGCCCAAACGATTGAGAACTTGCACGAGAACCATGCTGTGAAATAAATGTCTCATCGTTCCAGACGTACAGCCCTGTACGCAAGCACCCTGTTCGCAGAGTAAATTCCATAGGCTTACGCCTCTGCTCTGTTGTCGGTAATCAGCTTCTTAACTTGTTCGAGCAGACAGGCATGTTGGTGAGATAAATGCAAAAAAAGATATTGCTAGGCCATTATCTCCCAACATCCAAGCACTGTTCGGATGCTCATGCAACTTTGCTAGTCAACCTCAAGGATTTTGCGTTCTGCCTATTTGTTGTCGCTCCGTTGAGTTTCGCCGCCAGTTTCGCCCAAGCATCTCAAGACTTGGACGAGAACCATGCAATGGAATAAGTAGACCATCGTTCCAGGCGTACTGCCACGCACGTGTGCACCCTGCTCGTACAGCAGATCCCAAAGGCTGACGCCCCCATTCTGGCGGTCCCTAACAAGCTGTCTGGTTTGTTCTAGGAGACTGACACTCGGATCATAATCTAGGTAAAGAAAAGACGTCAACACCAACCGCAAAGACATAGCTCAAGAGTATTTGGCCTTGTGGCACCAGAATGGAAGCGTGGATTTCACCTTACCGGAATCAAAGGAGATGTGTCTGACGGCGCGTTAGCTTGAGACCATGAAATGGCTAATTGTTGACTGGAATGATGAACACTTACGGCATGTTTACATGTACTGTATCGAAATCTGTCCTCTTAGGAAGTGACTGGGGTTTTCTTGTCTGTGGTGGTGTGTGCGAATGGTCTTGAATGTGGTATATAGGTACCTGTTAGAGGGCAAGGTCAGACACTTATGCAGCGAATCGTAGAAAAACGCGGAGGGCACTGAAAGACCAAGAAAGCGGGGAGCCCTTGCAGAAAATGTAGTCATTTCGGGCATCAAGGTTCGGTTTCCTGGCAGGAAACCTTGGTATTCTTCTCCATCAATGTAGTTCACTGAATATCGGTACACCATGTAGTCCAAGTTTGCGGTGGTCCTTGATTGAAAGTCCAAACAGGCAGATGGACCAGATATAGATATCAGTCACAGGTAAGAGAGGCCCGAGCAAGATTTAAGGAGAGTGCTCCAGGCAGACAATGCAGCGAGATAAGGATGATTAGCCAGAAATAACAGAAAACTTAGCTCATGATTTGCCAGAAGAGATATTATGACTAACCAGGAGCCCCCATTATGCGTGGATCGAGTTTGCCCCTTAACCTATCCCCATTGGAATACCTAAACCAGAGGCCATGCGGAGGACGTGATCCCTATTGTCACGGTGTCCTTACAGATACTGCAGGAGCTGACCGACCGATGTTAAGTAACCAGGCATCTCAAGCTCCGTTACAATAACGCTGTGGAACAGCCAGAGTGAAGTATGGTGCGGGCTCTTGTCACGCAGGTCTTTCTGTTCCTCGAGAAGAGTGGCACGAGTGGCGCCGGCGTCTAGAGCCTTTTGGATCAGCTCAACGGCTTGAAAGACAAGAGATATTTTAGAGTCCCAATCTACGAGACATTCGATGGTCAGTAAATGGGTTGCCATATTGAGAATAAAAGGGAGAAGAACTAAGAACATCGAGGGGTCTGCTTGCTGACAACCATAGAGCAGACTTAGATCGTGCACATTGGGGAAACCCTGAGCAAAGCAGACGATTTATTGCGTACTAACCGCGGGTAAACTCGATCAAGCTGAGGATATTGGATCAGTACGATGTTCGAAGAATCTCGCAAGACCTACAAGAAGAGAAGAATTGTGATACGTACGCCATGTTGAACACTCTGGTTTGTGTGCAAGAAACAAGAGAACGCGAAAAGTTCGGGTTGGGTGACAGTCAAGAATCGACTAATTGAAGTCTCGGTGATACTGAGGAAATGCCGAGATAAGTCATTGTATAAAATGGATGCAAACTGGATATGAATGCAAGAAACAACGGAAATAGGTACCACAACACAGCAAGCCTGAGGTAAGGTACAGACCCTTGATTACTTTCCACTTCCCATATACTTCCATGAGCATGATTCCTTCCTTGTGAAAGACTCGATTTTCATCACTTGCACTTTCCACCCGAGTATTTATGGGCCGGGGAATGTGGGAGAAGATCCCATGGGTGTAGATAAGTAACCTGTGGACGTGTGCCCGTATATGAAGCCTTAGCGGCCACGATGAGTTGGGAAGCTTTTTTGTCTCCTGCCTACGCTCTCGTAATAATACCATCATCGATTATTCCATTCCCTGGCGGTTATCCCAAGAATCTCAGTCAGCTCTAATACCGCTGATCCTGCTGATGTCTTCTGCAAGCCCGGCTTCCACTTGGTTCTCCTCGAGCCTTCACCTTCCGCGCATACCGGATATCTTTCCACACGTCGATGCTTGGTCGCTGGGGTCCCGCCCAACTACCCTGGCCATAACTCCCATCTGTCTCCCCGTGCCCCTTGCACACTTTGCATGGGCCGGTTGAACAACCACATGCCATCGCAACTACCTTGTGCAGTAGTACCTGTGGTGCACCTGCTATAGCTTTGCCAGACAGAATGCCTGTCTCATCGATCGCCACAGGCTCAACCCCCCAATGCTGCCTGCTGTAGTTAAGGTCATGTAGAGGTATGTATTACTGCATCCCTAGAGGACACCTCCCTATTGTGTTTAGCTAAGTCTTGCCTACTTGCCCCAATCGTCAATCTCTAGCAGTATTTCCTACCAATTGGGCTACCGATGGTAGGTAGGCTGTGCCGAGTAGAGCCTCAGATTGCAACTGCTCCTTGAGTTCTTCCACCACACATGCTGAAAGAGCCACCTCAGAGATTGAGCGGCACTTGTCGCTCTTAGACCGCAGAACAAGGAAAAGAAAAGGCGATTTAAAGAAGCAAATCTTAACAGAAAGAAATACGACAAGAAAAAGCATGGCAAAACAACAAATCCAGGAAACAAGGGGGAATTGGCACAAAGAAGACGAAGGAGAGCTTATGTTTTTTGATGCGAACACAAACGATGGAAAAACGAGAGCGAGAAGCCTCGCTCTATTCCGGCCGTCCTGTTGAAATGTAGCGAGCAACGTATCGATATACGTTCCTTTCACTCCCTCGACTCATCTGTGGGAGATCTGGGAATTTGGCATCAAGCAATACATCCAGGGAAGAAACTTCGCGTGGGCTTGGATCTTTTCAGCGACTATCACGTCAGTCTCAGTCGCTGAAGATATCTCGATCGCTAGAACCGGATTCTTACCACATCAATACGCGCAACTCGCCTACAGCCGACCCTCCAGTTCCACCACAACAGCATTGTAAAACATCCAAGGGATGTTGAGGTTGGTTTGAGCCGCCCTCAAACACCGCTGCTCTACGAGCAGCGCATGGGTGTCGGCGCCGATCGCCAGACAGTGGTCCACGAGACTTTTGGCCTGCCAGACCAAAGGCCATTGGTAGGACCAGTCTAGCAGAAGAGGAGATACTTGATTAGTCGTGGGTCATAGAAACGGGAAGACGTGGTGTTGGAGCGAGTCGGGCATTCCCAGGTCTGTTGCTTACCCCTCTCGAATTCGATCCACCTGGAGGCAGAGTTAGGTTTGTTCTTGCTGTTTGGGAATGGGTTGGAGGTTTGGAAAGGGCAGGTTCAGTTACTTACGCCATTGTACTAAAGGGTGAAAAGACTGCTGGTAGATTGTTCGTGGCTGTTTTGTTTGTGGACTCGAAAGCAGAAAATCATAAGGAAGAAATTTTCCGAGGTCGAAAGTGCCGTGTGAAGTCCTTTCCTCGATGATCAAAGGCAACGAACAGTCATATTAATAGAAAGGGGAAGGGTGACAGAGAAAGGAGGATGGACACGTCCATGCCAGATACAGGGTATTCAAATTTTGTGTCTGAGGGTCAAAAAATGGCTGTCGTATTGTTTGTCTCCATCCGAAACTCGGGCGCTCAGGTCGGGGTTCTGGAAACGATCCGACTTCGGACACTCAAAGTTTTGAAGCACTCTTTTGCCAACTACTGGCGAAACGATGACACAATAGGAATGAGCTTATTCGAGCAAGCGTATTGACCTTTGTTTTTTTTTTACAGATTTTGCACAAGGCGAAACCGTATTTTTGTTGACACTTGACCATTGTCATGTGAAAAGATCGGCCCAGGGAGCGCCAAGCCAATGTCGAATTTTTAAGGGGGAAAGAGCGAAAGAAGGGGCACACACCAAGTAAACAACCTGGACTCTAGAAGCGTGAAAGAACCAAAATTCGGATGACAGTGACGTGGGACCTTTTGTTCGCTTCAAACGACTGATGTACATATTTGTGTGAAGCATAATCTCACACCCGAGGAGTGAAGGCAATTGAAAAATCCAGGTGAGGATTTTTACCGAATTCGATAAACACTAATGTCGCGCGCAAAAGGATTTGTGTCCTTTCATCTCAACCAACTTCTAATTCTCGCTGTGGATGATGTGACGGTAGGAAGGCGCGTCCATTATTTGACCTATTACTGCTTACACATATCCGGTGGAGTATTCACAAGCGAACGCAATTGGGAAGAGAACATTGAGGAAACGACAATGGAAGATGCGGAAAATAATTGAATCTCGCTATGCCATGCCCAAGGTATCTATGTGGCCGTGAGGCAAGTGTGTGTGTGTATGTGTAGGTGAAGAAGCTGTTCCTCTGATTTTGGTTTGCCAACACGAGGGCAAAATCCACCAACTTCCTTGCATCCTCCATCTAAAACATAACGCAGCGCGCTCTTTGATCATTGTTAGTGCGGCCGGTCGACGTTGGGAGCTGTGATGGTGTTCCCTTGCGGGTGGTGGAGAGGACCGGATTCTGTTCAAGCCTGAAAATGATGGCTGTGTAAAAGTGAAACTCCGGCGACTGCACATCGGGTGCATGTCTCCAGATGTCACTCAACGGTCCGTCGCGATCGTCGTGCCCTGGAATTTGTCGAACCTTTGCCTTCTCTCTAAGGATCAGTTGCTCGATCAAGAGTTCTGACCGATCGAATCCTTGGGCGAGACGGTCTTGCACCAAGCGGCGAGCTTGGTCATGCATGTTGGCAGTGGGGTCGAAGTCTGTGTAGAGAACAAAAAACCAGTCAGTTCGGGTTACAGATTACCACGACCAATAGGCAAACATCTGGAAAAAACAAAGACTAAACAAAACATATGCCTACCCTGTTCGAAAGAGATGCACCTGGCAAAATAGAATGTCAGCGTTGGTGGTCCCATGAAGCAGGATAAATACTGGGGAAGAGAAAAGCACTTACGGTTCCTTGGGTGTCTCATCTATGGGAGTGTCAGGTGTAGACGGGAGACTCTCTTCCGACACGAAAGTGGGCGTTGTGGAGGGAGTTGATTCGGCCACGACAGTGGTCGTGGTGGAAAGAGTCCGTTCAGCCTCGGGAGTTGTAGCTGGAGTGGGAGGACTCCGTTCAGATCCACGCGGAGTATGGTGGTCATACTCAGTCATGGCGAATGATGAGTTTCCACTTTGGGACGGCATATGATGGTAAAGTGATGGTGGAGTGGTTCCGGACATGATCGTTGGATCGAAAGTAGCAAAGATAAATAACTGCTGGTTTATGGATTGTTGAAAGCGAAGAGAGAGAGATAAGTGACTGAGCGGTGGTGGATAGAGGGAAGGGAAGAAGACATGAAGGGCTCTGAAAGAAGAACATTTAAATACTGCCCGGATTTAATATCGGTGCAGAATCAGTGCCCGCTGCATATCCTCTGCTGTGCCGGAGGTCGGACTTCCATTCAATGCAGGTCAAATAAATGGCTAAGAGAAGGACAGATCGTGCATGTATCTGGAATCCAAAAATTATTTTCCCTTTTTTTTGCTGCAGGGCATCATGTAGAGTAATTGCTGCACGCTGTGTGAGGCACTTCAAGTAGCTAATAAGACCGAACTACTGTTTCTCTTGCGAATTTCATCGAAAATGTGTCTGGTCGAAAAGAAGATGAAAGGCAACTTGGAACGTCGCTGCCGTAGCTTGCCCTTGTCCAAATGCAAGAGAGAGCACAAGGCCATGCAGTATGAAATACTCAGCGGGGATGATAACGAGCTTCTAGGCGAAGAAGGAACGGGAAAAGGGGCACAAACCAAAGGAGAAGCGGAAAGAGACAAAGTTGGCCGGAAATCTCGCGTCGTGCATTGCAAGGTCAAATGCGTCCGAAGCCCGCATGCATCCGAAGATCCAAAACTGTGGTGGTTATCGGACTCCGTATCTTAAGCCGCATACCTAGAGGTAAATACGTCGTCGTGGAGTTGGATCGGCCGAATATCGATTTCACGTGTCTCGCCAGGACCCTAGTTTCCGTCAGAACCCCCCGCCTGATCTTTATGGCAGCGGATGCGGTTCCAATATTCCAATTCGAAGGTGATCGCGTTGTGGCAGAGGGACGTTACCGTATAGACTCGGGGCGTTGATTTTTAACTTCCAGGGAAATCAAACATAATCTGTGAGGATACTGCCCGATTATGTGCATTTTATGCCCATCAAATTAAGTGGGGGAGACGTGCTGCCACCCCGGATCACTGTAAACTCGATTCTTCCAAATCCTGCCTTTTCACACCTATCTTTCCAAGGGCGCTGGAGGGTGGAGACATTCAAATCACCGTCTTGCATAGGATTTTTGGTGGGCATGAATGTTGCAGTATGCTAACTGTTTATGCCTGGTTTCCCTGGAAGTTAAAAATCAACGCCCCGAGTCTATACGGTAGTGTTTCTACCGGGCCCGCGTCTCTGTATTCACGCTGCTCCCTCGTAACGCCGTTGTGCTGATTCCCACCCCGCTCCAAGCCCTGATAAAAAACGTGGCTTGCACGCAGGGACAAGTATGTGCGCCCCAATCTAGAGAAAGTAGTTTCAACCTGTGTCAGAGGATGTTGCGCGTCTTGAATCAGGGCAATGAAGGTGGCGTTAGTGTACAAAGGGTTTCCTCTCTTGCACAGCCTCGGGGACTTGAAAAGAAACTCACCGCAACTAAAGCTCATATAACTGAAGGCGAGTTAGCATATGATCAAATCAAAGTGTCTGAACCGTAGCAAGATACTTCCATACTTACGGGCAACTAAGAATTGGAGGATTGGGGTTGCCTGGCACCTCTTGATCTCTTGCAGTATCAACAAGTTCACGGAGTGAGCGGGAAGTCAAAAGTGAGCAATCACAAGACAAGGAAGGAGAAGTTAAATAGAAAGGAGTATTCATCAAGAGCTTAGGTGCTCATCCTCCCATGTGTGTATCATCACCTAGTGAGCAAGAGACAAGTCATCAGTGACTCAGTCTGAAAAAAAAGACAAATGTTTTCGCTTGTTCATGCGTGTTTGCCACTGACTGTCTCACTCCCAGTTGACGAAGCCTGAAGCAACAATTTGCGTGTGACCGTTCAAGTCCCGATCCTCAAGAATGACATTTGTATCTCAAACTTTATCCAACAACTCTGCTTGGCGGAGTCAAAGGCGTGTCAAAGCCATGATCGGGGACCAGAATCTTCTCTCCCAAAATCATGTAGGACTATGACATCGATGAGTGTCGCGGTAAAAGAGAATGGTATGCCTTACGCAATGAAGGAGCAAGTCCTCGGTAGTCGACAGCTATATCTTTCAAGACCAAGATACGTTGTTCTGTTATGCCAATAACCTTGACGCCAACGCGGAGATTTGGTTGAGGGCACAACTGTGCTTATGTCGTCCATTTCTGATGTGGCGATTTATTGGGCCTCCAGATTGACAAACATTTCTGGGAAGACGGCATTCCTAGCCCAGGAGTTGACTGGCAAAGTGCTTTCCAGGTCCAAGAATCATCCAGCACAGCATCAAGACCGCCAGCTGGCAGCAAGGCAGCATAATTCGTACTTTTTTTCTTGCCTTCCAGACACTGCGCCTATCGATACAAGCCCTCAGAGTCCGCGACCCTCTGCATTTCATCCCGTCCCATCCCTAAGGTCCCAGCCCCATGCACCAGGCTCCAGGCAGGAACCTACATCTGTAGGGCACCATATAAGGTCCGATACCAGACCCCAATACCAGAACGGGGCCCAGTGGTTGTATGGCCCAGTGGTTCCGTTCGTGAAAACATTGCCGGTGTGCGTGGCACCCGTGGTACAGTTTTCGTAGGTCGCTGACTGGAGGATTGTGGTTCGTTCCACAAGCTCAACAGGGCTTCTGAGCTTTTTGCCGGATTTATCGCACTCAACGCCGATTAGAAATGTTTCGGACGTGCATTTTGGACTTTTCTGTTTCTTTTGCAAACTTGTATGGGTTTCTCATTGGTTTTTTGACCGGGATATCGGCGGTTCCCAAAGGGTTGAGCTGCACCCCCCACACTCTTGTCGACCCCTCCCTTCCTGCTCTTCTACTGCTCAGTGACGGACAGGCAGAGCGTTGAGAATGCCTTTAAGTGCTGTCAAGTCCAAGCCACGACACCCGATTTTTTACCCGTGAGGTATGCATTGCTAATGGCAGTCTTGATTTTTCTTTTTCCACAACCGGCCTGTGACCAGATTTCGTCCTTTGGCCCATTGAACTTGACCAGGTTGCGATGGTTGCGGGTTAGGCCTAGTTCCTCGTAGCCATCAAGCGTTGCTGACTCTTCGGTGACAAAATCTTTGATCCTTGAGGAAAAACGAAACTGGCAAATTTGAGCAGGGGTACCATTTCGGCGAGGTTGATCGGTTGCTCTTCGTAAGAGCAGAAGACGTGGATCTTGGGAGAGAGCTTGGTAACCAAGGTGGCAAACTCTTTTAGGACAGCCTTGAGATAACTGTTTCTCAGAGTCATGTCTTCCAACGACTTGGAGGCTACTGCACCAAAGGTCTGATATTTCTCGGCGAGGGGAGAGAACATGACAGCGGTAGAAGCAATGGTAGCATCCTTGAGAGGAGTTCCGAAGAAGATGACGGCGGAAATGGCTTCAAACATGACGGGGTACAGCTCGCGGCCCGTATCAGCATAAGCTACTGCCTTCGCGATGATCAGACCTCCCAAGCTGTGTGCAGTAAGCACAATAGGCCGGTTTCTGCAGGTCTGTGAAAGGGGATTGTTAGTAGAAGACCGCGAAGGCACAGGTCTGAGCAACAACCATTCTCTTGGCTTTCAAGCATGTCAAGATGGTGTGGGTGACGTTATTCATGGACTGCTTGACCTTGTAGTCACCAAACCAGACCGATTCGTGCATGTAGAGCAGGATTCTAGCCTTGGGTAAATCCTTGACGATGCCGTCATCTTTGTCGGTGGCCCAGTTGAACTCGGACTTTTCATTTCCAGACTCCCAGCTTTTTCGGGGTGGGCGCCGAGACCGAGGACTAGAACGATATCAATAACGAAATCGTCAGGGGTTTGTTGTTTCGGGGTGGTCGAGCTGCTAGATGCTCTGCAAGACATTGTCGTATCTCATTGCCTTCCTAGCTGAGACATGCCGATCTTTCTGGGCAGGAGTACGGCTTACAGACTGGCGGGGAGCTTTCTGGGTGGCCCAGCGATTGAGCGACATGGCGAAAGGGTCGATGGTCAATCCATGCGCACCTGATGAGCGTCAAGAATTGGCAGAAGACCATCTATAGGAGATAGGAAGAGGCCGTTACGGGAGAGAGGTCATTGTAGCTCAAAGTTCCTTTTGAGTCAGCCTTCGTTGTACGGCAGAATATGCGAAGGAGCTTAGCCGACCGCTGGCTTTTCTGAGTAGTCTCCACGTTGCATCGCATAAGCTTGGGGTGGGTGGTGTTTCGACTGGTCTGACCGAATTGATGCCTACGTCGTTTTGAGTCTGGCCACCTAATCATTGTAGTGCTGGTGTCTACAAGCAGAGATAGGCTCGTATTTCAAGCGCCGGGAAAACATCGTGATGGGCGTCTGGACTATAACACGGCATGTCATAGGATAGATAAATCAATTGCAGATCAAAGGAGGATGATGGCTTGAAAATGTAATGCGAGCATGTTTACATCGGAGAGAAAAAAGAAGAAAAAAAGAGGAAGAGGCAGAGAGCTATCTTGACAGCGGGAGAATTTTCTCGTCCTGTTCATAGGAAACGATTGAAGTCGGGCAATCACGCTTTTAGTGGTTCTTTCCCATCACCGAGTTGTTGATCGATGTCGCGACATTTCTACATTATTTTCTGTAGTATTGTAGGTGTGAGATGTCCATTAGTTGTACAGCACGACCCACATTTCACTAACCGCAGCTCCCTTGTCGACAGGGCGCCCGCTGCTGTTGTTGGCTTTGAGAAGTCTGCACTGCCGGCCCAATGCAAGTTGAAACCACCACATTTCACCACCTCTTGGGATGTAGATTCAACCAAAGAAACCCTTCACCTTGACCCTTTGCACTCCATGGATACAACTCTAGTCAACTAGCCCTTGCCTATGAGCGTATTTCCTATCTGCGAGATTGAAACAAGACTGTTATCGTGAAAGGACGCTGCACCTGGAAACCACTGGCAAAAAAATGTGTTTGTTGGTGGACTTGGTCCAACTCCTCAAGATGACGACCTAAGTGTACACAAGACCCCCTCAATTCACAGCATAAGACACCCTCGATGTCCCCTTACTCCTCGAAATCTTCTTCACCGTCGTCTTACCACACAAATCAGTGGTATCAACATGCGTCCCACCGCACGGATACACCTCGGCGCCCACAATCTTGACCACCCTAAACTTCTCCCCCGGCGGCGCCAAGCTCCGATCGGGAATCAGCCTCTCCAGCCCGTTCTTCCTGAAATCCTCCTCGTCCCAGAAATCCACCTCGACCGGCATCGCCTTGTCAATGTACCCATCCACCTTCTGCTGGATCGGCTCCTTCCACTTTCCCTCGATGGAGCCCTGGAACTCGCATGCCGCCGAGTCGGGGAAGTGCGACGCCTTCAGCTCGTCGAATCCGGGGATTTCCTTTTCGAGCAAGTGCCGAACCGCCGCGCCGAGGACGTGGCCCGCGGTGTGCAGGCGTGAGTACAAGAGGCGCTTTTCCACGTCGATGGATTGTTCGACTGTGTCGCCCAATTGGAATATGCTGGAAGAGGAAGAGTCGAAGCGGCCAAAGTGGAGGACTTGCCCGTCCTTCACGGCGTCCATGCGGACCATGCTCACACGGAAGACACTAACATCACCCATGGTCATGACGCCTTCATCGGAGGGTTGGCCGCCTCCCTGAGGGTGAAAAATGGTCTGGTCGGTCACGATGGCGAAGTCATTGTCGGTGCCTTTCTTGAAGAGAAGCTTGTTGGCTTCTTCCAGGGCGGGAAAGGGCGTTATCGCCGAGACCACAGCTGACAGCTTGTAGAGCTTGGCATTGTGGTGAAAAGCCAAGTATGTTCGCGCGGCGGTGCTTCCCTATGCGTGTGTAAGTGCTCAGCCCGCACTATCTCTTGAGGGCATATCAACACTGACCATGTTGACTTTCGGATTGCTTTTGGACTTTTCTTTGTGTTAGACACCAGGGCTTGTTATTGAGACTTGGATTTGACTACCTTTTGTACTCACACTTCCAATAATTTTTGTATGATGTCTTTGAATCCTACTAGATGATACTGCTGAATACAGTGTGCCGAGAAACCAACGGAGGGGCAAACTTCACTGGCACAGCGTTACAACGCCCTTTGGAAGACAACATTAAACCCGAGCCTTTTCTCCACAGGCGGCCGCTCGTTGCCCTGGATACGGATGGCTCCACGGAGATCACAACGGCTTCAGAACATTCCTAACGGGAATATGCACCATCCGCACGCCAAACAGGGAGAAGGAAAGGGAGCAAAGCAAACTTTCTTCTCCGATTTGAAAGCTACCCAACATTATACTACTCCATTCACATTGACGTCTACCCCGCATGTGATAAGACATCCCGTCAGTCTCCGCACACAGCTTCTGTCTCTCGGTTGTTCAGAAACGGAGCTGAACTAGAAGCCAGAGTGATATACGTGCAGAAGTCATGTCCGCGGACTTCCGTTGTGATGGCTTCAATAGTTTCACAGTATCTTTCTAACAAGATCGCTGGACTTGTGTGACTTGAATCGGATTATCATTTGCTCTTCCTAGGCTTGATGTTCCTATCCCCGAGCACCGGTGGTGCCACTCGGTGGTCCTTGGGTCGTACTACTTGATAGATCAAACCTAGTTTTGTTGTCGACGAGTACAACTACAGTGATGGCATTGAAACTTACTTGAACACTTGGTCTGTGGGTGATTACTGATCATGAGACCATTGATTTACACGTTTTGGGTTTCATGAAATCTCGGCTAGTCGACCGGGAAGCAAAGGTGGATGTGCTTTGCGTGTGGTATGGCTCAGGGTCTGGATTCCCGTTTCGCTCTGCTTCTATTACTGTAACTTCCTCCATCCTGCTGTTAAATCTGCAGTATTGAAACATTCTCTCCTCCCCCTTTTTATTGCAGAAAGTTCTTGATAGCCCCTCCAACATTCTTCACATCCAACAAGAACGTGTCGTGACCAAACATGCTTTGCTCCTCACTCAACTCATAATGCGCCACGTTCCGGTTCCCAGTCAACCTCAGCGCATCAGCAATTTCGCGCTGTTGCCATGCTGGGAACAGAATATCGCTGGCAACACCCATGACCAAGGCCGGGTGGTCCCGCAGGGCAGACAAGCCCTTGATCAAATCCTCGGGTGGCTTCGAGGAGTCTGACTGTGTGGCAAGCTTGGTGTCAATATCTGCGGAGCCCCCCGACTCAGGCTGCTCCTCGTAGGGCTTGTCCGGCAGCGTCAGGCTGCAGGACACGTTCTCATTTGATGCGTAGACCCCCTTATGGAGCGACTCCAACCGCTCAGCCCGTCTGGTAGCCGCAGCCTTTTGGCACGCATGACCCAAATCAAACAGATCCATAGCCTTGCTGACGTACAACAAACTGTTTGGGTCGTACGTCAGGCAAAACTTCTCTCCCGCGTGGTCCAGATAGGTCTCTATGAGGAAGTCCGGGCAAAGAGCAGGCGGCTTGCTGGGATCCGCCCTTCTACGGCCGAACCTCAGCTCCCACTCGGGACCTGACCGATACGTCACAGTCGCAATTTCGCGCGCCAGCTTCATGCCAGCGTGTGGGGGGACGTTGTCATAGTAGAAACCTCGGTTCCAGTTGGGGTCCATCATGAGGACTTGCCGCTGCGTGTGCCGCATCGCAATGCTGTATGGGTGACTCCTGGCGCAGCCGCTGATCGAGACGATCCGGCCAACACGCTCGGGGAATAGCACGCCGGCAGCCAACGATTGCATGCCGCCCATACTAGAGCCCACGCTGGCGTACAGCTTGTTGACCCCCAAATTGTCCAACAAACGGAACTGCGCCCGTACCATATCCTCCAGCGTAAGTATGGGAAACCTGGTGGCATAGCGCTGTCCATCGGCCGGGTCAATACTACTCGGTCCCGTTGAACCGTAGCAGCCGCCAATAACGTTTGTGCAAATGATGTGATATTTGTCGGTGTCGAGGGCGAGGCCGGGACCAATGAACCTCTCCCACCATCCGGGCTGGGGGTTGGCTGACGTAGAATGGGCATGGGACGACGCTGAAAGACCCGTGTGTAGCAGGATAACGTTGGACTTGTCGGCGTTCATCTCGCCCCACGACTCGTAGGCGATGTCGAACTCGGGGAGCATGCCACCCCAGTCGAGAAGTAGGGGTTCGTCACAATGGAAGGTCTGGGTGGCACCGGCAACGTAGGATGGCTCGGGGCCGCTCGAGTCGGAGCGCTTCTTGAGGGTTTCGGACCGGGTTTCGAGGGCGTCGAGGCAGGGGAAGGCCATTGCGGGATTGGAGGCGCCGCTGCGCCGGGGCGCTTGTTCGTGTAGACATCGTTGCTGTTGTTGTTGTTGTGGTTGAGCTCGTGATAACCGCTGTCCAGCTACCGCAGCAGTTCTAGATGACTGTGATGTCGCGGGGCTGTAGGATGCGTGGGACAGGGCTCCCGAAACCCTCCGCAGGGACGCGGCAATATGTTTCTGTGACCGCATGGTGCTGAGATGTCCTGGATCTGGTGTTGAAGATGATGCAACCGTCGACAGGCACGAGCACAAAGAGGAACAGATGTTATAGCGCGAGGTGTAAATGTAGTCCGTGAGTAGTTTACCTTGTTAGAGGAGAATGCTAAAATTGAATCGGCACGCTACTGCGAACCCGGAGCTCATGATGGAGAGAAAATGGAGATTGGTAATCCCAGTTGCCCAGTTCGGGGGGTAAACACGAAACCGAATTGGATGCCGTCAAATCCGGGGAATCATGAGGAGGTTGCCACAGGCCCCTCACTAACCCCATTCTGCCTTCATCGCAATCGGGATTCGGGACAATGTTTGCAGTGTTCTGAGAAATCTTGACGGCGCTAACATAAGTCGTCATTTCACGTGCTGCGCGGGACGTTCCGAGCTGGCACCCCCGGGGTGTATCGAAATAGTTGCCGGACCCTTGTGAAATGGACGAGTCCACCAGGCACACTGCGACCGTCCGGAGAGGCCCGGCGTAAAGCCCCTGTCCCGTCACGCCTGCCTGTGCGCCAATGTGCCTCTAGACGGGACAATGCGGGGTACGACGGGTGATGTCACTGGCGTAACCGCACCTTACCTACCAAGTACGCTGCCCCACCTTGACCATCCTCCAGCTGCTCACCACTTCACGCATGTTCCAAATGGCACCACTCCGCCTTCGCTTTTCTCGTCAGGTTCCAGAACCTTGACGACCCAAACAGTCTTGGCCTAGGCTTCCATTCACTGTCTGTCTCCAGGCTGGATATCCACGACCGCGCTCTTAGTCTATTCTTGGTATTTTCCCCTTTGCTGCCTATTCACTCTTATTTTGCTCCGACAATTTGCAGTCCTTCTTATTGCAGTCCAGTCCAGGTTTCAGGGAAGGTTAAATAGTCAGCAGCCCCGAACATTCATCGAGAATTGAATCGAGACCCCCTTCGTGCCAATGGCCTTTCTGTCCTCCATATTCAAAAGACTCTCTCTGAATATGGTCAGCCCGCTGAATGCGGGTGATTCCGCACAAGACCAAAACCAAGATGACATCGACCGCTCTGTGAACCCTTACCAGCCCACCGCCATGGAGGTAATCCTCGTTAGGGCGATGCTGGAGAAGGCTCTTCGACTGCCACCCGAGATCATTAACGGTATCCTCGATCATGCTGAGTACTGGCCCCATACATCGACCGTCATCGACTATAGTAATTGGCCCCAGGGGCAAAGGGTTGTCAACGCAGGAGACGGCAACTCGGAGAACGCCTTCTTGGTGAGTTTGGGTGTCTCGTGCTGTTGGGCCTCACCCTTATGCTAACCTGCTCATTTTCGACAAACAGCTGCGCACTCTTCCTCTCGGTTTCCTCAAACCGCCTTCTTCGTTCTTCGAAAATGACGGCAACCGCGAAGTCCCACTCGAGCCGATTCCTCGCGAGCCCAAAGAGTTCCCCGTCGACACCTACCAGTCCCGCATATCCCCCACCCTCAGTCACCCATGCCGCAAGATTAAGTTCACCATCGTTTCCCATGACCAAGGCTGGGGCGGCGAGCCGCGTACCCGCCGGACTTACAACAACTCTTATACCTGGTTCGATATTGGCCTCGAACGGTGCCTCCAAACCAGCGACGACATTGACAAGCCGACCTTTGATCCTCAGACCCTCTCAACTATTCTGCCAAAAGTGCGCGAGGTTGACCCCAACAATGACGGAGACCGTCATGTGCAGGGAACGCACACTTTTGACTTTCCACTATGCCCCCAGAAAGATACCATGATCCAGTGCAACGAGGTTGCTAATGGACAATACCATCAATATGAAGTGGAGTGGAAGTGGACCGACAACATCTCGAGCGCTGATCTTTTCGACAGCGGCTATGGTTGTGAGGAGGGCTTGATAGAGAACCCCTTACCCAAGGTGGGCCGCGGCCAGGCGACGGGCGACGGAAAGTTCGTGAGGGACTTGAAGCTCGGTGATGTGATTACTGTCTGGGCCAAGGCAAGGTTCGCGGGTTGGGCCAATTACATCAAGCGTATCCAGGTGGATGTTTACTGGGTCGTTTGAGATGATGAGCAGGTACCACATTTCAGTTTTTCGGTCCTCAGTCTTGAGGTATGTGTGGGTGGCGTTAGGCGTTTCCGGAGCGAGCGTTGTCCTCTCTTCTTCTTCTCACATGCGCTTTCTGTTGCACACGCCGTTCATTTTTCTATCCTAAGGTACAACGAAGGACATGAAGTACACCAAAAAAGAGAAGAAAAAAGGAAATCACGGAGCAAAGGGGAACACAGAACAACAAGGCCATGATGGCCGTTCATCATGGAATGGAATAACATAAAGGGTTTGCTGAAGTGCGTTTTACAGTGAGGGATTCAGGTTACCATAGGTTCAGAGGCGCGGATCACTTCATTGGCCTGATACCCTCCCTACCTAGATGGAGCTTCGCTTCTAACGGACCCTAAGCACACCTCAACGTATTGAATGAACTTTTATCTGTTCCTCTATCTTGGCTTCATGACAGTCCATGGCAGTTCGAATAGCCTCGAATGCCTTCCCTCATGTGTTCTTGATATACTTGTCCATTTCTGTCCCTTATGTCCCGTCAATCCCAAACGCCCGTTCATTACCACTTTGCTTCAGAATCGTGTCTATCTATTTAACACAAAAATAAGAAATTTTACCTGATATTATGCGGACCAAGTTTACCTTATACCAATGGGACAGAATGGCGTACACTTTGAGATGTGTTCTTTTTTTTTTTTCTTTCGCGAGGCAATGAGGTCAGTCTTGCGCGCTGTATAGCTGGACAAGGTCGAAGTCAAGTCATCTGGCTGTGCTTCTTATCTCTCTGGTCCACATATGGTTTCTGTTCCGTTTTGTTGTTTGTTTGCCCTGACTATGACTTGGATGATATTTTCCTTTCGTCCACATCTGAGAATGAACTTGAAATCACGGACACTAAACAACAAGAGATTTGCAAAATTTTGAATCTTTTTACCACTTTTTTTTTATTTCTTTCGTTTTTTATACTTGCTTTTTGACTACTTTATCTTATGCTTCTTCGTCGTCGTCGTCTTCTTTATTCTCTTTACATGTTCGCATTGCGTTGACCCAGAAACGGAAGCCAGAAACCAGACCAGTATAACCCAATGAACCTAATCCCATTCCCTTCCCCGAATCATCCTTTCCATGAAGGTAAAAGAAAAAAAGATGTACACACTCATGTCCACTGCCATTCCATGATCTAATCAAACTTTGTGTTTTGAACTTTGTTGTTCGGGTCTAATATACTCTGGTATCAAATGTGAAACCAAACAAGTGTGCAAGGAAAAACGGACAATGAAAAATAACCCGAAAATTGTGCTCTGATCCTCCCCCTCTTGTTTCCCATGCGTGCTCAGCTTTTTTTGGTGTTCGCTTTTTTCCGTTTGCAAGCAACGTTTCCCTCCCTTTTCCTGTTTCCCATGTTCCAAATGGTGAACTGCTGACGGCATCCCAGATGAAGTCTGAAGTGGTGATAGCGAGGCCGGGCTTCAAAATCGGTGTGGTCTCGGATAAACAAGACGTTATGCGGATGCAATCAACATTCCCACTGGAAGTAGGTCCCTCAAAATAACGGGCAGGAAGCCCCTCAACCCGAGGGGTGGGTTTGCGGCAAAATATTGAAAATTTCGGAGAAAGAGAAGATGGGAGATGGGGTAGAGCAAGGGAATGAGAGAAGAAAAACCTCCAGATGAAGCAAGGATATCATTCAGGCCGGTCAATGATGCCTCAACAACCAAACAAAGAAGCCACAGCATGATCCCAAATGAAGTTATGACCCCTGTGCTATATCCTTGAAGCTCTTCGCCAGCCCGCCTTGTTTAAGAGAAACGCTCCTTTGTAAATGCGTTCGAATGTGTGAAATGCAGTGCATATGGCCTAAACCAACCGACACCGACGATAACAGGAATGACATTAATAAGGGCCAAGCAAAACCGAACAGAACCCTCCCAGTTCCCCTATTTTCATCAGGACCGAGTTCATCGATCCATCCTAAATCAGCAAATGATGCAGCGTAGTCGTTTCGCTTTGATAAAATGAAATAAAGATGCTTTATGCTGGTAAATCCGCCGATTTTGAAGTCTGCAGATAGATAACTCGTTCATGGAATACGACTATCCGTCAGGAAAGCTCGACCAGTCTCCAGTTGTTGTAGAGTCCGAAGGGTGATCAGAACGGTGACCATCCATAAGACTCTTCATAATTGAGGTTCGTCGTTGAACAGCAGCAACATGGAATGGACAAGCAGATCCATCTTCAGCCAGGCAGCATGTGTCATCCGAGCTTATGCTATAATCCTGAACTATGTGTCCAATATGGGCTTTAACTTCCGATGGACGAAGCCAGACTAGGATACGTATCCAAGAAAGCCAACGTCCCAGATTTCAAGTGCTCGGGTGTAACACGCGATTAGTTTTTCGTCCGACAAAACGGAACTGAGGACCATCCCCGGTTCACTATGCCGCGCACGTTGAATGATCAACCACCTCTTCGGTCTCCGTCATTTTTGGGCACCTGCTCGCTCTGGGCAAAGGTACTCGCGGCATGTTTCAAATCAGCCATGCCCTTCTTGCGAGGCTTGGACTTTTGCCAGTCACTGAGCCCCTCACTCTGACCCTTGTTCCCATTCCGCAAGTGCCCATTGCCCCTGGAAGTGCCATTACTTCGCTGATCCAGAACCGGCGAGCGGGTTACAGAGTCGAGTTTTGCTGCAGGGCCTGCTGGCGGGGATTTCACCGGCGACGTCTTCTGTCCTGATCTCCAGGTATCTGAACGTTCTGAACGAGACCCGTTTGTAGACTCGGGAGTTGGCGTGGAAACAGCTAGCGAGGATTCATACTTTCGCATGAGGGTGGGCGATGGTGTTCGCGCCTCATAAACCGGTGAAAGATGTTGCAAATCTTGAGAGACGCCAAAGCTGCCAGCAGCAAGATCAAGGGGCGCTATCCCGTTCTGTTGGCGAGCTATTGATCTCATACGATCACCATTGGGAGGAGATAATCCAGGCGACGAAGTGGTATCGCTGGTCAGTGGCGCGTATAGAATGCCGGGATGGAAACTGTTGGCCATTGCGATGCGCTGCTGGAATGATGCGTCCCCCATGTTCTTGGACGAGGCTGGAGACCGGGTAGCTGTAGTACTATTTACAATTACCGGCCGGTCCGGGAACTGAGCAGGGTTGTGACCAGTGACAGTGGGCAAATGGAAGTTGGTCGGCTCGGTCCAACCCCCATTGTAGAACCCTTGGTGGATGTAAACAGGATTCTCATAAGTCGCATCTTCCGGGACCGGAGGCTCTGCAACGGGTAGTGGTTGACGAGAGACACTTGAAGCAGGTTTGGTTTTGCCCATCGAGCCATTAACCACCAGAGGCCCACGGCTGGGAGCGAGCTTGCCATTGGTTTGCGAAACGGGCGCCGACGGCGCAGAACTATTACCAACTGACGGGGTCCTACTGTGGCCCAGAGGCGAGGGAGACCGTGAGGTACGCTTCATTCTTCTGTCAAGGACCGACTGAGGCAGCTGGTCACTCGACAGTCGGTGGCGAGTCTCATTGTCGAGCGTCAGTTCACCAAGGGAGGGTATGATGCCGTGAGTACCATTCGCGACAGGACTGGAGCCTCCGTGCATGAAAAAATGGTTGTAACGCGAACCGTCTTCCTCGGGCGGGGAATCGGTCACACTGTTGGCTGACGCAAGATCAATATCCGAATCTATCGCTTCGTCTGGCACGTAATGTGGCATTGCCATCCGCGGGAATGGAATAGGAATTCCAACTGAAGGCTGACTTGTCCCGAGATAACCCGTCATGTTCTGAGTAGAGGCCGTAGGGGTTCTCGACGCTGGTTGGGATTGAGACCTGAGCGCACCGCTACCAGTAGAAGCGCCGGACTCACTAGCCGCAGCATTTCGATGGAGGCTTCGCCTATACTCGGGCCCTCCACCAGCTGTTGCAGCTGCTGTCACAGGGGAGGACGGATATGTCTGTAGTGCCGGATGGAAATAAGCGGGGTTCTGCAACGGAAATGCGTAACCGTAGAATAGTTGCTCAGGCCGTACTGGAGGACTCGTCGGGAGATTATCAAAAGAGTTCGTCCGAGACCTATCGGTGTTCTGTGAGCCGCCTGCCCTCGTCCTATTAGCATGGGCGAGCAACTGCTGTTGGTTTATTTGCTGTGAGTGCGCGAACAGCTGATATCGGATACTATCTTGTTGCTGCTGGTGCTGCTGTTGTTGTTGACTCAGTGCGTTGAGCTGGGATGCGTAAACTTCGGGAGGTATCCCGTGCTGGTGATACCACTGCAGGAACTCAGGCGCAGCCATCTGCCCTGGAATTCCGGCCGGCACATAGGTTGAATTGGGATCGTGTGTCACACTCGATGAGCCCCGGCGACCGGCGTTTCCGTTCCGATTGTATTGCCGTGCGTTTCGAAAGCCGCCATTCCGTGGGTTTCGACTTGAGTGCGTCTGCGAAGAGCTTCTAACCAAGATTGGCCTAGATGTACTGGCCGGTTTCTGGAAGATAGTCCTTTCCTCCTCCTTGGGGAATACGTATTGCTCACAGCATTCCTCGAATTTGCCGTCGGCAATCAGTTCAAATGCCCGACGTAGCTCCATGTGGAGACCCCGGAAAGACGTGTCGTCGGCTGTATTCCCAAGATTGCGCATGGTGTTGAATGGCTCCTCCACGCAGAGCATATTGTTAACACCAATATGCCAGCGTTTCTCAACTTTACTCAGGAGCTTGCCGGTGCGTATTGACAATGCATACTTGTCGTAGTCAAACTCGTGCGCGTAGAAACGGAAGAAGTTGAAAAGAAGAGCCGCTAAGCTGTCCTTGTTCTTGTCCCCAAATCCGCGCAACTTGTCGATGTCATCAGCAAAATCGCTCTTTGTCCCATCTGGCCTAAGAAGCTTGAGGCTGTTTTCTTGGTGAAGTGCTGGGAGAACTGGAGGGTCCCGTAATTGTAGAAATGCAATAGTCAAGCATATCCATGTATAAGAACTTAATGTGCCACCAAATGCTGTAAAAAAGTAAGCAAGTGCATGTCGAGGAACGGACCACAGGGCGACTGACCTGCATCATTAATTATCCTCCTCCTTGTCCAATACTTGATGATCATGGCCAAGGGCCGCACGCGTTCGTCAATTTCGACGTACGTACGCACCATCCTGGTATTCTCCAGTGCCAGTGTATTGTTGACATTCATATCACATGCTAGTTGGAGCTCGGGATCCCATATCTTGACAATTGGTACCTTTGCTGACGAGACACAAACGACCTTCTCCATGCCATCTGTAAGGACGGAATTAGTACTTGCGCCACAGACACGCTGTTTCAAAGAGAGAAAACTTACGTTTATGGAGTAACTCAGCGATCATGCAGACGCTCTCCAATTCTTTCCATGGAGTTGTGATGCAAATATCCACTGCCAGACGTCAACACTTTAATCTTAACCGCATGATAAGGGAAATTTGGACTAACCGTCAGAGTCGTCAGAACATAGCAGATTGCCTGAAGATCCGAAAAGGTTTACTTGAATATCGTGTCCAGGCCACTCATCGTTTAGTATCTTCTCTAGCTTTTGTACCAGCTTTTTCCTCTTGCGCTCCACCTCTGGGGTTGGTATTAGACTGTCATATAGTTCGCGCAGGGTTGTTGTGAGTTTCGCCTCATGGTCCTCTGATAGCCTGCTCTTAATCTTGTCTGGATCAACCGGATCCAGTCTATCCGCTCCGATACTGTATGGCATTCGTCGTCTAGAGAATGGAATGGCGGTCTCGAAGCGACAGCCCCCTAACCTGGGAGGCAGCGGCCGAAGTGATGGCACGTTACCATTTGTCTCCGAATATGCAGAACGGGGCGAATGGTTCTGTGTGGCGCCAGGGGATGGATCACGGGACTCGAACGAGAATTTCCTAGCATGTTGATGAGGTGTAGATGGTACTGAGCTGGTTACCGTAGCTGGAAGATGATTCATCTGGTCGGTTGGGAGCGGCGGTCGGGCGGGTAGGCCGTGCAGACCATTCTGATCTGGTTGTTTCTTTCCCGACATCTTGACTGACATTTCCTTTGCGGATGTTATAGGCACGCGTTCGGCGTTTTCTGTGTGCTTGACTGGCCTATTCCCATGACAGCTCAGGACGCTGAGCTTCCCGTGCAAGCCGTCCTTGGTCGACACCTTGGAAGATGATTTCGACCGCGCGACAGGCTGAGATTGCGTCAACGAAATCGCAGTCGGCGACTGTAAGGTAGTCAGACAACTACCGCCTCCTCGGCTGGAAGAAACAAGCCTGTTATAGTACTGCAGCTTATCCTGAGAGATGCTCAAGTGTTGCGGGAGCAGAATCGGCAAGAGCTCGAGATGAGAGGGAAAGTATGCAATGACAGACTCTGGAGCGTAAATCGAGGTCGTCTTCGATATCGCAGGTTCGGCGGGTAGACGCGTCCACAGGTTTGTTTGATAATGATGCTTGAGTTCAGCCGCGGCCGGCTGGGCGTCCATCAAAGGTTATGGTCAGGATCTGCTCTCGGTGCAAGTCCGGCCTGCGGTTCAGATCTGAGGGTTGAACGGACGCGGGCGGCACAATGCTTGATACGTAGAAGGCACGCTGATAAATGTACAGACGTTATGTGCTTCGCTCGTTCACTAAGGCAACGCGGTTATGGTTATGTACTCTTTGCTAAGCGCAGAATGCACGCTTGAAAGAGACGCTTCGTCTATTTTCCAACGACCAACTGGTACGTTATTGCTCGCCGCCAGCGCTTGGGCGCAGACCTCAAAATCGCTTCCAGAGCACGAGTGTCAAGTTCGCAAGCACACGTTCTTGTCCGCAGGTTGAAGTGTCCCACGACAACTAACCGTCCACTGTGGCGAGTCTCGTGAAGACAACCTTTCAGCTCCAGGATAGCCGTTCCAGACACCAAATCCCCTATCCTGGTCTAAACACGATCGCCTCGGGAACACCCTGTTCGCACGTTGCTGACAGGTTCGAGAACGGGGTTATCGAGAAGAGAAGGATTGGGTCGAGAGGATCGGAGACGAACGGAGGGACGATCGTAGGTCGGTCGACGAGCGCGTCAGGTCGAAAAACAAGTCGCGGATCACAGCAAGCTGTTGCGAGCCGTGAAAATCAGGCTGAACGACCGATGACCGTGATATTCGAGCAAATCTGCGAAAATGCACACTCGGAGCGACCGCAGAGTAGAGTGGGCGTGTAAAGGCAAATATGCGCAAGTAGGGTATCAAAGCTAGAACATTCGGGAGGTGCTCGGCGTCGTTCGGACGGAATATCTCTCGAATGGCGTAAAAGAAATAAGGGTGAAAAAAAGGCGTTGGAAATAATCGAGAGGAAAGGATTCCAGGCCGACGCGTTGAGGTCCCTAAGAACAAATGCCGGTGAGCCCGGGATTGAGGAGCAGAACCAACCACGGGCGGTCTTTGTGTCGACAGGGGGAAATAGGGAAAGAATTGATGCTGGCGTAGGGCGAGCGATCGATCTCGAGAGCAGGCAGGCGATCGAAGAAAGCCAGTCGCCGACGTTGTCGAGGATGAGTGGGAGAGGCAGAGCGGCAAAGACGACGAGACGACACCGACGAGCGACGAAGTGGAATAAAGGGTGATGTCGGTGTTCGGTGTGGTGCGGTGCGGAAATGTAATGCGTGAGTGGTGGAGGAGGAGGTGCCTTGAAGTGCCTCTACCGCTTCGCAGTTCGCTTCGCTGAACCTGAGTGGGTGGTTGCGTGGTGGTGGGCGGGAAGCGGAAGATCAGTTGAAAGCGCCGCTCCTTGGTTTGGACGAAATTCCAATCCAGACGAATATGCAATGCCGTGGTGGGTGCAGTGCGAGGTGAGTGAAGTGAGGTAAGGTGCAGCGACAGAGGTGACGGATAGGTGGTGTCGACCGTCAAGCGTCAACCTGGTCACTGAATCTCGACAGGACGGGAAGGAGGTCAAAGTAATGCGATCTGACCCTGCTCTGCTTGGATGTCAGAGGTGCAGAAAGAGAGACCGACGAGTTCAAGACCGGAAGGAGTCGAGAGAAAGAAATGGTGACGGCAGTCAGTACCTCCACAGTCGCTGTGTTTCGACGGGAAGTGGGAAACTGGAACTGGGCGCCTCGCTACTTTCCAAGTCGCAGTGCAAGTGCCACCTGGGTCGCTAGTGATAGCAGCACTGCAGCCTGTACACAGTCCCGTCCCTTTCTTTACCTGGATGGAGCCAGTGACGCCGGGGCTAAACTGGATGGCATCTCAACTCCCACTCGTACACTACCTACAAAAAAGGAGCATTCAACATTGGTCTGCTCCCACCTTTGGATCGCGCATTCGCTGGTCTCCCTTCAACGGCAACCCGTTCACGCCGTTCCTCCATTCAAGATTTCCGTCTCGTAGGTCGGTCTCAGCGATCCTTGGACCCCATTTGAGCGTGCGGTGATCCCCGGTTGTGCCCACAATGAGCGTGCCGTTCATTACGCAGTTACAGCGGATTACCGACCGCCTATCCTTACCTCTCCGGTACCCCGGACGGGAGGACGTCAAGCGCCATTGGATTAGTTATTGGTTAAGCCTCGACGACAGTGCTCAGCTTCTCCGATGTGTAAGTTACCGTAATTTTCGGAGACCCTTTGCTATTTTCTTAGCCAATCAGCGGTCTTGGTACGAAAAGTGCGTTCCGTACAGCTCAGCCCAGGTTAATTTGTTAAAGCGTTTCGTGCGACAGGGGTCTACAGAAATACAAAGTAAAATCACGAGACAACCAGGTTGAGAACGGAGACTTGGATAGGGGGCATGAAGTATACGAAACGCATCCAGTTGATACTAGTCTCTTGTACGAGGTCAGGTGGAATAAGGGTTGAATTGCGTAGAGTGTCAGGTGTAGTGAAGTCCCGCGCTAACGACTCGAACAAACCAGGCTTGGACTGAGCACAAGAGGTAAGGTACTTACTGCAAGAGGGCAACCACATGCCCCCGCTGAAAAGAAATCCAACCTCAGAAAGCCAAAGAAACACGCCAAATACACACTGTGACACTGGAACTGCGGCGAAGAAAGACAAAGTGCAGAAGCGTGCAGGGCTACAGTGGGCAACAGGGCTTTGCAGAAAATACCGAATTCACACAAAAACCCACGCGACATTTTTTGCAGAATTCCTCTGTTGAATGACCGGCCCGTCCTTTTACCGTTGATGGAGATTGAGTCACGAAACAGAAACTACGCACCAGCCAGGAAAACGTATCCGCATTTTTTCCCTCTTCTGTGCTTGAAATTGCCAGGTACCGAGCCGGAAGAAACATGAGCGGAAGCGCGAGCTTTGTTTCGGGGCCGGAATGTTCTGAAGGTACAAGGAACGCAGGTATTTCTGCGGCTTTGTGGTCCAGCGCCATGCACGTCATAGGTGTAGTCTCCTTGGCTCTACCTGCCCCCATTCAGCCAGTCCCTGTTGCATCATCTCGATGCTCCGAGCCCCTTTCCAGCCTGGCATGTCACCTCGCTCGTCTCTGGCACGCTACACCCGGACTATACAGCATTTCGAGTCTCGGCTGGCACCACCGGATTTTGGCCCATGATAAATTAATCATTCTGCCTCAGCGCGGGGGAAGATCAGAACCGATGACAGTGGTTCAAGGCACATCTTTTTCCACCTTATCGGGCGATCTGGTCACTGCTCGTCTTTGGATGAACGGCAAGAGACGGGACCAGATGCAGTGGGGTTGAACGATCTTGATTATTGTGGTTGGAGGTAAGTGGTGGCTCTTTGCGCCATTGATGTCTGGAACATTCATTGTTCGCTCTTGGGATTTCTTCTCGCTCCTGCCCGTCAAGTACAACGGTTGCTGTTCGAAGCGGTAGCCCCCCGCCTGGCCCCCGACCATTCTTTTGGCTCCTGCCGTGTCCAGTCACGATGTTGCCAGACTTTGCCGGTTTTCCCCCAGTTTTCCCCGCCCCTCCCTTCCTCATCAAACATGAACCGACTTTCATACAAATGCTGCCTGGGAAGGAGAAGCCTAGTACCTATATAGACAGCATTGACCTACGCACGATTGTCCAACCAGCCGACAACCATCTGGACCGCTGACTGAGCGCATATAGGTATATCTATATACTTGTCAGTAGCACGATAGAAATGCCGATCAAAAAAATGAATGCATCCCGTAACTCTTGCACATCCATTCTTGATGATCACCTCGATGACCCCTCATTATTGGGACAGGTACCCGTGTTTGATAAGTACGAGGCGCGCGCTCTTCAACTTGGATGGGCATCTCTTTATTCCCACGAGGACGTCACTACGGAGGCTCGACCTGCCAGTGGTAGCCAAAATAAACCGAACATAAATAGTCTAACACGGCTCGCTTTGGCTAGGAAAGGCCGTTACAAAACAGTAATAAGGATCATTAAAAGTTCAAAATATATCAGCTAGAGTCCCTTTGAAATCTTTCCGAGAACTGTTTGAAATTCAAGCTCAAAGGTATGAATTAAGACGCTGAAATGCGTAATAAGAGTACACCCAAGGTGTAATGTGCTGACCGTAGAGGTAACATGTTCGGTTTATTTCTACGACCATTCGGCCACCTTCCCCTGCCCCGAGCCCCGTCTCCCCGTGCCATATACACTCTGTCGAGCGCCCAGATCCTCGACTCGACGTTTGCTGTACGTACCAGGCATTGCACAAGGCTGTGATTATGCCGGGCCCTTCTCCTTTCGGTTGATATCACGGATTCAATATATTCAACAGCCGCCCCCTGGCTCGGTCCTTGCAGATTCTTTGTCATTTTCCAGCATCCCGGGACGGAATCCTCGCATCAAGATGGTCGTCAACGGCAGCTGCGGCTTTTCATGGCATCCTTCACAAAGAAGATGGGCTGTTTCTCTAACGCCGCGAGGGAATGGACACCTTGACCTCTCTACAATTTTCTGGATCGTGCCCAGCACACTAATCGCCTGATGCTGAGGGTGCATGCAGTAATACGCCCATAGGGCTGCCTCTTCAAGATCCCGCCTCACCCGCCGCTACACTGTGTGCGGCCCAGCTATTGTCCTAGTTGAAATTGGGTTTGAGTTAGCCTTGCTCCCGTCATCCTCGACTCGCCTTGGTCACAGTTATTATTATTATCGTGCGTCAGCTGCCGCCCGACAGAAATGCGAGTTTTGAGGATACCACGCTTTTCCCATCAGGTTGCCTGGAGAGCATTTCCAGTGCTGTGACCGAAACGAAAGCCACGTCGAGGAGCCGTCCAATGAGAAAATCCCCATCATTACATCCAAGCGACTGCTGTAGCCTCAAGGGTTGCACAATATGTTGCACAACATGCCTCATGGCCTTGTTGTGCTTTGCCCCGATTTCGAGAAGCAACGGGGCTGATGGAGGGGTCAGAAATGCAAGGTTGGCTAGTTCAGTCACCCGCCAGTTACACATGAATATTGGACGACTCCAGCAATCAGGAGAGTCTCTGTTCGTTAACAGGGAACTGATTGTTTGGTACCAAATCATTGTTCCTGTATACACTACGGCACAAGATACTGGGGACTAGGCTGAGAGGTGTCTAGACCATTGGAAGTGTGCGGTGACGCTGCGCCAGCACTTGGAACGTTGAATGTTGAATGCCTAGGTGCTTATTCACGGTCAGCTTGATACAGCAAGGCGCCAGAACAGGTGGGATCGACGAAACCAAATCTGGTCATGATAGCCTGGACTTTCTCAAAGACCGAAGCCATGCTGCTCTTCGGTACACCTAAGAAAGCATGGGGGCTGCCAAACGGGCGCAACATGGGCTTACCTCACTCATAACCTGCTAATCGGAACACGATGTGCGTCCCAGTGAGCATGCCAAAACGAAAAAGTACAACCGCAGCCAAAGCTAAAGGCACTAATACCCCGGTCATAAGAAGTTAAAGGAATGCATCCCAGACCATCCACATAACCATAGGCACGGTTCCAAAGCACCCTCAAGGCCGTCATCAGCATTCCACGCCTTTGGGATCGGGTATGAAAACCCAAATTCTCACAGTTTGACAGGCTCGTAGTGTTTCATTCCCCCAACTGTCAATAAATGAAATTATTGCGAGTGCATTGAGCACATTGTGCTGATTTCTTGTTTGGTAGATGTAAAAGGACGCTCAAGTTTTGAGGGAGACAGATTATGCAGACAGCCTGCTCGGAGCGAGCCGGGACCCGGGCACGCTACCTTGGTGGACGGGAAGTTCTCCCGGGCCCACCCCTTGGCTTCGGTCTAGAAGGACCCACAAAAACCCCGGGGAGTTCCTTCTCCCGTCCGTGATCCACCAAATGTCTAAGACGACGTGCCTCTTCGCCCTTGGCTTCTCTTCGTCGTCGGTTCTGGCAGAGCCCTGCAGCTGATATGTTTCACTGTTTCTGCTTTCTCACTCGATATTCACCAACTGTTCCTGTCGATCGGGAGTATCTTTCATTTCACCGGTGTTGTTGACAGCGCACGAATCCTCGACGATCGACGGAGATGCAGCTGTAACGGGTGCTATTCTATGTAGCGGCACCATGACATCTGGTCATACAACGCATATCCGCATCTTGTACGTCAATCAACATTAAGGAGCCTGGCAAAGGCGCTTCGTGCTTCACCGACATGCATAATAATTACGACCCTCTCGTGGGATTGGCTGGACCGAAGCTTGGAAAGTCCCATCGTCTTGAGGTTTTTCTTTCCTGTCTTTTTTATTTGAACGTCCTCAGTTGGTGGAATACCTCAACGAGACAACAACTTCACAACTGGCATTTCTTGGCTGGTTGACAACGCCTTCTGGGACGGCGTTTCTGCAATACATCGTCTGGCTGGTGAGTATACTGGCTCTGTCTTTCTGTTTGGCTCTCGGTTCAAGTATGGAGGTTTGACAGTCAGACAGCCACCGACGCGTGTTCGGGATCTATACATCTCCTTCGGGAAATCCACCACGTCATCTTCACCTGATTTGCCTTGATTCAAACTGCAGTCTTCATAAATTTTCTCTGACTTCGGCGCAAATTAGCGCTCTGGATGTCAAATGAAAAAGCATACTGCATACTATCTAATTAAGTGGTTAACTGCGATGTTTGTCGTTCGCCTGCTCATGTCGATCCCAGCACAGCACACGGAAACACGTCAATCCCCCACGAGATCTCGTGGCAGATGCCAGATCGCTCATCACTTTCTGCCTATCACTTGCTTCTTAACCAGGGTTTCAGGTTTGCGTCGGTGCAGTCGGTACACGTTCTTCTCTTTTCAGAAAACACAACATAAATATGCCCAGAAGAGAAGCAGTCAGCGAAGATACACAACTGGTGGAGGAGTGGCTGCATGAAAAATTGGAGAATTACAGGTCGAAGGCGAAAGCTAGGTACTATAGTAGAGAATCGATGCTTGAAGGAAGCTCCGTCCAATCGGGCACTTCACGATCTATCCAGATCATGATTCCCAAAGCTGCATTATCACTGGGACTTACAACTATAAACCTTGCTAAGTAGAGGTAGATACCTCTATGCTAGTGTACATGTGTTCAAGCACGTTGCATGGCTAGGCTAGCTTCAGCTATCACCTTGCTGGATCCTTGTTGTTCATCTCCATTTCGTTAGGGTTAGCTTCTACAGAAGCATCGATTTGGGGGGGGACTCGTTCTTTCCGTAACTGTTATCTTTCGCGGGAAATTATTACTCTAATAACACAAAAGAAGCAAATTTGAAAGAGACCAGGAACCGATGGCAACCCCAATTGGTACCACTCAACACACGATAAATTACCCCGAGGATTACGGACTTGTTTTACATGCCCCTGAGCTTGAAGCCTGTCATTCATTATACCTTGTGAAGAACCAGAACTACGGCAGCGCGGCATGGACCAGGGCCAGACCAGGACTTTCTTGAAGATCTTGAGACTACCTGCCAGTCAGTCTGTCTACTGCATGCTCAAGTACCATATGAAGCGAGCAGTTTCGCCACGTGAATTGGCTTGGTTTCGGTTTCGTTTCTTTGGTTGTCTTGCCAAGAAGCAGACCTTATTCGATCCAGAACCCAAAAGTTCCAGTCCTATGTTTTGTTCATCTCTTGGCTGTTCCCTTGACATGGTTAGGGAGAACTCAGTTCTCGCATGTATAATGATGTTCATCGACAATCATCTATGGAGCAGCCAGGCGGGGTCAAGGTTGATGTGGTTAATGAAGTCTTTTTATATTCGTGGTTTCCTTTCTCGTCATTTGTACGACTTCAGATTGTACACTTGTTGCTTACCTACATGCTGGCGATGGCTTGTAGAGGTAATTTTCATTTATTTATTTTTTTCCTTCTTTTTTTTGGCCATTTTTCCCATCGAACAACTGTTACTAACACATAAGTATGGGATTTGACTCAGACTTTTGTTGGCCTCTTTCCGGGGAAAAAAAAAAAAAAAAAAAAAAAAGAAATGCTCCCTGAGCTGAAGGAGGATACGGAAAGGTTTCACCGGAAGTTCTCTCCCCAATTCTCCATTTTTCATACCCTGGTTCGGACGTACAGTGAGCGAAGAAACAGCGTCACACTAAGTATTCCTTAATACGATGCCTTTAGATATGCCCAGGCGGCCACGCGGACGCATTATTTACCATGAATTTCTTGCGAAGCTGGCTGGCTGGCTGGCTTTGGTCCTCCCCAGATTCAGGATCCCTGATTTGCAGGACATTCCCTCGACGCTGCTCGACGCCTTCCGACGCCCTTCTTCCCACTTCCCGCAGTTATTGTCCAAGTGTACGATTGCAGGCGGCTTATAGCCATCTAGCATAGGTGACGTAGTTATCATCCATTTCCCAAACGAGGTGTGTGGATGTCATAATATTTAACATTCAATCCTTTGATTCCACCAACAACTGGAATTCCCACGCGGATATACGGCTCACAAGCAAGCAATGTTCCAGACGTAGCTTCGGTGCCAGGTCCGGAAATTGCCTGATGTGTAACTTCATGCTTATCAATGGCCTCGATATACATCAGATGGGACGGATGATCCAAAACGAAGCAGGAAAAGGAAAAGTCCATAAAATCCGGCGGTAGTAGAGTCTGCCACTGTGGTCATTCATGCTCCATTGACTTCCCGTCTTTTTAAATATATAGCTGCGCAGGGTGTTTCTTTGCTTCCGGAGTGAAATCCTTTTTGTGTGACAGAGGAGGGTATGGAAATCTCGATGCCATGATGATGTATCTGGCAGATTGGATTAATCAAGATGTAATAGTGGCAAAATTTAAGGTGTAGTGGTTACCCCTGACGTTGGTGAGCATTGGTGTAGCTTGGAGGGTTTAGGGGTCAGCGTGTGCTTCGAAGAGTGTACAGAGACGCTGAAAAGTAGTGAAGCAACAGGATGGGGTCAACATATCGTAGGTACTGAGAAGTGCTGCAGGGGCAATTCTAATACTTCATGATGATGGAGATAGTCCCTTGAGGTATGTCATCACTAACCCTAGTACATTCAAAGTGTCAGTTTCCTGACTAGTCCGGCATCCTAGTAGGTTTGAGGAAAAGAATAGAAGACATGAGGCTGAGCAAAGATTGAAATATATATCGGATCGTTCCATTTCCTCTCAGGTATTCCAATGCTCTCATGATTTCTGCTCTAAAGGACATTTACCAAGAAGAAGGCACGATCGAGGTTAGCAACGCACGTTATGTCAACGCTGGCTCTTTCCAAGATTAAGCACACCAGGCTATAAACAACTGAAGCGGGCATTACTCAGAGTAACATAGGATTTTATTTTCGTATTCACATGCTCGTCGGCGGGGTACTGGTGCTGGTTGAATAGACTTCTCTTAGCCCACGTTACCCGTTGGCTTTCATTTTTAACAAAATTATGTAAAAAAACCATACTGTTTGAAAGTATTTATTATGTTCCACCAACTGATACACCTTCACTACCATCAACTGGAAAGTTAGAGATGTGCGTCAAGGTGCGGATAGTTTCAACCATTGCCCAGCAACTAGCTTTCAATACCCGGACCATGTTGAAGAGCGAGAAACCAAGCTGTCAATACGGGTCTTTGATAGTCAGGTTTGAACAGAATGACACAATGTCCAGATAGCATTATTTCTCCACGAGAGCAAAAGGGAACGCATAGCCAGGTTATCTCACTCACGAAATAATAGATGAAATCATTGGCTGTATAATTGAGGCGCCAGCAGTGTCTTGTCCAAATCCCTTATTGACGGAACAGTGGAGCTTCTGGATACAGTTGTATCACACAGTTCTTTTCTTCCGTAAGCCCTTGCTTAAACACCACGTTCAAGTCCTAGTGAGTTCCGAAATCTTGGTTGTGTCAAGTACCGGTAGCCCTAGCTCAGAGTAGCTAGGTGAAACAGGGGTTCTCACCTTACCCCTATATCCCATGTAAGACATTGAAACTAGCTGCACGTTGATGTCAAAAAGAACGAGTTGAAACAAACGTGTCGGGAGAACCAGGTCAAAATATTTCGTCTCCCTCGAAATGGGCACGTTTCAGGTGAGTTACCAAACGTGAGACCGCACACGACGATAGTGTCTGGTCTCAACTGCAACCAGCCCTCTTCTGTTGACCAACGTTATGGCGAACAATTTTTGATTCATGAGGATGAGGAGTGCTCAACTTAGTAATATAAGACATATCTCTGACAATTGCTCATACTGCGTTCGACTTGACGGATGGAAACGATGCCGAGCTTCGCGTGAGCCGCGCAGTTCGGAGTAGCAGTCAGTCTCACCTCCTTCCCGAGAGGGCCGCAGAGATGGAGATGTGGTGTGATGTGAATGTGCCGTTCACATGCAGGAAATCGTTCGTAGCCATGAGCCACTCAGAATAGAGTGATATCAAACTGTGTTCTAGAAGATGGGGTTGGAGAGTAGGCAGGTTGTTGGTGGCTGCCCAGACGTGGGTAGTCAATCTTCTGGGTCGACTGCGGGATTGGATAGGGATCCAGTAAGATAGTAGAGGTGCTTCACGGTGATGTGGATTACATTTCGAAAAGAACATAGAAAGAGTTGTAACCAGCGACAAAATCCATGGTATGCGTGAGGCTCCTTCATGACCATTGGAGCGGAAGGCCATCAAGGTTCTCCCATCTACCGCGGCGGGTCGTTCTTGCTTCAAACTGGATCACCATTGCCTGAGACCGCTTATCCTCCAGCCAGTCAAGACTGAATGTCATTGTTGATGATGGAACGACTCACGCACCTGAAAAGACGTATGGGCATGTTTATCCGCTCAGCAGGCTGCTTGAGTGACTTTGTTTCGGAAAGTTGATTGTTTGGATTTTCGTCTGGCCATCAAGGTACTCAACAGCGTCGTCTTCAGAAAGAAGTCACCGTGCAGGCGGGTCCATGGCTGCCTCTCTCCAATACCCTGAATGCTAGGTGATATCGGATTCTTAAGACTCATGTCCTAAAGGTACCTGGGTATAGCCGAAACTACCAGGACACCAGTGCCTGTAAGGATATAATGCAGTAGAAATCCCTGCTTCTACAAGTGGGAGCCTCGCTTTATGCAAGAAGAACGCTTCCCAATGCCAATTTATTTCGTGCCAGAATTTTTACCCATACATATTGAAGCTGCAAACTGCAAATTGCAAGACCTCAAGGCCGGATTTGCAAGAACAAGGGTGCCTTAAAGTCGTCAGAAGCGTCTAGAGGGGTCTGTGCACCCACCCGTTTGTCCTCTTACACAAGATCCTCTTCAAATGCAAGAAAAATGGCTGCCCGAATTCAGTCGAAATCCGATAAAGGCAATCGTGGTAATGCAGAAATTCGAGTTCGTCAGAGTCCAAAATGTGTTCCTTTATCGGTTACAGATTTACCGATTTCACTGCGTAGTAAGCAATCAGAGCGGCGTGCCTGCCTCGAAGTTGTGGATTTCCCAGAAAAACGTACAGTCTGTTGCGTCGACTCTACTTGAAGCATTCTTCGGGTATGTGGCCGTAGGAGGAACTGAAGTTCCGCAAATACCGGACTCTGGATAGTCCAATTGTTTGCGGTAGGAGATGCGGAATGACGACAATTCAACCAAGTACGGCATGTCTGCACCGCTGTACATAATTGGAATCGCGATTTGTGCCGCCGTGATTTTAGTCGCGAAGGGCTGATTGGAGCTTGATGGCGGTTTCTTGAGGTCTTCGAAGTCCGGGGTCTTGGTGTCTTGGACCCTTGTTCTGCCTCGATCCGAATCTAGGCATGATAGTCCAGACATGCGAGAAATGTTTCCGGATGTTTCAGGTGGAAGGTTATGGAAATGGAAGCTGTCAAACCGCCCTCGGCCCGGTTCGCCAAAAATCCGAATACCCGGAGAGAGCAAGCTCATGTCATGATGCATGCTGTAGATCAAGGATTGGTAAACCATGGGAGCACCAAGATTCCAGCTAGAGAATCATATGTATGTGGCGTGAAGGAGAGTTCTCCGATCGCTGACCTCGAACTCCTAGAACTAGAGGTTCGGACCAAGCGTATGCACTCGATTCCGCCTTCCTCTTTCAGCAGCATCATGGTACAAACAGCTGTGCCCAATCTCCACAGGCCTTCAACGAACCTATGGCCGAGTTCATTTGTAAGGTAAGCAAGCTCTGGAAGGTATCGCGTCCCCAGGCAGGGGGGTGATGAACCGGTAGGTGTGAAATATTGCCGTGAGTCTGCTTCATGACCTCAAAGGCCGGTTTCAAAGAGATGCTAAACTCATGCTTACATTGACTAGAGGTAACATTCCAGAGACGCTAAAGAGGTCTTGGATGAATTCCCAGCTAAGAAGGCAACTGAGTGATGTCCATACTGGTGACAGTCGAAGTTCAAAAGTTGAAGCTTCCCGTCGGCACCTACCCCGCTAACGGCCAGAGAACGGCAGGGGTAAAATTGGGTCGACATGGGGCATCATGTACGACTCCGTACCGGCAGGTACACGGTACCCACTCTGCAGTCTTGGGCCCGCCCGCGACCCACGTCTTGGGTTCAACTCCGCGACCTGGACCTTTTCCATTTGTCGCCGACCTTGAATCACTGCACCAGTGCTTTTCTTGCTCTTCCACCTGCTTGAGAGTCCACCATTCACGTCATGCTTAACTCGCAGCACACACCGAGCATTCGACTTTCGTGGTGTCAGGCGGTGCCAATTCGGCGACAAAGCTAAGCCGGTACTTTGCCCAACCGACCAACCGACTATCTTACGACCCGACTCACCACCCTTGGGACGTAACCGAATTTTCTCGGGCTGTATACCCGCTGATCAAGGCAGGCTTCTCCAACCTCAAGGCCTTCGCTGACCCAAAGATCATCGATTGCGATGGCAATTCGGAAGGGAAGCGAAAAGGGCCGTCAAGTCAGGCCAATTACCAAACAACACTCCACCTGCTCCTCCGCGCCAAGGCTTGATTCCATCACCAACCTCCATCACTAACAGTGTCTATCCAAAGCTTCAGGTTGCTCTGCACAACGAGGGGTTTCCGAATGCCCGGGTTTTAATGTTGGCGTTTAGCCCTGGGAACCCGGCTGGGCTGTTTAGCAGCCTGCGGAAGCTAGATATACATGGACCGACAGGTGCACCATGGTGCGCGATATGCACAACGTCAAAGAACTCCCATCTCAACCTGCTCGCTGGGAGCTTCGCTTTTTTGCTCGGCCCTCGTCTGCCGTCGCACCGGGTACCTATTTATGTTCTGAAAGTGGGTTGCACTGCTATCCAGTGTCATTGACATATCGGCCGTCAAAACGAAGATAAATTATATACCTTCCACCGCCTCGGCGGTCTTGGATGAACGGGTTGGCCTGGTCTGGTCTGTACCTAGGCCTTGTGGACGGCCCCGCGTACATTGCATCCGGCCGCTGTTGATGAAAGTGCAAGGCCGAGAGAAGGCCCCGTCCCCCCCTGTTGAAGAAAAGTACCTAAGAATTGGTCCAGCCTCCCATGTCTTGGGGTCTCCAGAGTTCTACCTCTTGGCGGTAGCGGTAGTGTGCATGTGTATTTACAGCATATTACAGTGTCCAATTCCTGGGCAACGGCAGACCGCTGCACCACTGCACCATTGCACCAGCCAAATTGTAAGGCCGGCGCATGGCTTCGTAATTTCGATACCACTTCTCGTAACGAGGGGAACCCGCCATTTCGTCGCGTCTCTAGGTGGCCTTCGAAGCGCAAAGGTCGGAACAACAAGGTGCCAGAGCAGATGATGACACAGGCGGCTCTAAGAACCTCAAAGGCCTCTTAGCAATATCATCATTCTCAATCATCTCGAAGTTTTGGTTTGCGCTTCGGTTTGTTGTACGTAGTGCTGACGCTTGTGAAGGCACTGAGGGAACGAAAGGACTTTCTCCCACCAGTCGACGATGAGTGCGAAAAAAAAGGGGATCACACCTGCACACCCTGACAGACCTGACCTCTCCTGGCTCGAAGAACCACCACGTCAGGCAGATCGACCCACGTTCCGCACATTCGCCGGGACTAGCAACCTCCATCTCCCCGGTCTTTTCCTCTGTCGCAACCCTCCACTTTCCCACTTCTAGCCTACGCGTATCAGCGGTCGTAGTGTACTGCCAGTGCTGCCCACTCTTCTCCTAAAAACGCCAGCTGCGCGTCCAGCTGCGACTGCGACTTTTCCCTTCCTCTCCTCCTGTTTTGTTCTGGTTTGGATCTCGACTGCCAATTGCTTTTTCCATCCCGCTCCCGACCCCTTGGCCCGTCTGTCGATTCAGCATAGAGGGAACAAGGTTGCCGACGACAGGTAAGCACCAACTGCAAACAAGCCCGCAAATCGCACGAGCGACAATCGAGATGGAAGCGTGATTCAATCTTGGGAATCAAGTCGATCGAGGGACGTGGGAGGCGCAATCAGCCCTTTCTTCTGCCGGCACCGGGCGGTCACCACCGCTGGCTGGCACCACAGGAAAACGAGCGCAGATGTTCCATCAGGTTGCAGGGGAAACATTTTTTTTACCTTTCCCAAGATCCAGATGCCAGTCACTCCAACTTGCCTGCCTGTGCGCCACCACGCCCGAATCGATTTGGGGGCCCAAGGAAAAAGACAATTCCATCTCCTTTCGAAGCATAGTCTGCACCGCATTGCATATTACCATCCTGTTTACACCAGCCCCGATTCATTATCACACCTTGACCCCTTCTTGCCCTTGCCTGCCCCTTCACCTTGACCACCCCTCGGTCTTTCCTGTCTCGTGCTGAGCAAGGAGGAACCGCCACCGTCCTTCACCTTAGTCGTCCAAACCTAACGCTTGGCGCCTTGTCCCTATTATCCAGCCGCTACTGGAGAGCACACCACACCTTGACGGTCTCAGCCTAAAAAGATCTTCTGAATTGCCGACTGACATCCCGCAGAGTCAACTCCAGACCGAGATCCCACCAACCTGGTCTCTCCTATCCAGGTTGCCATCCTCTTCCTGCGGCCTTCCGATATATAAACGCCCGACGTCGTCCTCGATCCACACCGAGTCCACCGATATAATGTCCGGATACTACGAGCCCCCTCAACCCCAATGGCCTCCCGCCGGCGGCCAAGCCTCGGGCTGGGAACACCAGACCCCTCCTCCTCCGCCCGCACGGTCCGGTTAGTCTCTGCTCTGCTCCCTATGGCGTCGTCCCTTATATTCCAGCCTTGCTTGCATACAATCAACAGAGAAGACTAACTCTTGCATTCCATGATCAGGTGCTAGCTCTGCCGTCCCCCGCGAGGAGTCTGCCGCTTTTGCTTATCAGCTCGAGGGTACGTAAATACTCCGGCAAGCTCCGGCCCGCTTGGGTGCAAACCGAGCCCTGTTCAAAACCGCCCGCTTCGAACATCAAAATGCCTCTACGTGTACATGCACTGCGGGATGATGGTACTTGCCGGTATGGGGACAGTAGTTGCAGGGAGCACACATACTGACAGAGACTATCTACAGAGGTCGACCGCGCGATCGACAACCTCGTCAAGAGCGGAAAGATGTTTGGGATGCCTGGTGGCCGCCGTGAGTCGTTTCCTGTTCCCGGCCCAGCCAGATTCTACCCAGACTTCGGTAAGTTTGCCTGGGACTGGCCGGGCTCACCCCAAGTTCCTCAGCCCACTAACGTGAAATCGTAACAGGCGGCCGCATGGGAGCTGGACCTGGTCCCCGTCCCCACTCCATGGTCGACTTCAACGATGCGCGCGGCCCTCACCAGCCCTCCAACTTGCAAACCTTCTATGCTGCTCAACGTCACCAGCCCTCGCGCGGCTCCAACGAGGCGGAGCAGATGATGCAGGCCAAGAGGAGACTGGCTGCCCAGCGGGAGCGGGAGCTTAGGAACTACCACCAAGAGCAACAATACAACCGAAGTAGGCCGCCCTCTTCTGTATGAATCAGTTTCCCTACCACAGCCAAACGACAGGGAGGACGAAGAAAAAAAAAACAGAAAATCATAAAAATTAGATTCGGCGCCTTCGCGGGTCACAAAAACACATTCTGATCTTCTATCGTTGCATCACCACAAGTGCGGTTCGACGCAACCCTTGTCCTGTGTGTCCTGACATCGTCTGTAGAGATCGACAGATCGGCGCCCTTGGCCGACTCTGGCTGCTCACTCACATCCATCCTCAGACCATTTCCCTCATCTCTCAGTTTACGAAGTCTGACTAACATGTCTAGGCGTCCTTGCCGACTCATCCTCGCAGTTCGGTGCAGCCAAACCGGATCGTACCTTGAGCCCAGGCAGCGGCATGTCTGAAGAGGAGCGCCGCAAACTGATCGCCTCGCAGCGCAGTGCTTTGTACGGCGAACAGGGCTTCCCTGATGCTGCCGTTTATGGTGAAGAGAACGCCGGTCCTCGGTTTGGCTTGACAGCTGGCCAGAACCTTCGCGGAGCTTCTCCGATGGCCTTTGATTACAACCAGGTCCCTCCCGGCTTCCCACCCCAGTCCCAGATTGAGGGCGGCCAAGGAACTCAGTCTGCCGGCCCGCACGAGCGATCGCGTGCTAACAGCAACACGAGCCCTCAATCGAACCCGTCCGGCGGCAAGGGTATTTTCGACGCCCCTATCGGGCACCAAGCGAACCGTACTAGTGCCTCGTCCCCTGGAGGCTCGCCGCCGCGTCAAAGCGCTCCCGGCAGCAAGCCTGGACAAAACACTGTTGCGCCTATTGGAACCCGGCCATCGACGAGCAATACCGCCACGAACCCTGCTTTGAACAAGGGCTCTACGACCTCTCTTGCGTCCCCGTTGAGCCAAAGCTACAACGGTACGGCTAACAATGAGGCTGGCAACAACGGTTCCGCCGCTCCTGCTTCTGCGACTACCGAGGGCCCCAATGTTGGTCTTTCTGGCTGGGGTACCCGTTCCAACGGCTGGGGCAAGGTGGGCAATGTCCAGGCCAGCGTGTGGGGCTAGAGGTCGTAGACGTGTTTAAGGGGGAGGACGACCCTAAAGGGGACGGGGACTACGACGAGGATGAATGACAGCGCTTTGAAGAAGCATAGGAGCTTCCCGGAATCCGGTATCCACAAGCGTCTGACTGCAATGACTTGTTCAGGACTTTTTGCACAATTGGAGTCTGGGAAATGGGATCCATTCATGTGGTGGGGCAGGGCGCGTCGGACATGGATGGCAATGGGCAAATGATTTTTTCTTTTGGCCGGTTTGGTTGGTCGGTTGGTCGGTTGGTTGGTTGGCTGGTGTCTTGAATGTTGCGTGTGGTTGTTGCTGCGAGCGTGCGTGCGTTTGGTCTGAATTGGGATAACCTTCACAAAAAATTGAGCGAGTGCCAAAGTGCAAGGGGGTTTATGGGATGGCATAGGAAACGAAATGGAGGGTTATACAATGTTGATGCGGCTGGATAGTACGGAAGCGGTTTTTTATTGTTACGGAAGACTGGCGGATTGAATTGGTGGCGGTGCGTTGCGAACGAAACGGGACGTCTGGTTTTCTATGGTTTTGTTGGTTTGCAAAGAGGTGGTTCGAACGTATAAAACAGGATTTGGCGGAAAGCTTGTTGGGCTGTCCATGTTATGTTTTTGGTCTTATTCTATGGTGTTATATTTTACAGCTAGTACATCTTGCGGCTCTTGCATTGGCATTTATTTGAATTTGGCGTTTAAGAACGGTTCCCATGTGATATCACTAGGATCTGATAACGGCATCGATCGATGATGGGTGAACGAATGAACGATGCTTGAATCGATCAGGCGACCAAGACACTTAACACCGAACGAGCGGGCTTC